CAAATAAATGTAGTTTTTATGTAATAATAAAGTTTACAGTCGAAAAAAATATAGATACTAATAATAAATTCACATACGATTTTCAGCTTTTTCAACAAAAAACAAGCTAATTTCAACAAAATAAAAAAAGAATGTAAGAAGAAATAGAAAAATCAAATTTTCAAACGTAAATATGGATATTAAATACTTATTCAAATAAATATTGTATAACCTTATAGGTTGCACCTATGCATTATTAGTTAAATTTGTAGAACTTTGAATTTGTAGAAGATTTTGCCGGATATCATATCATCGATAAAAATTAAAAGAACAGGTTTCAGAAAAAAATGTTTTTTTTTTCAAACGATTCGTCTACCGGCTATTGACAAAAACTAATATATTCACTATTACTCTATTAATACTTCACTATTAATCAAAAAAAAAATACCTAATTAATGTTCAGTTTTATTCCTGCATAGTAACGTGAGCGCATCTGTTTGATACTTATGTTTTTTAAAAAAATTTAAATATTAGTGAATAATCATTTCCAATGATATATCTACATCTGAATACAGATTGATTTTTTAACATAATCTTGCTAATTACTTACTTTTATTTACTAGCTCCACGAAAAAAAAAAATAAATAAAAAATTCTAAATTATTACACAAAAACAAGTGTAGGCAGACATAAGAAAAGCATCGCAGGAAATCAACTTTTGCACGTTTCCAAACCACGCGGGATGTTATTCATCATTGTGCGCAATGGAAGTCGCACTTTAACTGCTGTATAACAATATTCTGCGCACATCGTCGAAACTATCTTCTCTTATCCGCATAAATTATTGGAAAAATCGCCATATTTTTTTTAAATTAAATTACATTCGAATTAGCTGTTAACAAACTTACATTTCATTCTTTTGGGACAGTGCTGCTTCCTCCGGGGCATGATGGATGGTCGTTTGCTTGGAGAAGCGTCCTCCAACCTTCTCAAGTGTCGCAAAATCTTGAACGATTTTTTTAGAACCCTCCACAAAAGTTAGTTCATTATCGGATCACAAAAATCAAAAATACAATTTACAAAAATACTATTCACACATAGTAATAATAATAATAATAATAAATAACACCACAGCACAAGTTAATGATCATCGTATACGTATTTTGAACGGGACCAGTCCACGTGCGAAACCGTCGAATCGTCACGTTAAATTCGATTCCCGCAAAATTGAATTAGAGAACAATCCTGCGTCCCGGACCGCTAACACAGGTGCGAACTTCCTCCTGCAACGTAAGATCTCCGCGTACTGAGTGACTGACAGCGAGAAACGCGCCGTTTCCCCCACCCAAATCGGCCGCTCGCCGGACCGACAATCGTCGTCAGGTTGTGTACAAGCGCCGGCGTCACTCGGCGACGCCGCTCGTTCCGTCTCTCTCCGACTACGCGATGTCATCTCTCGTCACTAGAGGAGAACGGGACGCGTCTCGTCGGCCGGATTTGCCGGCGATCCGAATGCGCAACTTCATGGTCACTTTGACAGGTGGGCGTCGTTCGATCGGGCCGCGCCTACTTTGAGATATAGCGGCCTTTTTAGACGCCTAGCCTCGCCGTAGGGACGCTCCGGGTGCTGTCGATCTGCGGGCGTCGTGACGCGCCGCTCGGCGTGGTTTATTGCCGGTGGTCTCGTTCGTTTCACCTGTTGGTTCGGATTGGTTTCTTCTGGTTGCATTTATAACAGATGAAAGACGAAGGATTGAGGACTAGAAGGATGAAGGAATTGAAGGAATTAATGGATAATCGATGAATTACTTAGGGTTACTTCATTTGATTCGGTTTTTACGCGATGATTTGGATAGATGTCTATAAATAAACTGCTCTACAAAAGTTAAGGATGTTCGCAAATTTTGCGTTATTTTATCAAATTTTTACCAAATTTTCATTTATGCAAAATTAAATGTTTTCTCTCATATCTAAGTGGATTTCTTGTCCCTGCCTCTACAATTCATACTAAATTTGGCGATCAAAAAACCTGATGCAACTTTTAAATTAATCTCAATATTTGTCAACTTCCTTAACTTATGTGGAGCAGTATATTTAAGGAATATTATGAATATCGTGGTATCTGGAAATATTGTTTTTAAATTGTCTAATGACCTCGCACCTCAGCAAGGTGTCTTTATGAGAATTAGATATCATAAAAGGCGTAAAATGCCTCTATTCTTATTATTTTGAATTACTATCCTACAGTATAATTGTTATTCTATTCTTAGTTAGAGATGCATGATATTTTAGTTTATTTAAATTTCAGGTTAAACTAAAATCAAACTCAAACTTAATCAAACACATATCAAACATAGTTTTGTGACTATACAAATACAGTGTATTTTTTAATAACATCATGCTAATACTGAAGGGGGTGTTTCTTGGACCCATTTTAAGAAAAACAACTTAATAGGTATGAACATATTTCCTAAACCTAAAATTTATTATTATTATACCTAATTTCTGATGCACAGCGGCTATAAATGCAGCGGTAGCGTACAAATAAATGCATTTATTTTTTTTATTCAAAACGGTGAGTCGTTTTCAATAAAAGTCAAGAAATCAAATTTGTTCTAAATTGAACGGAGCCTCCAAAAATATTTTTTTCAAGACAAAGCAGTGGCGTGAGTCCAAGGGAGGCCACTGCTGGAAATAAAAGAATGTTTTTTAGGTCAAAAAATGCTCTTTAATGCACAAACGCTGGATACATAAAAATATTTAAAGTGGTATGGAAATGACAGTAAAAAATTATTTTTTTACGAGCTATAAAGACACGAAACTTGGGGAATATTATATTTGTTAATGAAACTTCACATTTAAAATTTTTTTCAACCCTAAAGTATGCTTTAGAAAGGGTTGAATAGTCAACCGTAAACCGCAAGACATTTTTTATTACAACTTTTTTTAATGAAAATGATTCTTTTAAAATAATATGTGGCTGAAAAGCCCAATTCATTTACTAACTTATATTTATCTCTACAATTTTTTTCTAATTTTTTTTCCATTTACGAGAAAAAAATAAATGTATAGGTATTATACTTATATTGCAAGCTCATGTTAAATACTACGGCCCGTATTCAGCGCCTCACTAGAGTAGAGTGACTCTAAAGTCAAAACATTAGCAAAAGCCAACTAAAAATAAAATCTGGTTTATTCAAAAAAATTATACAGGGTGACCCAGAACTTACGCCTCACCGGGAAAGGCCTTTATGGAACCGACAATTGAGATGCCAAAACTGCAGTCGAAAACATGAAAAAGTTTTTCCTTTGATAAATAAGGAGGTATAAAATCGACCAATCCCAGTACGAATTCAAATCCACGAAAATGACGTCAATTAACTATACACCAATTTGACATTATTGAAAAATTCTATGTCCTTTTCATTTTCAAGGTTTACAAAAATTGTCAAAATTAGCTGTGACTCTTGATCAAAGATTTGATTCCAAACTGATCAAAAAATCCACCAAACTTGATCATTTCGGTAGGTTTGGTATCAGCTCCTATAATTGATCGATTTGGAAGCAAACCTTTGATCAATAGTCGCAGCTGATTTTGGCAGCTTTTGGCACCTTGAAAGTGAAAAGGACATAAAATCTTTCAATAATGTCAAATTGGTGTATAGCTAATTCACGTCATTTTCGCGTTTGTGAATTGCTACTGGGATTGATCGATTTTAAACATCTTTATTTACCAAAGGAATAACTTTTTCATGTTTTCGACTGCAATTTTGGCATCTCCATTGTCGTTTCCATAAGGCATTTCCCGGTGGGGCGCGAGTTCTTGGCCATCCTGTATATAGCAAGTACCCACACCTCAATTTTTATCACAGAATCATCCTTTCAATTTTTGCGGTGTTATTTAGATACACCATGATCGTGCATGATAAGAGAGATTATATAAGTGTAGCCCCAGAAAAAAAAATATTGGCAAAATGTATCATAAAAAACGAAACAACGATATTTATATGTATGTATACAAGTTTGAAGAAATACTCGTATAAAAGACCAAACCCGGTAGCAAGACGCATAGACAATGCTTTAAACGATGATATTAATTGAGAAAAGTATAGCAAGAGAATATAGAAGAAAATCGAATAAGGTACCTAATAAATTTTAATATTTGTAATCTAATCTAAAAAATATAACAAACTGATGCAGAACTATAATATCTCTATATAAAATTTTCGCGTCTTTCGATTATTCAACTATAGACAATCTACAAAAAGTCAATAACTATATCTACAAATTTTATTTTTTTTTTTAGAATTATTATGTTATCTGCTTTTAAAATACTGATGAAGTTTTATTAGAACTAATTTCATGTTTTTTGCTTCTTGCAAATTATTATGCATACCTAGATATGGCAACAACCATTTTAATTGGCATATAATTTTTTTATTTGATAATTATGTCAATTTGAGAGTGATTCGACATTATATTTTATAATTTTATTGCAAATAAATCACCAATTCGCCTACTAGAGTAATAAAATTTTATATAAAAATAACTGTATTTTGTCCAAATATTAAAAATTATAATGTAACTGTCTGAAAAAGTATAATACTCAATTAACAATAATATATTTTCAATTATTTAGTATAGACTTACACGAAGCACAACTTTCTATTTATTAAATTAGTCATTTCTGTATGGTACCTACCATAAACTGTCATTTTAGTCCTTGAATTAAATAAATCCATAATATTAAATATGTTGAACTTTTCTTATAAGCTATTAATTTTGTAAACAATAAAACAAAATAAATTTTTAATATCAATAAAGTGACTAAAGTGAGTGTTTAAGCTACATGAATAATAATTAACCTTTATCAAAGGTAACAATTTAATTTAATAATCTATCTACTTATATTATTTTAGATATACCTATATGCATTAATGGATATACATACACATATAGGAATAATAATTCACAGTAACTATTCACTTCTAATCACATTCTGTGCTCCTAATATTGTATAGGTTCACATTTGCACGCCGCTCAACGGCATATTTCGAAATTTTGAACGCAAGGCGGATGGATAATGAAATTTTCGACATCGCCTCAAGACTTTAACAATTAGGTACATTGAAACCCCGCAAAAAATTGCGCCTATTTCTGAAAATCTGCCGATTTTACTAAAATTTCTAATAAAGCGATAACTATTCCTGAAAATTTTTCTAATTTCTTGGAATTCAATTTTCGTGGCAAACTCAAACCGGCTTCGGCCGAAATCGGTTCACTGCACGACAACTCCTCGTTCCTCCACGCTTCCATCTTCCATTTCCAATGCGTCCTTTACGTTTACCTTTAGTAGTGTTGTATGACAGCCAGTTTCACTGATTATTTATGAACGGATAAGCCGAAATGCGTTGAAAAATCATCAAATTATCCACAGTGAGTACGGATTAAACATTATTATTTAAGTATATTGAGGAATATGCATTGAATTTGGATAAAAATCGATTCAAGTAGAGGTAACCTCAAAATTCGTTGTCGGACAACCGTAGAGGCGAACAAGTTTGTTGTAAGCAGCGTTGCCAGGTCTCTTTAATTACGGAGATTTTTAGATTTTTATTTGTAGATTAGTGCTAAAAGTAGTAAGTAATTAATTTAAGAATGGGTAAAAGTTAGTGGTTTTGTTCTATTTGGAAGTAAAAATTATATTTCGAATAAGGTATGTACAATTTTGTTAATTTTTGTGTTATGTAAAAAAACTTATGAATAAGTAAATTTGGGTGGAATTTTGTAATCAAAATTTCACCCTCTTTTGGAAAGTTGATAAGGGACTTTTTGGAAGTGATTTGATTCTAAAATTGAAAATTTTTCAAATCATGACCAAGAAAACAGTTTCTCATGCAAAAATCTTGTGAAAACTCTAAACTTATAGAATTCATTAATATTTTTGTGATTAAACTATTTGCTTGAAAATTCCGAATATAATCTTAAAACATTCACCTGGCAACAACGCTCCATTATACAGTAGCAATTACGATGACTGGTTTTCCACAGCAGAAAATGTGTGAACCAATTTATGTTAATTACCAATATATTTTAATTCATCAAATCTCTTTTAAAAAATCACATACACAAGATTATTGTATTGAAAATCCATTATTTCCAATAATGCCGCCCTTCGAAGGACTTTGGATCAGGATCCCAGCGATCCCGGGCGACCCAGAGTGAGATTATTCCCCTGCAATTGCGAATATCGCCGGCAGATGAGAGCACTTGCCGAGAAGATTTTCGCGAGCATACCCCAAAGGGAGGAGCTTGATTTATTTCTTTTTTGGGGTAATATCGCTTTGGAGTGTACGCCGATTTTTTTTGTTGCGAAAGAGGCGTGTGAATATTTCATTTGCGTTTTACGTGCGTGTGCACTTGCTCCATAAAGCGGAGAGAACAAAAATTTGTTTATTGGGTACATCAGTTTTGGTTCTTCTTAACACTTGGTGGTTTTTATTGGAATAATTCATTATAATCTTTTGCATGTATTCACCATTAATAATTTTATGTTGATACAATTTCATTTGGTATCTAATATTCTGAATATTAATAATATTTAGATAATTATTGGATTTATTCAGGTCATGTAGTAGAATTTTTCTGGCACGATGAGTCGCTTTAAAAGATCTTAATTACTTAGCTTGTTTTTAAGGGGACGACAAACGAAAAAAAATAAGGGAAGTAGTAGTTTTAATCGAAATCCGACGGTCGCCAGTCCATAAAACAAATTAATCAAAGTTATATGGAGCAGAAAGTTTTTTTGTTCGATGGCATCTCGGGAGAAACGGGGTGGAGGCATCCACTTCTATAAATTTACCAGACGCGATGCATTTCGCTGGGTGCTTGTCCATAAGTCATAATAAGACTACACGAAACTGGCGATAAATCTGTCAAAAACTGAGGGGGTTCTGGCAGCCATCACTGTTCCTTCTTCTCTTCGCCGTCGTCGTAAAAACGCCCGTTCAGATCGATCGGAGTTTCGTAATTTCGATGTAAAATTCTCCGGGTGTTTACCTTTATTTTCTCCCGCTCGGTACGACCTCGTCTCTTCCCATCTCCGGCTTCATCCTCGATCCTCGTCGACTTTAGTTAATTTACCTACCAAGATTGATTTACGTCACCGCCCAGCATTCCACACTACCATAAAACCAAGATATATGGCCGGGCGGCAAGGATTATGGAGAATTTACCGTCACTTTAACATTTACATAAATTTCATTTTCAATCTCCGCGTTTTCGCTTCCATTTTTTTTATATTAACTTCGTGATTTTTAATCTATTATCAATTTTTTTTACAGTAATCGTTTCTTATTTGTAGGCCATGATCGCCGCATTCCGATTTTTATTAAATATTTTATTGGTCGCATCTTCTTTTTTATGGTCTTCGTTTCAATGTGTATACTTACTCTTATTGATAAAACTAGATAATTTCAAATCCAAAACGATTAATGTTAACCAAAATTTGTCTTTAATCTAAGCATTAAATTCGTTTTTCTATTTAGTACATATCTACCTATAGTTTGATTAAAAACGTTTATTTTTTTGTAGCATCTTTTTGATAATTTACTGTCGAGTAGTGTCTAATTAGCATAAATATCACATAAAATCTCGAAATCCAGACCTGCCGCTGTCCCGTTCCGTCTTCTTTCGCTCGATTCCCGCGTATCTGAATCTGAGAACTTGACTGGCACAAAAGATCTGTCCGCCGTAAATCACCCGACGAGCCGGTAGGGCAATGAAATCCAACCATTTCTCGGCTACCACAACGTCAACAAATTATTTATACAATTGTCGGGATAACACGTATATTTATATTGAATGGACGCGAATCCTTCGATTCTTCGGATTCCAAGGTGTGCCTCGGATGTTTGACGAGGAGAAAAAATTGGATTGCTAACCGGTTTTTAGTTTATTTATTCGAAATTCTACCGACGCACTTTCAAAATAATGCCATCAGTTTTGATGATACAATGAAACATACTCAACTCTTCAGACCATCATTTTTTGGAGTTCTCTAATGTACTAAAAAAAATACAAACTTCTGCATGATTTTTGTTTTCTACATAATCTTTTGCTTTCAAAAAATGAAGGAATTGCTTAAGGTATAATGTTATATGCATAAAGAGAAGTGAAGGAAGATATGTTTTGGTTCGAGGATCCTGCATGCTGTTGCTTTAAAGCAAAAGGTTATATGGTTTTAAAACCTTTGTTTAAGGTTTCAAAACATTCATCTGGTATCTTTTGCTTCTACCTTTTACTTCAAAGTAAATGCTTCATTTTTATAAATATGGTTTATTGCGTATCTGTAGTGTACTCAATTTGTTTATTAGATTATACACTTTTCCAAAGATCCAGATTCATATTATGGATAATGGTACTATATCATTAAATAGCACCATTTCCACTGTAGTGTCTGTATAGGAGTTAGTAACCCCGCATATTGAAAAATTTTGAAATATTTGAAGTGTTGTTATGTATAATGGGAGAACAGGCCGAACAACCTGTTAACGAATTAATCACAAATCAGTGTTGTTTTTCAACTTTCGAACCGAGTCCCGGTGATGGGCTCTGTTAATGTCATTTTCCTTAATTGGGTTTCGTTAATCCGGGTAATTTCGACTCTAATAACAATAAATTCGTTGAAATATTATGAATATAAATTCGACTTTTTAATTATATTCATCACCGTTAATACCGTAATAAATACGAATCTTTATATCTTCGGATGGGGTTTTCATTATTGTAAATTACAAGTCCGAATCCACGATAAATACTTCAAATGCGGGCGATAAATCGCGTCATTTCGAGCTGGTTGTATAATATAAAAGAGACGCGGATGATCCGAAGCGACATCGGGTTGTTTAAAAATACTCTTCTTTTTTTTGGAGCGTGTGTGTATATATGCCTACCTGCTACCCAGACATCGCAGGAATTTTACCAAAGCTGGATTAATGATTCGAGGGATGAACCTTTATTTATTACTACAAATTTATATAAAAAAAAGATGATTGTGTTGCTCATTTAAAAATAATTTTCCAGTATCTACCTACCTACTGATCCAAAATTTAGAATTAGTGCATGTGATGAATTTACTTATACTAATAGTTACAAATTAATATTATTATATACGATATGGTCCTCATTCGTGCAGGTTCAATTCCAACTTTATATTGATTCCTTTACAATTTTTTCATTCCGCAATTTCATCCCTTAAAAAATACATATTTCACAACTGTTCATCGTAGTCAATATCATCTCCCCCATAATTCACCACCTTCAAGATTTATGCCTCCATATCAGTGCCATCCCAGCACTCTCCTATATTCATCCCCGTCGACATCGGCATCGTCCTCTTTTGCCGTGTCCACTTTTCCAAGGTATAGCACGAACGGCGTCGCCTAGCAAACGGGTGAATTCGATTTATCCCGGTTACTGGCAACAAACAATTTTTTGCACTACCAATTTTCAAACATCTTGTAGTATAAAATAAACCAATTAGAATGCATCAATTAAGGGCCTGGTTAATGAATGATTTTTCTCGCGCGGGGTTAATTAACGGTGCTAGCGATTTTCCGGCAGGAGCGCCGCCCGTGAGCGGCATCGCCTTCGTTCTTATCGGCGGATGCAAAGGCCAGCATCATCGGGGTCGACCGCTCTGGAGCGAGCGGGGTATTCGCGTTCGCCGTTCGAGGGGATAGGAAGGGCGGCGAGCCGCCCTCGCCACCCCCAGCGATTATACTCGGAGAGTCTGTAGTTTGTGTCTCGCGACTACGTTATGTCTAATCGATGGATTTCTGCGCGTCCCGTCTTAACCGGTCGCCGGCCATTACGCACCTTAATGGGTCCGTTTGGGCCCGTTCGGCCACAGCGGGACAATCCGAGGACCTTCGGAATACTTCACGCGACTTTTTTGCTAACTGCTGTATTCGTACATTCATACAAAATGCTGCACAATATTTAAATTAGTACCTCCTTAATACTCCTACTGCAGAAACAAGAAATTTGAATATTAATTTGTCGTTTACTCCAATGAGCATATTTACCAGAGCTTACCATAATTAACCATTGAACTAGTTATTTCACTTATACTAGTATTTATCCTATCATACGTGCTCTATCTATATAACACCCAGTAGGTAATGGGATCCGTAAAGTTTTCTCGTAGGTTTTTAGTCGATGTTAGTTACATTTTCACCCTATGCCGGTTTTCCCTATCAATACGTGTCATTAGACATCACCTATACTTTTATTCGGTTCACGATCAATTCTTTTATAAACAATTCGATCGGCGATATTTTATACGATTCGATTCCCCATTTGCCTATCGAGATAAATCAACGGCATGGCGTAATTGCAAACGAGAGTAAGAATTAGTAGATTAAAATCCCGCTTGCGAAATGCAATATCTGAGCGACACATCGATATTTTAATCGATCGTGACGAAAACATCAAAAGTTGGAAAGGGATTGCGTGACGGTGTGCAGTAGCTCTTGGAAATTAGTTGCACAAGTATGTCTCCATGTAACGTGTCCACGTCGTTCAAGTACCTCTTCGCGGTCGACGTTCGAAATGTGCATTTCCTTCTTATGAGCAGCGCTCAGATAACGTGAGAAATGAGCGCACGTATGACAAGACGCCGTTGTGCACGTTACAAAAATTAAACCAGTGCAAACTATTACATGGTATAGTTATTTTACATTATGTATGTTTATTCTATCGTTTCCACAAAACCACTTCGAAGTTACTGTTAATTAAATTCGTTAAATTATCTCACTAAAAAAATATCCTTATCAATCTTATAGATAGACAATTCCAAGCATCAATCTAGTGCAGGTTATCCGACAAGGCACATATTCCCCAAGAGATACCAACAGAGGTGTTGCCGCGTTAATCATCAATAACAAAAATTTTCCGGAATAGCTTCTTCTAATTACTTACGTTTTCCGGTTTACTCGACAACTTGACCGCTAGCAATAAATCAATTTTAAGGTTATGAACGATGACAAAGGGCCTGGATAATAATCCGACGAAGGACGTCCAAGAAGTGGAGTCTCGAGATCTGCCATTAGGGCCACCAAATTCATTCAGGACGCATCAATTTCAATTAAACCAAACTCTTCTACATCGATAATCGCATTTCTTCTCCCAAACTACAAAAATTATTATTATACTCACTACTCTTTGTATGTCATAAAAGCATCATCATAATCTGTTTAATTCGATAATGTGTCCGGTCAGCTGGGCCAGTGGTTGGTTCCAGAGACTCTTCCTGCCGTATACGCCTGTTTTTTCGCAAAGACCTGCTGTCCGTTGGGATGATGGATCCATTACTTTGGCACGTCAACGTTTTAGACACTGACCGCTGGCGGGTCCGGGCGAGCCGTAATTATTAAGAAGTTAGAGGCCTTGTTAATTGGGGATGATTGAACGAACAAAACGAACGACCACTGCTAATCGCATAAGGATTATTTCCCCGTTTTCCTGAAAGGCTAATTCGAAATTCGACAGGAGATGGTGCGATTTTTCTATGACTGCAATGGATGGATACAAAAAGTACAGCCCATCAAGAACTGTTCACGATACCTAAATTCCCAATAAAATCTTCTTCATAGGAATGAATAAATTAAGCAAAGTTTACCGAATTTACGAATTTCTTTGACTAATTTAATAACATTATGTAGAACTGCACTGTTTTGCAAACTTGTAAACGGTACAATTATTTACAATTAACATTCTCTTTTGCGATTATTATTTTTTATTTGAAAATCATGAATCAAAATATGCGACCAAAGATACATGGACAGATAACCTGTTTATGTTTATGAATATACGGTGAATATTTATGCTACAGATATCAGATAACTCGTGTTTAATAGAGTACATAGGGGGGAGTGGGAAGTATAAAAAGACGCACAGTGTATGAAGAATTTTCTCCCTACTACTTTCACCTCGTAATTGCTCTATATTTAGCCAATTCTTAAAAATGCAAGTATATTTGAAGCCTGGTGAGGAATATGTTAGTTTCCATGCATTCATTATTTTTCTTTAACACTGTTCGTGCGTAACTATCGATTAATTTGCTTCAATCTCCCTCGTCGAACGTTTATCGCCAACTTAGATTCGTTTTTACGCAATATTTCACTCGGCATACCGTCGTAATTAGCACATGTAAATACAAACTACAAGTGATCAATCTACGCAATTTACCGAATAACTCACTTGCTAATCTCCGAAGGTAGTTATTCTATCATTTTCTAAGAAACCGTCCGCCGTTTTAGACATGCCATTTAATTTATTAGGTACTCGCTTTTGTTACTGGCGGACCGGAATACGAAGTTTCAGTACATCTACAGGGTGATTATTTTGCACACATTATCCATTTATTTTTGTTGCGAGCCATTAATTTAAGTAAACGTATATATGGACGGACCTAAAACAAGACGCGACGAGGTCGAGAAGAATAAGAAGAACGTCGACAGTGCTCTAGTTCTAGCAATTTTTTTGCCACCCATAAATCCAACAAGTCTGGCGCTATCCTTTCTTTCCATCGACGCCCATGCTAATGCGCAGATTTATGGGAACACTCTCGCAAAATAAACTTTTCAAGAGCTGTCCATCTGAGAAGCAACACCAGTAAAATACAAGGGACATCAGCATAGGCGCGCCCAGTAGAGCTCCCAATCGTTTCCTCTTCTTGCAAATGACATAAAAATGCTAATCTAATGATTATACCTTAAAAGATTATTATTAACCTCTTTTAAACTACTACTATCGATCCCTATGTTATTCTACTACAGGTCTCATTACATATGTATGTACCAATCCATTCTATTTCATAATTTTTCCTTATTTACTGATGTTATAATTACCTTTATCTTCATTCCTTGAACTCCAAGGCACTGCTTGATGTTTTAAAGGTACCTTATTAGGTGTTTTATACAGGTTTGTGAGTACTTTGGGCCGTTTAGTGCGCCGCTGTTGGCGAAAATTTTACGTACCCAATAAATCTGAGACAGTACCTGCTACGCGGAGTCTACCTAAAAAACGAAGACAATTTGAAGTAAAGATACTGTTCGTGGTAGATGGCAATATCGTGGGAAGAGGAACGGTTGACGTTTTGACAAGATACGGTGGAACAATGGACAGAAGAATGGAAAGAAATCCCAAAAATGCGCTTACTGATCTACATATATTCCTGCTACAGAAATATTTGTTTTCGTGGTAATTTCGTGATTGCATCTACCTATTAATTGTTATAGGTAGATTGTTATTCCCTAACAAAACAAAATCGCGCGGAGAATTTGCGTTAAAAAATTCTCCGTTCCATTTTAATTACACAGATAATATCTGCAATATTTGTTGAATCGTTATCGTTACCATCGTTTTATTTTCGTTTGCGTTACGACCCCACTAGAAAAAATTAAATAGCGGGAATTTGCCTTTATCGTCCAACTTCAACATCCCCTACGAACTCTCGTCGTTTCGGTTTTTCGTTTGTTTTGAAGTTACCCCGCAAAAAAACCAGGATAGATGTGTCTGAGAGATCGCGGACGGCCGCGATCGTCAACAAATCTATGGAAATAAATGCAAAGACAAGTGAGTGAGAGCCAGACCATGGCTATGTTGACGGGGCTGTCGTCCGAATAACTGCTTTTACATCGATCCGCAGCCACCTCTTCTTTGCGAAACCCTTTCTTCGTTGCACTCCCGCTTCTACATGGGGACTCGCAAAAATTACAGCGCACTCACTCCAATTGCATATCGGATTTAATTCGGAAAATTGGTTTTCCGAGAGTCTATAAATTTGGTTTTATTGCCGTATAGTTAAAATAAGGCAGTTAATTAGAGGCTGGAAATTACGGGTATTATTTTTCTACAGGAATGTTGGCGGATTACGAGGAAGACGCCCATTTTTGCATCAAATGCCACGTCACCGTCATCGGTTTGGATAATTACATCAATCACAGGAAAACCGAATGTTTGAAAAATTTAAATGAAACACCGAAATCGCCTCTGCCTAGTCAACTTTTACCACCAGACGAATCGTTTAATTTGAAAGCCGATGATTTTTTCTCTTCCCTCGAGCTCAGAAGCAGTTCCAAAAAATCCGAAGTCCAATCCACGTCGGGAAAGAACTTCAGCGGTATTTTAACCAGAAGCAAAACCACCGCTGTTATTCAAGCAAAGTACTTATAAATCATAATCTACTCTTTATTTTATTCTTATAAACTTCTCCTTACAGTGCAATTAAAGACCCCGAACCGCAACAATCAAAATCGGGGAAAAACGTTTGGATTGGTGGTCATCAATTAAAAGAATTGGGTTATGGAGACAATCAATCGAAACTTATCACAGCCGTTAATAACCTCGAAAGAAGGAAAGAAGAACCTCAGAGGCTCCAAGTTTACGACGACAGCGATGATGATTCGGATGAATACGATTACGATGTTGACGATAGCAGCAGTGATGATCAAGATAGACCTCCTAGAAACCACACTGGTAATTCCGCATTTATTATAAATATTACTGTAGTTTACTTAAAGCCCCAAATTTTTAGGTGGAAAATGGAAACCTTCATCTCCTATACAATGGACAAAAAACGACTGGCACGTTCCTCCACCCAACTTCACCGGAGGCAAGTGGAAGCCTAAACGACCATCAACCCCAACTAGAGGAAAATGTAAAGAAACAGATGTCCCGCCTCCATCTTTTACAGGCAGCAAATGGGTCGCATCAAAGAAACATGACTCAGATGTACCCCCACCCACTCACACCAAAGGTAAATGGAAGCCAAAAGGCACCGAAGAAGATGAACTACCACCAAGTTATACTAAAGGAAAATTCAAAGCTAAAACAGACAATCAATACCCTACTGGTGGTAAAGGCAAATGGAAACCTCCTGAAAATTTAGACGAAGATGACCCACCGCCAAACTACACCAAAGGAAAATGGAAACCAAGAAGCGATGAAGATCAATATTCGACTGGCGGTAAGGTGAAATGGAAACCACAAATATTCCCGCCGCCCACCCATACCAAAGGCAAGTGGAAACCTCGAACCGAAAACGAAGATGAAGCTCCTGCGGCTAATTACCCCAAAGACAAAATGAAACCGAAAGCACTACCATCGACTTCGAAACAATCGCAGGAAAAACCCGAAGGAAAATGGTTAGCCAAAAAACTATGCCCTTCCGAAGAAACCAATAAAAAAATAACCGATAACTCTCTGTTAAGAAAATCCAGCGGAACCGTGCAGTATTGGTGTAGCCCTTGCAACAGACGTTTAGCTTCAAAAATAGTATACGAACGGCACTTGAAGTCGGAATTGCACTTCAAACGCACGTCTAAAGATAGAGAATTCGACGAAAGCGATGAGTTGACTCTATTTAGTCAAACAGGAAGAACCAAACCACCTGAACATATATTTAGTAACCAAGACGCTGAGGCTACTAAGAGGAAGAGGATAAGGAAGAAGCGGTTCGAGAAATGCGAAGTATGCCATTCGAAAGTAAAGAAATTTATGATCGGAAAGCACCTCATATCGCACTATCATTGTAGGAAAGGTGATATAAAATCGGACGTAGCTAAAAAAATGGTATTGGAGAATATACATGGCGTTGTTTTGGAAAGTCCCTTCCAATGCAGCATCTGCAAATTCTATTGTAACACGCAGGAAGATTTTTTACATCACTGGTTATCTCCTGAACACGTTAACCGGCAAGCACCTGGCTATTTTCTCTGCATATTATGCAAATATCAATCATTTGATTCTGAACAAATGCACAAACATCTGATTTCATCCGAACATATGGAGGTTGTGATGGTAATCAACAGATCTGTACCGATTGTAATCAAGAAAATCAGTCCGATACGGTGCTCAGTTTGCGGTCAAGAATTTCTGCTCAACATACAATTACTAAGCCATTGCAGGAAATTCGGTCACGACATTACTCAAACACAAACCTTTCTCAACACTCACGTATGTAACGTCTGCGGCTTGGGCCTCCTATCCGATGAAAGTCTTCGAAGGCACAAGAAGATGGTCCACAAACACAAATACTACATTTGCTCGATTTGCAATTTAAAATTCGACAATATTACCGAGGCTAAGTTACACAGAACTACTTTAGAGCATAAGTACACCAGCAAGAGGAAACGCAACGGAGCTGGTCCATTGAAAAAGTGCCAGTATTGTGATGCCGGTTTCTCCAATTTTCTTCTGCTTAAAGAACATCTCAAGAGTGTACACCCAGAAGAAAAATCCAGGTAAGACATTAACTCATACATTTAATATGCAGTTGAACTAAAGTGTGTACTAATAGATGTCCCCACTGCGGAGAAACTTTCACCGTAGCCCAGGAGTTGACGAACCATCTACGCTTGAAACTCTGTAAATTCGAAGCTCCTTTGGAAGCACCCGAAAGCATTCTTCAATGCGAAAGGTGCCCGTTCTTCTCATCGTCCGTGTCGGAACTACTCTTTCACTTGGCCCTTCACGAGGAGCCGCAAACCATCGTCCAAGAACCGACGACCAGCACTCGCATGAAGATGATGGTGAAATTCAAGTGCCCCGTTTGCGAAAAGTTGTTCCCCAAAGGATCCCTCCAAGGGCACATCAGGCAACATACCGAGGAGCGACCCTTCGAATGCGAAATTTGCGGAAAGTCCTTCGCCAGGAAGAACAATCTGCAGTACCACGTGCGCAATCACGAGAAGAGCGAAAAGGCCAAAGTTAAAAGCGTCGCTGCAGAGCAGTCGTTTTTGTGTTACATATGCGGAGCTAATTTCAAGAAGAGGTAAGGTGCAATAGCTTTTAATTATTAGTAGGTAGGTATTTGCGTTATCGTAGTGTGTGGTAGTAATTTGAAGATGTAGGTGTTGTATTAATAATAAATCGCTTTTGGAGAAGACACCAACTTCAACATAACCGTACATCATGATGGTAGGGAGCTCGCAGAAGGGCAAAAAATCGTCATTAAGCCCTAATGGACAAACAACATAAGCGGCTCCGGCTCCGTCCTAACCGTGAAAACTTGGTCGGAGCCATAAATCTCCGAAGATATCCCATCCCCCCGTTTGTAATATGCACCGAGCTCATACCGTCCGACGACCATAGACGACCCATTTGCTACCGGTAAATAACTTAAGTACACATTAGAAGTGCGAGCGGCTGCCGCCGGCTCCATATATCACCGGACTCCGCTCCGGGTCCGGCAACTGCAACTTAAACACGCCGTACGGGCTTCCGAATCGAGGAATTACCAGATAATACGTTCGGCAAATGTCTACTTAGTTGTTGAGGCTCTTGCAGATACATTGGATGTTGCGAAACTTTCATGTACCCAACGAGTTATATATCGCATTTATATTTATTGTTAAAGGCGAATCGGCGGAATCGCCCCGTATATTTTTAATCGCTACCCTAACGTTTTAAACGTATCCCGGAATCCCATCAAAGTATTTTCTAATATCACGAAACATTCCGGGCAACATTATCAATTTCTGCTGGGAAATTACCATCCATCACAATGGACGTTTATCGCTTACCGTTAATTTCGGAGAATGGATAATACGTCATAACACCGAAAGACATAAATTTCTAAATTATTTTCGGGCGATATTATAAATCAAAAGTATCATAAAATTCCTTTCATTCACTCATTCGAGGGTCATTACCTCCCGCGGATCACCACAGATAATTCTTTACAATGAAGCAATGCCGGAATTATGTATTTATATTGTACAAAAAACTTTTCCTTCAATTTATTCTTCTGGAGATCTTTTGTTTGATTTAATTTTATTAGATTATGGATAATATGGAGTTTTAGGATGCTTTATCCATATATAGATCCATTCTTCCCTTCTTTTATAACATCCCTCTCGCATTATATTTGCAATTACTATTCATAAAGTATAAAAATTTCTAACTAAACGTTGATCCAATTAGGGCAATATTAAAGAAAGCTCCTACTTATTTACAACAAAATTACTTTCCAACTGGAATAATTGAGACATTCCAGTCGGCGTCGGTCGGGGGGCAACTGAAAATTTCAATTAAGCCAGCGCTAATTAATATATGAAAAGAATATACCGGAGTAATAATAATAATCAAATTAGATCTTACGGCGACTGTTCCAATTACTTGGAACACAAAACGACAACGGAATTGATGTCGTCGGTAACGTCATAAAGACATTCCTAATTGGTAAATTGCGCGATTCTTTCCAGCGTTTTATGGATATGCGTGTGTGCGAGACGATCGGGTTATTAATATTATTTGCGAAAGGTCACATGCCGATTTTATTGCACACTGGAAATGGCAATGTAGGTACTATACGAGTGGCGTGAGGAATATACACACAGGCTTTTCCCCGGATGAAAAATAGTATAATGAATAAGGGGGCAAGTAAATTGAAAAGCATAAAGATGTCTGCGAATTAGCAGTTGCAAAAGTTTTACGAAATGAAATATAGATACATCCGGGTTAGACAGCGCATGTAAATAACCAGTAAACTAGCGTAACAATAACTTACGCGATATATCCGAGCATTCATAACATCCGCATTACGTTTAATTCAGATTTAGACGCCCTTAGTACCAATAATAACGAAACTTTGTTGAGCGGAAAGTCTATCTCACTGTATCTTTTTAACGTGTTTCTGCCCGGTGCTGTATGCTAGTGTTGTAAAACGTTAACTGAGATATATCCTTAATGAGAAAGAAATATAATAACAGATATAAATAGCCTTTAGATACTGTTTCATTTACAATAAATTTGTGCCTCGGTTATTACTGCAGGTGGTTATCGTGGGATACGAGTTTCGAATGAGTCGAATGAAACGGAACGCTGTTGCCACATTTTATCTCTCGCGAACGCGGCCGTCTTCAGCTTCAGATAGAATTTTAATTAGAAAACCAACAGCCAATTCGCTTACCAATTTAAAACAAAAATTCATATACCACCCCGCGTACCCTACCCATGAAATTCTCCTCATCACGAAAGTAAATTAAAAGTAGGTATATAGATTTTCTAATTTTTACTATGCACCATTCATCTGCACCAATCATTTCTTATTGATTTCGCTTTTTTTTAACTCTTATCTCCATGGAGAAATTCTATTGGAATAGCAGTCTAACGATGAATTGTGGGTAGCAAAATTGAAAATGCTAATTTCACCTCTTAGAACAAGGATCAGTACATTGATATTTGGATAAATTTCTATATTCAAACTACCCTTAAAAACTTTATTTCAACCACTTCAACAAATTTGATTCAGCAAAGGAACATTTCAGTGTACCTATAGATTTATCAAAAAAATCCTATTATTTTGTCTAATGAATCAATAATTTGTCACTGGCATACCTAAGTATGCGAAATATTTGAGCAGAATCAACTAGAACTGATTGGACTTTTCTGGAATAAATGCAAGAGAGCATCCCTTGGCGAATTTGAGCATATTGTGTGTCCCCCATTCGGCGTGTTTAACGTAATATATGGCGAGATGTAAACAATTAGTGACTAAAAAGTGTTCGTTTGCGGACCACTCGGCAGTGGAGGCGCGCTCGCACGCTCACACACTCGCACTGACTGCAGAACATAAATCGGACAGTGAGCATTTGTGTTGGTTATTTATGCCTCATATTTCGTACTAAACGTGTAGTAATTAGAGAATAGTGGTCCAAGTGAAATATAGGTGAGAGACGAGGGGGCCGCCGGTTCGGGGTGAGATTTTCTTGGGGGGTCGCCGCGAATTGCGCTCTCTCTTCCGGTCGTTTTGCAATTGCAAGAATTCGTTGCATTCGCGGTATATTATACGCGTTCGTTATTACAATTTCTACGCAACGAAAAAAATACCCTAGGTTAATCGACCTAACTTTATCTACCGTTAAATCGGCCTATCCCCTTCTCTCGCTTCCATCGACCATCCGGAATGCGTTCCTCTTAAATCAAATTTCGAATTGATATGATTGCGAATACATAGAGAACTACACAAAAACACCAATAAATTACAATATCGAATAAACGATCAAAGAAAAATCTCAATTAAACTCGGCCGATTAATTACGGGGCAAGTTTTGAGATCGCATCACCGAATGATTTACAGAAGTATCCTTTTCCGTCCCGAACCCGTCGCGGACCTGTATTGAACACACTCATTACACTAAGAAACGGATAATCTAATCATACCGCGTATCAAACAGATTTTTTTAACACCCAACGTACATTCAATACAAATGCGAAAACTTACGTGTTTATATTTCAAACGTTATACCACAATTTTCAACCAGCATTTTCTGTAGCAAATCCGCCGATGATTTTTTCTCCGTGTACGCCAAAGAATAAACTCCAAGTGCTCTGAGCTCTATCGAATCACTGGCATAAACAGGATGATTAACCGGTTGTCAAACTAAAGGAATAAAAGTAATTTATTGGGACGGGAAAAAAATAACTTCAAATTAAGGATTTTTATTCGGAAAATCCGTTTTTAAAAAATATTATAAATTTTATTTTTGGTATTTTATTTCGTGTTTACAAGCAAGTGGTTAGACAAAGAATGACCACAAAATACAAAAGCTTCTAACTGAAAGGAAATGCAACGTTAACAAAGATAAACATTAGAAGAATGCATTTATGCATTCTTATATAAAATACGTATAATTCTAAGTATGTAACTCCTCCATCCTTAAGATGAAAAAATTACGGAGTCATTTTTGCGATTTTCATCACTTTCCCGCACTTTTCGCACTTTGCGTCTCATTAATGTTTTTCTGAAAATTATTAGTCCAATCACTAATGTTCCGATTATGAAAAACACTGTAGTTGTCACTATGACCGGTGTGTTATTGCTGTAGGTGATGCTGACATCCTGGATGGGTTTCAGCTGCTTGGCGATCTTGTTGATCTCGAACAAACCATCGAAATTGATATCTGATATATTGGTAGCCGGGTATTCCTGATGATCTTGAATGTTGACTATCTCCAATTTTGGTAATATTATTGGTTTTCCTTCTTGAATTTCTTCATTGTTGTTGAATTGCATCTGATTTATAAAAATTGTGCAATGTTTGGGAATATTGATCAACGAAGGTTGCATGATTTCTAAGTATTGGTTCCGTTGGCATTTTGACAGAATTTTCAGTTTTGTTGACGGGATCACTAAAATTTCGTCTCTAGTGATTTGTTGTATTATGGAGTTCTGAATGTTGACTTCAACGATTGGGCAACGTTGAGGTGATTGTCCATCTAGAAGTTCGAGGGTGCATTGGTCCTTCGGGGTAGATTCCAATTGGCAATAATAAACATTTTCTACAATCGGACATTCGATCTTCTGGAGCTGCGATTCTTCTTTGGATTGTACCAAGTAGGGATAATTGGGTAAAAACATTTGATGGTTCTGAATTATAGGGTAAACGTGAAAGAATTCATAAAATTTTGGTTTTAGGATGGGAACATGAATTGCAAAAATTAATTTTGTTTTAGAAAAGGATATTTGAGTACTAAGAAATAGATAGTACGTTAAAATATTTTCAAATTTTGGAATTTCATCTTCATTATAAATTTTACTTAAATATTGTATTATTTCTGAAATTTCGGAACTTGACAAAATCGAACTATGCAAAGCATTCAATTTTGCAAATACTATTGAGTTTTCGATACCTTCCACAAAGGTTATCAAATTTTGACAATCCAAATTAATTTGGGAAATGGTGCCATGAAAAGTAATATAATTAGTTAGCGTTTCGATACGATGATGAATTGAATCCTGAAATCTTTGAATATTATTTCGAAGTTTTACTTGATTTTTGAAAAGTGTTGTAATTGTATTGTTGTAATGATCAATCAACTTTTTATACAGAGATGTTTGCAAATTAGTTTCATGTATTAATTGTTTTTGATTTGCTTGTAAGATATTAATTGCTTTATCGTATCTTGCTTCGTCGTCTGAATCTAGATTTCCAAAAAGCCATTTATTAACTTTTCCAATTCCATTAATTAGTCCTCTTTTCATACGGATATGAGGAATAATATTTTGAGATTTTCGTTCAAGGGTATCAATTAAAAATTGAGTTCTTTCTAACATATTTTCAGCTTGAGCATGATATGAAATGGGGTTTGTTGCGTTACTAATTACTATGTTATTCTTAACAATAGAAAATTGATATTTCAAAGTATTAATAAGTCTAACCACTTCTCCTAAATCTAAATAATGAATAAATGTATGTTTCGTATAGATTATACGACTACTGCCTAAGGATATGGGAAGTAATAGGTTTTCTAATTTGGTGACACGAATATCTTCACCTTTAGTTCCTATTTGAACAGCTAGGTATATTAGGATCACGGATAACTTCATCTCCTCTTGAATCCTGTAAAAGATCGTCATTTTTAAGTCTGGGTTTTCGTACAATACTTTTGTGGTATGTTCCTTTGTCAGTTGTAATAGTAATGTCGTTATCGGTAATTATATTAGTCTTTTTGAATTTTGGTAATTTTTTGTCACGATTTTTCGTTTGTACATAAGCTACTGTTTCGTCAGTGTAATCAATGGGATCGTCACGTTTTGTATTAAGTTTCTCGATTATTCTCTCTTTTCTTATCGCATTATTTTCCTGAATTTTCTCATATAGTTTCTTAGTAATTTGTTTGTGGTTTTGTACGTAAAATGATACTGTTAACTCATCACTTAAATCAAAAGGATCTGCATTGTTTATGTGACCTTTAATTATCTCAAACGGTGTGAATTTAGTAACTGAATGTATGGAATTATTGTAACTTAATATTGCATGCTTTATCAGTTGGTCAACTGTTAGATCTTTGTTCTCTTCTCGAAATCATCTAACGCATTCTATGCATATTTATTTTTAGCATATCTATTTTTTTACAGGGGGTATACGTGAAAACATATTTTTTTCTTTTCTTCCAATCCAGATTTTCGTATTCATTCACTTTATAACGTTTTCTTTTCCAACCTTTCATTCTTGATTTAATTGTTTCGTCTTCATTTCCGCCAGAAAATCGAATTGTTGACGAATTTTCTGCAATATTTTGTCTATTAAACTGTTTAAAAGAAAGACAGTTTATTGGTTCAACTCTTTCTAAAGCAACTCTATTATTAAATCTTTTTTCTTTGACAACTCTTGTTTCAACACTTTTATTATCAATATCTTTGCGAACCATTCTTGATTTCCCTACTTTTAACTTACTTTCATCGAGGTTCTCATTAACTTCCGTCTTTTTATTTTGTTTATCTAACTTATTTTCATTACAGACCAAGTCTTTAGTCTCATTACTTTTCTTTGAATTCTTAACTTTTTTCTTTCTTCTTGAATCAGGTAATTCAAAGAATTCATCAAGGTATAACTCTTCCAAATTATCACTTACAGATATTTTTTCTAATGTATTCAAAGTTCTTTCTGTTTCTGACTCAATAAAATTAGGTACCTTATTTTCATCCGTTTGTCTAATTTTTAATGGTATTGTGGTTCGATTGTTCATTAATTTTCTATGTTTCATGTCTAAAATAAGTTCCATCGCTAACAAATCATTAAAGCCTAAAACTCCGTCGTAAAAGTCGTCAAAATCATATAAAATAAAATTAATTTTGTGGTCACTATTGAATTCAGAAAATGAAGGTATATCAGCTTGATATTCAACTAATTTTGTACTCACGAATGATAATAAATACGCATTTGATTGATAAATATAATCAGAATAAAATTTCTTTGCAATTGTTGGTTTAATTATTGAGTGAGTACTTCCAGTATCTATAAGTAACTTTAATTTTGGATTTCCAATTTCAATATAAAGCAATGGATTATGAGTCACATTAAATTCAACTATTTTTGGTTTTCCGAGGCTTGTATTTGAAAATTTACGGTTTTTCTGTCATTGTCTGGGTTGGTATTGTAATTTTTGTTAACTTGTAAAAAATCGGTTTTGTTCCCTATTTCTTCATGTGAATTTGTATACAACTCTTCAGTTATAGTATTTTGTCTCTGAAAGTTATTTCTGAAGGGTCTGTTTCTGTTATAATTGTTATGGGGGTTTCTGCTAACCATCGAAGTCATTCTACTTGTTGTAGACATTGGTTCGGGTTCGTATTGACGGTTAAAGGAATTAGGGTTTCTTTGAAATGAGGAAGTCATTCGACTAGTTGTCGACATGGGTTCTGGTTCATGCAATTGATTTCGTGGGATCGGTCTTGGTTTAAAAACATTTTGATTTGGTTGAAAGTTTGGTCTAGGACGAAAATTATTTTGATTTTGTTGCTTGAAATGATTTTGTTGATTGAACTCATTTTTGAAATTATTTTTGAAATTTCTACGTTCGTCATTATTGTAATGGCTATTGAAATTCTCAAATTCGACAACGTAAGCCATAGCATCTTCCAAAGTATCCGGCTCTTTCAAATGTAAATTATTTCTCAAAATACCGGTACATCCCGAAATAAACGCATCTAGCGCGACCTTTTCACAATACTCTAATCGGCAAACTCTACGTTCTCTACTTTCACCTTCTACACTGATTCTCTGAGACACATTACTACGTAATAGTTGCAATCTAGTTCCAAAATCAATCAAATTTTCATTTCTGTTAGGTCTAGTCCGACCTAATTCTTGAATAAGACAATCTAAATTTCTTCGGTCAGAGAAACTTTGCAATAAGGCTGTTTTTAACGCGTACCAATCATTTAACTCAGGACGATTACCAATCAAAGCTTCAGCTTTACCAATTAATTTATATTGAACAGATTCTAAAATATGAGCATTCAAATCTTCATCGCCATATTCGCGATATGTAGCAAACAACTTTTCACAACGCGCAATGAACGTGTTCAAAGTACTAGAATTACCATCATAAGGCTTAATATTATCAATTTTCATTTTAAACAATTCCCAATTAATTTGTCTTGGGGCAACTGGAGGGTTCGACATCTTGAATTTATTTACTTTACTCGATTCGATTTTTAAAGAACTTAATTGTTTTATTATTGAATCTACAGATTCCGAAACTTCTTCTGTTTTCATAAATATATTTCAAACGATAATAAATTTTCAACGCACTATAACTATCTATTCTACCCAAACAGGGGTAGGAATAGGCGAAAAGGAACTTGGTACTCACGGGTAGTTGTGGTGCGAAGATTCCTCTTCCGATCCTTTGTCCTGGAACTCCTGTTGTTCCGCCACTAGTTGACACTTGGGTTGAAACGTCGACTCCACTGAAGGGATAACTCTCGACAACGCTGATTCCACTGAAGGGATAGCGAAAAGTTCTTGGATACGCACTCGGATGTTAAAACACCACAATCGATGAAAAAGTTTTTCCGACACAATGCGAAATCTTTTACAACGACCGCACGTATCCTACTGACTGCGCCAATTAAGGATTTTTATTCGGAAAATCCGTTTTTAAAAAATATTATAAATTTTATTTTTGGTATTTTATTTCGTGTTTACAAGCAAGTGGTTAGACAAAGAATGATTATAAAATACAAAAGCTTCTAACTGAAAGGAAATGCAACGTTAACAAAGATAAACATTAGAAGAATGCATTTATGCATTCTTATATAAAATACGTATAATTCTAAGTATGTAACTTTCACAAACTTATCAATATCTACGGCGTTAATAACGGCCTGTAATGACGAGAACGTATGTGCATACACTATACAAGTCTTATGTCTTGCTCACGAGTATTGAAACCTCAAATAAACCGCAGATATCATGTGGTATTTATGGTACTTGTGAACTAGAGAAACAGAAATACTGACAAAATCGAATTATTTCTTATCTTAACTAGACAAAAGTTCGGATACCAGACTTTACACACCTACTCAAAAATGTTTTGCATATTATATATGAAGTTGAAGTTGAAAGTTGAAATGCCACTGGCCATTTATTATTTGAAATGACTTTTGTTAAATTGATTTTATCATATTATGATTTCTCATGCATTGAAACACCTGTCTTCAAATTTTCGCTTCTGTACATCCAAAATCTTTCAAACTGCTGCGAAAAATCAATTAAATCAATTAAAACAATTTAACAAGTCATTTTAAATAATAAATTGGCAGTGGCATTTCAACTACATGTATAATATGCAAAACATTTTTGAGTATTTATAGATTACAGTCCGATAGAAGTATCTGAAGACGTGAGAGTGTGATGCGCAATGGTTTGTGTCATTTAATTATCATTTCAAGGTCGCGCAGGCCACGTGTACAATTATTTCCATCGCACTGTACCTGTGTTCGGTTCGGAATCGTTTGTTGGCGTTCTCCTTAAGGAGCTGCGGTGGTTATAGAACAAAGGACGCGTCAATTTTCTCGTTTCATATCGCACGATGCCAATCTCTACGTTTTATACAGCGATAGATATGCCGGGACGGACGGGAGAAGGAAAGAGAGAGAGAAGGCGGATTTTTAAGCTGCCGGTCCGGGATTTATTGCATACTTTTAAGCCTCCGGCGGCCGTAAATTTGAAGTCTCTTTTTACGTAGCCGTCACCCCTTGGTGATGCATGGATGGGCGAACGCTAATGGCAGAACACCCCTTTACCTCCTTCTTTCTTTTACTCGACAACCACGTCTCGTTCTATCTTCTGTTTACCAGATGCATGTATGTGCAGATAAAAGGGCGAGTTTTTCCCTTTTACTGTAATAGTTTGTTTTAATCGAATCGTGAGGCCGTAGATCATTTATACAATGACCAATTATCTTATCATCACCCGGGCCATAAAGTGAGCAATTAACGTTTTTCGGGCTCTTTCTTATTTAAAAGCGCGGGCAGTAAAAAAACCAGTTTTACTTTTCTTTTGTAATTTTATGAGACCATTAGATTTATACCCAATTAAATTGAAGTTTAAATTTATTGACGGAATGTCGGTAAATACCTTTTTCAATAAGAACTTTAAAAAATACTAACCAAAGCGATGCTAATTGTAATTTAATGTCGTCATTAAAAACTTCAGATATCAAATACATGTACACAGTGAAAAAGTAACAGTTAATTCGGTTACTGCATCTCCGTTTATCCCCACCTCTATAGCACATTTCATGCATAATAAATAATTTTTAATTAATTAAATTAAAATAATTTTAATGTTTAATACATTGTAGGAATTAAGTGATCTCGAACAGTTTAAAACAAACCGGTAAGACAACATGTAATAATTATCTTAACCAGTTTCCTAATTACTCGGATAGGTATATCTCGTAGAGAACCGATCTAATTTGAAATAAATGATGTAATAACTATATTAATACTTGTAGTACTTACCAGGATTTTGCAGTCTTATCGGAAAAGTAATATTGTTCAATACATGCAGGAAGCACACCGTAAATATTACCTATAGAAACATTATGTGAAAAGATGCATTAAGATACCGCGGGACTCTTTTAAAATGTTATGAAATGATCGGTCAAAAAACTGCCACTGTCAACTGTCATAAGATAAAAGAAATGTTATTTTGTGATTCTGTGATGGTTATTAAATCAATAATAAATTAATTTTCTAAAGGATATAAAGAAATAAATAGGAGTACCTACCTATTTAAAAAAATACCAATAAACTCTGGAACCCCGTCCCTGTGACCAGACGCAATAAATATATCAAAAATACTCCATACATATTAACATTTCAAATCAAAAGAGTGGATTTATACGAAAGAGAGATACATAGGTGTGTTTGTGTGTAGTATATCTACACGTATAAAATAAAATAATGTAGTTGGCTGTGTTGGCCGGTCATGGCGAGCCAGATTGATGAGAATGAAGTGAACAGTTGATTTCTACATAAATAACGGCAATACAATATCGCTTTGACAGATTTATAAGCGGCAGAGATGCCGCCCCACGTCCAGATTTTTGAGTAGAACGCCCATCGCCGGATCGTAAATTACCGATGGATCCGAGTGGAAATTACGGACAGATACCACTTGCCACGATTCATTCACATTTATTAATACTTACCGTCGATTCGGACGGACGTGATTCAGTATTTTTCATTTCTGTGGTCGGCGTTTCCATTTCCACGATCGAATCAATCACTTCAATAAAAAAAATATATATCGTTTGTTTGGGATGTACGCCCCTACATGGGATCAAATCAACCATCACTGTTTAAACCACACGAATATTCTTTCCTCGATAAATAATTCTTATGAATATTGAATTATAATTATTTATTTAAAATACTTTTCCAATCCATACGGTATCCATCTGTCCGACGTTGGTATGCAAGTAAGATCTTGTTATTTAGCGATTACAGAGACAGTAGCTCCGGCATCAGCTTCATTAATTTTTATTGGCCACCACCATCAAAATTAACGATCGAACCGCTTGAATTATTCGACGAGTTCGATTTTCCGAACGATCACCATACCGATCTCTCGACGCTCGACCGGCCACTATACAACCTGTTTTTCGCTAATTGTGATTGTAAATAAATCTACGCACAGTAAATATGTATATCAGACCAAAACCAAATCGATGGTTAGTTCACATTTTCAATTATAAACGTTAATTTAATAAGAAACCTTCTCTATCAGGAGCATGTTTACAGGTATTTAAAAAATATGTAGGTTTAGGGGTACTTTATATTTCAGGGCGATCCTTCAGCAGCACATGCAAATCCACACGGGAAAACTGTGCAAATGTCCGCATCAAGGATGCATTTTCGTAGGAAGAAAGATGGCCGAGCTGAAGGAGCATTTTCTTATTCATTTGGATGAAAAGAACTTCGCTTGCAACACCTGCGATTACAAAGGGAAGACGAAGTCCTGTTTGATAAGGTAAAGTACACCAGTTAAAATAACTTTTCGTCCTCTTAACCCGATTATTACATAGGCATATGACAATGCACAAAGAAACGAAAAAACTGAATTGTCCGCAATGTTTGTTCACCACAAGAAACCCGCAGCATTTGAAAAGGCATCTACGAACGCATACAGGAGCTAAGCCTTACAGCTGTCCTCATTGCGACTACAAATGCAGTAATTTAGTAAGCTACTTTTACCAACATTTCCTACTTTATAAGCTATATCTTTACCTCTACATAATTAGGAAAACCTTCGAAAGCACGTCATCTCCACTAACAAGCACGTGGGAAAGTATCTGTACGAGTGCAGATTTTGCGAAGAACTCGCCAGCCCGTTTCAGACGAATTTCGCCAAAGAATTCAAAGCTCACTTGGTGACGGAACATTCAGACATGTTCGCGAACAACACAGACGCCACCTCCTACATTGCAGGCATTTACGACGGCCAAGACGACACCAAGCACGTTTTTGTCGAGCAACACAATTGCAGCGAAATGGATCAATCGCTGGCACCTGCAGAAGAGCCCAACGAAAACATACTCGTGCTAAACACCGACGCCGATCCGATCGTTTGTCAAGCCGACGTGTCCGCGACGTCGAAAGAAATCGAGAATTTGCAGGATTCCTGGAGCTTAGTGGGTAGATACGACGTGGAAGAAGCTTCGGGTACTCTGATACCGTTCGAAAGCGACAGCGAGAGCTTATTTCAAGAGCACTTTTGAAGAACAAAAAAATCCCCCGTTACGACCCTGGATAATTCCTATCTGCCTTTCCGTTTCCAAGTATACGTATATACGCTTACATGCCTATCGTCCAATTGATGAATAAAGCCCCGGGGGGCCATGATGAAGAACTCGAAGGCATAAATAACCAAACCACTCAGCTTGAGGCTGACCTGAGTTATTTCTTCTTATTCGTCGATTCTTATTCATTATTCCGTTGTTCTGTCAATCAAGCTCGCAGTGGCTCCCATCCTTCTGCCAACCCGTTCGGGCACCAACAAAATGGCTGCTAAATTCCTTTTCTATATATCTACCTAATCTTTCCACTACTGAATGTTTATGTTGATTTTGTCTCATCCTGAATTTACAATTCTGCAGGTGAGTTTAATTTTTGCGTGTTACGATGTTGTGGTGAAAGTAATTATTCAGTTAATAAAGGATTTTTTTTATAATGGAGTTGTTGAAACTGGTTTGGGGTGTTATTCCGGCGAACCGTTACGTTTCCTGCGTTCGAGACGGGAGGGAAAGTACGCGAGCCCCCTACCTGAGTACATGGCAACAGTAAATCTTAACATTTGTCATGCACTCTGCAATCTAAACAAAAGTACGAGCGAGAGACACTAGCGCCCCTCTATATCAAAAGGTTGAGTTGAGTCTTTCCGTCTACCGTGTATGTGTATATTGTATGAAAGATTTATTATCGCGTTATATATGTGTACATCTTTCATTCTTGTCGCAGGTATACGTACTGGGTCACTTCCTTACAAATGCATATACTGTTATTTATGCCTTTAAAAAAAATCAAATCGAACCAGACTTGTATTTTCCGATTTTTCCACTCGACGTCGGACTGGATCCGATAGAAACGATCAATCTCTCATAAACGAAATTAGAAAAAAGGGGTGGCATATCGTTCCTGATCGGCAGCTCATCCCGTTGCGTCCGCGATTGTATTTATGAGTGGTGATTACAGGTTGCCCGGCCATGATTTACGAAGACGAAGGGCCGCCATCTTGGCCGCTCCGTGATATACGACCTTGCGGCACGCCATCTGACAAATCCTAATCACTAATCAAATCCTCTACGAACGCGGAGCTCTCCTCTTCCTCTTCCTCTACCAGTTAATGGCCCATCGCGAGATTTATGGGATATTAGAAAATGATAATTAATGTGGATTCGAGTGCTTCGCTCGAGAAGCGGTGGCGTGGTTTTATCCTGATGGGATCGAATTTATCGCGAAGTTGCTCGTTACAATACCAATAATCGTTAAAGGCGCGCGAAAAGAAAAAAACGCTTTTCTTTCGTTCTTCCGAACGGAATGCAAATGCGAGATGTATCGATGAACGGTTAAAGTGCCCTCCAATTGGATGACATCTATCAAATAGCTTCGTGAATCACACGTCAACGTGGGAATGCGAGGAACATTATCCGGTGCCCACCACCTCAGCCCAATTACAAGTGCGACATTCAGCAATGTCATCTTAAATAACGCGCAACCGATACACAACCACTCCTTCTTGACATATTTAGCGAGGAACGATGCCATTTTGTACGATGTGGACGTGTTCACTTCAGTCTGATTAAGTATTTAGATGCTCCTCAAGGTCTCCAACAAGGGTCACTGTTTCATTTCAAAGCAGAGGACTCTATCTATATTTATATTGCTTCCGTAGAATACTTTTATATGAATAATTACACGTACAGAAATGAAAGAAAATTTGGACAGAGATTAAGATTTATCCGATTTGTTCATATCGTATATGCATATATTTTTCGAAATTAATAAATTCATTGGTATCCTGCGGTTTTTTAAATTTCCGTTTCCCATCGCTTTATTTCTCTTGGTAAGTATAGATAAACTTTTATGACAAGTGTTATCATATCGTTCTAATTTTATCAAAAAATTAATAAATTTATTTTATTCATCAAATATTTTTATCGCATATTGATTTTTATAGTAAATAACACAAAGTAGTGTTTTCAATAATAATATGCGTAGACAAAATATAAGTAAATCAATATCTTTCTCTCTCTATGATAATATATTTTTAATATTCCTATTTATTTCTAAAACAGGAAATATACTGCATATTTCCAGATAATATCACCCTGTATATGAATGTAAATTATCCACCCTATATATTCCATATAGAATAATTTTATCGATGGATAATAGATGGCTGCACAGCCATTTTTAAATATGACTAAGTTTGCGATTCCGGTGCTTATACAAATAAAAATCAAAACAAATAAATTTACTACACAAATCATTTATATTATTTTATTTATAACAACGTCATTTGAAAGAGTTCCTTATTAACTGTTACATATACATAAAAAATAACAAATTATATTTCATTTTTCACAAATTTCACGGTGACGTCTTATTACTCACCACCGCTTTGACAGTTTTGACATATGTCTTGGCTTATCAGCTGATTTTTATCAACATGTCAAAATTTGTGGTTATTTGTTTCTTATCAAATTGAAATATTATTCTCTGTGTACTGTAATTGTTTATTTCGCGTTGGTATTACGTTAATATTTCGCATTAAAATAGTTGTTAATTACCCACGTTTATTCCCGCAAAAATGTTCATCAAACAGAGATTAATTACGCTCAAATTTAACGTCAGTAATGTTTGATCAACTAATTAACATCTAGGAAGTTTTCTTTAAAGATGTTCGTAAAACCTCAGGAAGTCCTCATCGCCAATGCATTTTGGTATGTTATTATAATCGTTTATTATTTGTCGGTGACAATTGTTTTTAAAACATAGGGAAACTGAACAATCTTCGATATATTTCGTGTTGCAACACAGAAAAGGACATGGCAATTCGAGAGGCCTGTCTTCACTGCTCGTGGGTACCATGGATAGCATTTTCGATACAAAACCCGCACCGTACAGGATCCTCCACCAAACACCCTCATCTGAAGTATATTACCGTAAGCATATGTTGTTCAAACAAACCATTAAACAAACCCTAAAACTGCTCCCTTGCAGTGATAGCATGTGCAATGACTAAAAAAGAAATAATGGATGATTGGAACTGGCTGTTCGGCAACGTCTCCGAAACATTGCATTGCTTCGACAACGAGGAAGAAATCACCGAGTTTGTATCATGCAAAATCGAGTCCGTAATAGCCACAAGACAAAACGTCGAAGTAGAAGGTAACAATTCTTCATTTAATATACGCAAAAGCGCAAAATTGCTTGCAATAGTAATTAGTTTTTAATTTTTTAACTTCAGATGAAGACACTACGTCCTTTAAGGTCACCACCGAGAAATTCCACAGGCTTTTTCAATTGTCCAGAGACGAAAAGTTAGTGAACTATTATTCTTGTAGGTGAGTTCCGATTATCTTATGAGAGGGTAATAAAGTTTGTTTTAATTCGCAACAGATTGCGTGAGTCATTTTATTAATAGTAATAACCGTTATCTGGTTTATCTGTTTATTTAATTCAATTTTTTTGTGTACTATATTAATATTGCGATACTGAATACCTACAATTTGTATGAATAGGAATTGCGGTTCATATTACATTTTAGTCACGAATTGACCAAACTCAATGTTTAGTTAATTGTAGCTAAAATTTCCCCATAATTTATCATATAATACTAATAAATTGTTTCATTGATATCACACGCACACAGCTCGAAATTGATAATATTTACATTTAAACCAAATTGTCGTTGTCGCAGGAACGAAGGTTTCAATTACGGCTCGTTTTCTATTTAACAATCTTTTTGTTTATTTAAATTATTTGCACAAACTCGGAACGTACGTCGCGAGTTATCAGTTGTTGATAACGTAATTGAAAACAAAGTAGTTCTCGTTTCATCTTTAATTACGTTCGTACAATTACTAATTAACGCTTTTATTCATTTAAATTAAAAAACCTATTCCTAATAAACGAATTTTTAGATATTTGTTTCGTTTTAATTACAGCTACTGGAAGGGTAAAATCCCGAGGCAGGGTTGGATGTACCTATCTATAAATTACTGCTGCTTTCACGCCTTCATCCTCGGCCTGGACACGAAAGTCTGCGTAAGATGGTCGGAGGTGACGAGTCTCAGCAAAAAGAACGGCGTGATTCTGCCGGATTCCATACAAATTTGCACGAGAGAAAAGGAGTACAATTTCAGCATGTTTCTGAGCCGGAACGAGACCTACTCGCTGATGGAACAACTCGTTGATCTGGCGATGAAACGGTTGATAGACGATAAGAGAAGCTACAGCGAAGATAGGGAACTCCTTAGTAAATTGAGGTATAGAGAGTTTAAAACCCCCGTATTCGGAAGTTATATTTCTGAATTTTAAGTACAGCAACGTTGCTTATTAGAATCTTAAACAAGATGAAAGTGAGGTTAATTTTTTGTCATTCTTCTGCCATTTAGAACGGTCCAGAATCTTCTAGAACTGTCTAGAACAATAAATAAGGCTCCGGAACCATTTAGAACTGTTTAGAACAATTTAAAACGATCCAGAATTATTTTATAACTTTCTAGAACAATTTAGAATGCTCTAGAACCATTTAAAACACTACATATATATTTAGAACGCTCCAGAACCATTTAGAGCAGTCTAGAATCATTTAGACCGCTCCAGAAGCATTTAAAACTGCCCAGAACCATTTATAACGCTCCATCAGAATCATTTAGAAATATCTTGAACCATTTAAAACGCTCAAGAACCGTTTAGAATTGTCCAAAACCGTTCAGAACGTTCCAGAATCATTTAAATCCGTTTAGAACCATTTAGAACGCTCCATCAGAATCATTTAGAACTCTCTCGAACCATTTAGAACACTCCAGAATCGTTTAGAACTGTCTAGAACTCTTTAGAACGTTCCAGAATCATTTAGTAGAACAGTTTAGAACTACTTAGAACGCTCCAGAAACATTTAAAACTGTCTAAAACCATTTAGAACGTTCCATCAGAATCATTGTACTCTCCAGACTCATTTACAACGCTGCAGAACCATTTTGAACTGTCTATAACAATTTAGAACTCTCCAGACTCATTTAGAACGCTCCACCATAATTTAAAACTATCTAGAACAATTTAGAACGCTCGAGAACCAACTTTCCAGGTTTATTTGCAACGCCCCAGAATCATTTAGAACTCTTCGGGCTCATTTGGAACGCTCCAGAATCATTCAGAATTGTCTAGAACAATTTAGAACTTTTCAGACTCATTTAGAACGTTCCAAAATCATTTAGAACTGTCTAAACCTCATTTTCATCTTGTTTAATACCCATTCAAATAAGCAACGTTGTCATGCTTAAAATTCGGATATATTTAATCGTTGGTTACAAAACCGTTTGGTTATAAAAAACTTCTGAATACTGGTGTGAGTTCAAAACTCTAATTACGTGGTATTTGATTCGTGTTTTAGTAAAAACGTTCCGAAGAAGGCGTCGTTTTTAAAACGCGATTTAGACGCAAGAGCTCAATCCGAAGCCTACAGGATGCTGTTCAGATTACCGGTTTCGGAAAAATTGGACGGTTCAATCGATTGCACATTATTTACACCCTACAACAAGAAACATATTAACGGAAGGTTGTTCCTTTCTCAGAACTACGTTTGTTTCGAAAGCAGGGTATACATACTTGACATATTTTTAATCCTTAGTTGCGATTAAATTTCGGGATGATTTTAGGTCAAAGCTCAAGTCAGCGTAGTGATTCCGTTTAGAGACGTATCGGTAATCGAAAAAATCGAAGCGAACGTATCGAATCAACCGCTAGATAAAGCCATAATCGTCACCACCGGAGACGCTTTAACCAGAACAAATTTCATATTCGCACAAATCCTCGACAGGGATTTCCTGGTCGAGAAAATCGCCGAACTACTCGCCAAAACGATGGAACCGAAAATGTACAATTCCAATTTCAATCGTGCGAAATTTACTCACTCTTCGTGTTGCAGAAGCGATTCGAAGGAGCGACAACACGTCGCGGGAGCCGCCGGCGACGGCCAAGCGAAGCCCGATTGGAAATGCGAATCGGCCCTCATGAGAACCTTCCCTCTCAGTCCCATTCCCGACGTGCACAAGAAGCAGGCGCTCAAATCGCGGCAATGGGAGGACCATTTCAACATATACGGGCGCGGAGTGTCGATGTACAGAACTACGGAGGTCGCTGCGCTCGTCCTGCAAGGCGTTCCCGATCATCTGAGGATGGAAATGTGGCTGTCGTTTTCCGGTAAATGATACTATTACAACGCTTTAAGGGCGCTACTTCAGGGTATTTTTAAATGGGAAAACATAGGTTCAGTAATTCCAGTAAGATTCTAATTTGGCTTCATCAATTGATTTGAATCTTTCTTGTACCTAATATAGGGACTCCAAGCAATGAAATCTCATATTTTTAATCTCTCCTACTTCATTATATATTTAAGAAAATTGCAATAAAAACTGCCATTTATTTGCAATGCTATTTAAATGACAAATCGTAATTCCAGTAAGACTCGAGTTTCCTCGAACGGATGTTTGAATAATTTTAGTAGGATGAAGAATACTTATTACAGAACGATGTATCCTAGTTTATATTGATCCGCAGGCTGTATTAAATTGAAAAAAACTAATTAAAGTATTTTAGCTAATGATGATGATAGATTCCTGTAAATTATGGTGTCGCCTGACATAAATGTCAAATCACAGAACAATTTTGTAAATTTGACTAGCTACAGCGGTGCCAGGAGTTTCCGTTTTTCAGATATTTTTGGATAATTTGCAATTTTTTAAGGGCAGGTAATATGAAATAAGGTATTTCCAGTGCACCGGAATACTTTTAGTATACTTTAATGAGTATTTTTAAAACCCTACTTTTATCTTTTCAAATTACAGGGAAAAGAATTGAATTTAAAATATTTTGAAAAGAATTTCTTATTTTACTTTCTTGTACGTTTGATTTTATGTCAAATGTAATCAAACACGGAACATCTACTAGCGAGTTAAACTCATCTCATCCCATCTATTGTGGAAAAATTTAACCAAAAATAGTTCTATATTACCCTACGAATTCTGAATTTAAGGGCGTACTTTGGCGGCCTTAACGGTTTCACTATAACAGTCGGTGCAAAATAAATATCAATGCATGTCACATATAATTTACTACATCACAAGTAGGCAGCGTTGCCAAACTTTTATAGAGTTTACAAAATCTAAGAATTTTCTAAAATTGTCAAACGGCAAAATGACAAGAACAAATTGAAAATTATGGGTAGCTGTTTCACGTTTCTAAACGGCGAACGTATTCAGGGGTTCATGTTCTAAACGATTCTGGAGCTTTCTAAATGGTACGAGATAGTTCTAAATGATTCTGATGGAGCGTTCTAAATGGTTCTAAATTATTTAGGAGTGTTCTAAATGTTTATAGACAAGTTTAAATGCTTCTGGAGCGATCTAAATGGTTCTAAATGATTCCGGAACGTTCTAAATGGTTCTAGACAAGTTTAAATGCTTCTGGGGCGTTCTAAATGGTTCTAGAAAGTTCTAATACTAATTAAAAATGTATCAAAGAGAAAACAAATTATTTTCGATTCTTCTTTTGATTCCATGTTCGCTGGGGTACAGGGTAATTTTCTTTTAATTTAGCCTGTTGGCCCTCGGTTAAAGGGAACAGAGCCCCGTTTACGAACGACAGCGAGTCCATCTACAATATCTTCGTTATATTAATTTTTAGGAGCTACGCACGAGAAAGCCTCCCATCCGGGTTACTATCGCAAGCTGGTGGATAAAGCTCTGCTGCAACATTCCACTGCCAACGATGAAATCGAACGAGACCTGCACCGGTCACTACCGGAACATCCAGCGTTTCAAAATCAAATAGGAATAGACGCATTGAGGAGAGTACTTTGCGCCTACGCCCTTCACAATCCTAGCATCGGTTATTGTCAAGCCATGAATATCGTCGGTACGTATAATGTTAAATTAAAATGTTTTCAAATTTGGGGGTTGAATTAAGAATGCAATTACCTTTAAAACGAGGTGTCACTTGACCCCCCTTTCCATAAGAAAAAAGATTCAAAATGTCGCCTAACTGTCATTTTTACGTCAAAAAATAGTATTTTTACTCCAATATAAACACCCCAAATTGCGCGACAAAAGCTCTTACCATTCAAAAGTTAAAGGGGGGGCGACGGACTTTTGGTCCTCACTGTATAATATATAAATCATATACAGGTTGCTCCATTTTTCATTGCAACATAGGCTATGGGTGCAACAAAGACAACTTCAATTAGACACTTATAAAGGAAAAAGAAAGAGTGACATTTGTGTCATTAAAACTTTTCACTCTGACAACTGTTATTTTAATAATCTTTCTTTGTCCAACTCATAGAAATGCCCATGTTGCAATCGCAAATGAAGCACGGTGTATAAACCATAGCAAATGTAACTTTATTTTTATCGCATCAGCGTCCGTCCTGTTGATTTATTGCAACGAAGAAGAAGCTTTTTGGCTGTTAGCCACCCTGTGCGAAAATCTCCTGCCCGATTACTACAACACCCGAGTGGTGGGAGCTGTTGTGGACCAAGGGATTCTCGACGAGCTCACCTTCGAGCATCTGCCGAGTTTGCACGATAAACTGAACCAATTGGGTAAAACAAGTTAATCCTAACTGCAGGTATTTCCGGAGTATAAACCGGTATGTTTCAGGCATGACTAATATGATCTCGTTGTCCTGGTTCCTGACGATATTCCTGTGCGTGATGCCCTACGAAAGCGCCGTGAACATAATGGATTGCTTCTTCTACGACGGCGCGAAAGTTATATTTCAAGTGGCGTTGCAATTGCTCGAGTGGAATCAGGATACCTTACTAAAATGCAGAGATGAAGGTAAATCTTTAGTTCAAAATGGTTCTAAATGATTCTGGGGCGTTCTAGATTGTTCTAGACAGTTCTAAATGATTCTGGAACGTTTTAAATGATTTTGAACACTTGTAAATAGAGTTCTAAATGACTATGGAGCGTTACAAATGGTTCTAAAGCGTTCCAAATGATTTTAGACGGTTCCAAATTATTCTGGAGCGTTCTAAGGAGTTCTAGACAGTTCTAAATGATTCTGAAACGTTGTAAATGATTTTGGACAGTTCTAAATGATTCTGGAGCATTCTAACTGGTTCGAGATAGTTCTAAATGATTCTTATGAAGCGTTCTAAATAGTTTTAGACAGTTCTAGATGTTTCTGGAGCTTTCTAAATATACTGCTCCACAAAAGTTAAAGAAGTTCACAAATATTGAGATTAATTTAAATGTTGCAGGTTTTTTGATCGCCAAATTTAGTATGAGTTGTAAAGGTAGGGGCAAAAAAGTCACTCGGATATGAGAGAAAACATTTAATTTCGCATATTTGAAAATTTGGTGATCAAAAAGTCTTTTAAACTTTTAAAATAATCGCAAAATTTGCGAACTTCCTTAACTTTTGTGGAGCAGTTTAGTTAAGAGATAGTTCTACATGATTATACATGACAATACATAAAATGGTTTTGGAGCGTTCGAAATGGTTCTAAACGGATCTAAATGATTCTGGAACGTTCTGAACGGTTTTGGACAATTCTAAACGGTTCTTGAGCGTTTTAAATGGTTCAAGGTATTTCAAAATGATTCTGATGGAGCGTTATAAATGGTTCTGGACAGTTTTAAATGCTTCCGGAGCGGTCTAAATGATTCTAGACTGCTCTAAATGGTTCTGGAGCGTTCTAAATATATATGTAGTGTTTTAAATGGTTCTAGACAGTTCTAAATGGTTCTGGAACCTTCTAAATGGTTTTGGACAGTTGTAAATGATTCTGGAGCGTTCTAAATGGTTCTCTAAACGGTTTTAGATATTCTGATGGAACGTTCTAAATGACTCTAAATAGTTCTAGAATTAAATATAAATGTATCAACAGTCCGAGAACTTTTCACCCTATACCCTCGTACATATGTGCATGGACAAAGATGGATGCAACAAAGACAATTTCCGTTAGTCCCATTTAAAGGAAAAAGAAAGAGTGGTGTTGTAGGACTTTCTCACTCTCACTATTGTTATTTTAATAACCTGTCTTTGTTCAACTCATAGAATTGACCATATATTTTAGGAGAGGCTATGCAACATTTAGCCGAATATCTGATGGGCGTGTTCAACGATGAAGGTAGAGGAGCTATAAGAAATAAAAGTTACGAGGATCAAAAGAGGGTAATTAATATCGCTCATAATTGCGTGTGCAATTAATAACATTATTTTTTACAGAGCATTTCAATTCAAGCGTTAGTATACGAAGCCTATCGTAAGTACGGTTTCCTCACGACCGGTCAAATCGAGAGGTTGAGATTGAAACACCGATTAAAAGTTGTGCAGGAGTTGGAGGATACTTGCGAAAGGAACGTGTTGAGATGCGTGATTAACGACGGGTATTTCACACAGGAAGAATTGCAGGTAATTGTTGTTTTGTATACACTTTATACTGTTGGTGCAAAACAATTATCATTGCACGTCACTACTGTCGTCATCCTTGCCAAGCATTGTACCCAACTTTTAAAAATAAATACACAAAATAGATTAAGCTTTAATACCTGCAGAATTTAATTTAATATTAACAAGGGTTGATAGAAAATGGTAAAAAGCAGTATTAAATCGTCCAATAAAATATACAGTATGTCTGAAAAGGTTGGCAACATATAGGAAACTTTTTGATTGTAAGTTTTACGAAAAAAAAGTTATTTTTTATGAAAATTCTTACTTTTTATAAACTCTATAAAAGTTCGGCAACGCTGCCTACTTGTGAAATAGTAAATCATAGGTGACGTGCATTGATATTTGTTTTGCAGCGACTGTAGCTCTGTATTTACCATGGTTTTTTTAGGACCTATTGGGGCTTGTAAGAGAAGAGATCATCAGCCAGAAAAAGTGCATTTCGGACAAGCACGATCCGTCGTTGCAGCCCTACGAAGCGTACAAAGTCGATTTCGACTACTTCAAAATCCTATTCGCGGCGCTGTCCCCTTGGGGAAAAGGCGCCACCGTCGAATCCATAGCCGCTCGAGTCTTCATAGTAAGTAATCGAAATTATTCGTACACACATTTACATTAACCAATCGCAGTTGATGGATCAAAACCGCGACAACTACCTCAATTTCCGCGAATTGGTGACGGCATTGGGGCTCATGTGCACCGCCGAACCCGCCCAACGATTGAAGCTGCTCTACGCCATACACTTACCGCCGGTGCTGATCATGTCCGATATCGAATCGCCGGTGAAGAGCGATTGCGGCGCCGAAGTCGCCTCCGAGGCCACGGATTTCTTCACCAACGTCGAACAGAGCGTCACTTTGGACGGATTGTGTTTGGCTGAAGACATTTCCTCGCCAGTGACACCGACCTATCAGTGGCAGTAAGTGTTTAATAGAGCTGGGGCCTGTTTCATATAAATGACAAGTCCTGTCGGACAAGTGTATTTTAAATTTGACTGGGGTATTTGACAAGTTTTAATGTCGTAATTAATGTACATAACATTACATTAATTAGTATTAAAATTGAACGTGTTTGGTAGGAAATCGTACGATTCGCAAGCTTCATCCGAGACGAATTCATTTGGGGTGGAAACGAGCTGGGAATCGAAGAGTATGTCGAATTTGCGGAGTTTCGTGCAGTCGAAGGACAGTAAAATCAATTTGAAAGCCGTGCCTAAGATGTCACAGCCGCGTTTCATCACTTTGTGGAAAACTGTGCACGATATACTCCAAACAGAACCCGAAGACTTGGTAAATGCGTTGCTCTTTCGTTACCACATTTTTATTTATAGAATATTTAATTATTTAGGAGATGTATCAAGCTATCACCAACGTGGTCACACTGCTATTCCAGCTAGGCGATGTTGGAAAACAGTTTTTTGTATTCGGAGAAGAGTCTTGTGATAGTTTGGATGCTTCAAACAAACCATTGGTTGATGAATCAGTGAGTACCGTTACTAATGTATTTAAAACGTTTAAAATGATTTATTTTGTAGTCTCCCGATAAAAACGGGAATCCGATAGTGCCAAAAACACAAATCCAATGGTACATAACGGTGGAACAATTCTTAGCTTCGATTTTGAACTCCCAACCGCTGGTGGAATTCTTCTCGAGGCGGGTGGAAATTAAAGAAAAAATTCAGCTGTTGAAGGGCAGAAAGTATTTCAAATTGAATTCTTTTCACGAAGTACCGGCTATAAAAGTTTAAATTGAATGTTTCAATGCGTTTTCCTTGTTTCATTTGGATTTGACATGCATAGTATTTCGAACATGCAGCAAAATTAGTAAATTCTAGTGCCTTAAACAAAAAGTTATTATGAATTCCTATTATATTCTGAAACAGCTATAACATCAATCAATCGTGAGTTAACTTACAAAAGTAAGTCAAAATTTTGTTAGTTTTATGTAGCAGCTAGAAATATTGTTCAAAGAATATACAAAATAAAGTTTACAATGTTAATTGAATGATTTTGAGGTACATGAATTATGCAGAATAGTAGTATTAGTATTTTTTACATTCAAACAAGTTTAATTGATAATTAATCCTTAGTCGTTTAAAAGGTGCTCATTTTTTTATTGTTTTTTTTTTGTCGAGATTTGCAATTTTTCTTAATAGCACTTCTTTTCATCATGTTGAGATTTAATATAAATTGTATACTATAAAATATGTATAATCGTTTGCATATATTTTTTTATTATATAATTGTAATATACTTTATGATTTATTTAATGAAGCCGTTTTATTGGTGTCAGAAAAATAATAAACTGACTAGTTTTATCATTTTATTTCAAAAATACCATACTATCATTAACAGAAAAAACAACTGTCAATCAACTTGTATAATACACAATATTTACAAAAAGACAATCTCCCATCCAATAAATACCAAAAAAACAATCAGATTCTACTTAAAATTTCTCAAAATTTTCGCACGAATCTTGGAGCAATTTTACATAGTTTCCGATTACAAAAAATATATTTTATGACTTGAAAACTTTAGACTACTATTAAGTAATCTGGATTATTAAATCCTTAAAAATAATACAAGTAGAAAAAAATAAGAAGAAATAAATAATTTAAATTAACTACGATTTAGATTAAATATAAACGAATTAAATAAATAAATTACTAAAAGCGAAAATAAGGAAAAGGTACTGACAAAATTTAGTACATTCTATGTTAAAATCGAATTTACATATATACAATAATTAAACTGTGGAATGATTCATAAAAAATGTAATGAAAATTAAATTAGAGCGTGATGGTTTCTCATAAAAATTTTCATTCATAAATGTATACTTTGCCATTTAATCGGTTAAAAATATGTGAAAGTACTAAATAAGCGAAAGAAATTGATACAATAATAAAAGAACTAATCAATTAGGCATACTATAAACTTAATAAAAAGTACAAGAGAAATTTAATACATAATTTTGATCTCCTTAAAAAAAGTAAACACTGGTCAAATTTACGCCTTGGCACGATTTCCCTCAAAAAAAATATTCAATTACAGGAGCTATGAAAAAAATACCAATTTCACGTTTTAGCACCACCAACATAAACACCAGCAAAGATCATATGACTAAACACTATTGATCTGCTCTAAAAATAAACGAGCTACCCTGTACAAACGATACTTAACTCAATTTAATTACTAATCGAAATGATACGATTCACAATCAGACAAAACTTCAAATAGTACCACCATTGGATCGCGATAAATCAAAATTAATCCAAAACAGTTTGTAGATCGACACAGAGCACGATTAATTGTATATAATTAAATGAAATTAGAAATGTAGAAGAAAAATTAATAGTAAGTACAACATCAACAACTTTCAAATGTACGGCCAGCATTTAGCAAATATCCAATGAAAGTACTAAGCAACTATGATAAGTGAAATACGCAATCTAAAACTATTTAATTTATGAATGTAGGAAGCATTTTAACATCTATTTAGAAAAATAAAGGTATGTCTGCCATTTCATTTCAAACATACGCCGACTTAATGATTTAATATTAGTATTCAATCTATAAAATTTTAATTTACCAAGCTATAAGTAATCCTTAATATTTAACTATATTCTCTACGGAATTAAAGAATGTAATTATTAAAATACTTTATCTTTGTGCAACAATTCATAAAGACACTGTAAAATATTTTTATTTAGTTCTGGAATAACTGATCATTTTCTTCTTTCCGTATTACCAACTAAATATTGTTTTATCGTAATTTTGTAAAGACTAGAAAACTATCATTGATCATTGTAATTAGAATAATGAACCATTTTAAATTATGTACTAGAAAATAATGTAATGATCCAGTTATTCCCGAAACCACACAACCAGCATTCCACTTACCACAGTACAAGAAATTAAAGACAAAAAAAATGAATTATTAAATCATACTATATCACTGGAACGACTCTTATCGTCTCGATCCTTAAAGAATCCTTTTTCAGTCTTACACTCCCGAATAGTCACGGTTTTCAAATTGACCGTAACGTCCGTTATGAACACCTGATCAGCTACAGGATTCCTCGTCAGCCAGTAATCCGAATTGGGACTTATAAAAGCCGATATGTCAGTATCATTAGACACGGTATTGTTGTTATGACCGTTAACTGCCACAGGCTTCTCGTTTAACACACCGTTCTCGGTTTTGATATCGACTTTTTTGTCAGGTCTAAAATTTAAAATAACAATTACACATTCGAGGTTGCTTATTTTGTTATTAATTACCGTTTATCGTCCGTGTGTGTGACCGATTTAGGAGAAGCGGGTTCTTTGACGGATGATTGCGGCAACGCAGCGTCCACCGAAGCCAATTTTTTATCGGTACTCGTCCGGGGAGAAGTAGCCGGGTTCGAAATGGGAGCTGCGGCTGCGGGAATCTCATCGGCGGCCTTCGAACCCTTACGTTCCCCAGTCCTCGGAGATGCCGAAGATTGTTTCGAAACCTTTGGAGTCTAAGAATAGAATGTTAGTAGTATTAATCGAAGTCTTACGATTCGATCGAATTACCTTAGCGGGAGGTGGACTGGAACTGGTCGGGCTCGTAGTAATAGTAACTCCGATTTTACCGCTTTCCTTAGAAAGTACTTCGGCCTTTCGTTTGGTTCCGATTTCCATTCGGGAGAGAAGGGGGCGCCGGTCTTCGCTGCTCGAACTGTTCGAGTTGTCGTTATCAGCCGATTCGGGTACAGGTTGAACAGTAGCTTCTGATGTATCTTCGGAACCTATCAAAACACAGGTAACTCATTGTGAACTACTAAAACAACCTTAATGATGTACTAACCAGCCCGAGTGTCATCATCCTCGACTCGAGGAGTGGTTTCTTGCTTGGCTTTTCCTTTTGTACTTCCGCTGGTGTTTGTAGTGGCGGTTTCTGACGTTCCTTCATCTTGGCTTTCTTCGCCGCTTCGCAGGCCTTCGTCTTCGGTGTCCTCGGCTACCGGGGCAGAGGCCGTTTGTTTCTTTTTGGGGCCTCGTTTTAACGTGCCGTCCGGCTTGTGGTTTTGTTCGAAGAGTTGAATTAGGCGGTTGTCTAAGATATTTTCCTCGGGCTCCCAGGTATTGTGCTTCTGACTCCAGCCTTTCCATTTTACCAGATATTCGACGATGCCCTGGTGAAATTGATGGAAATCATTGTTTGTATGGTGGCGTTAACAAAGGGGAATGTTTCGTGAAGTAAATAACACAATAATATTTATTTTAAAATGGAAGTATGTACATTGTTGGGAGATATATGTTGTTGTAAAAACATAAACAAACAACGATTCGTCGAAAATGTACATAAAAGTAAATAAAACGAAATTTACCGCTAATATTTCTGGCATAATGATTAGTTATATTCGATATTTACCTTTCGAATTCTTTTTCTGGTAATTCTCTCGGCGGCGTAAACACCACCGTCGCCCACCATGAGATCCATTGTTTTCAACTTTCAAAAATGGATTTATCTCACTTTATTTTACGTTAACAGATTTTTCACTTCGAGAAACAATAATGTTTGGAATATTGTCCACATATTCCTTGAAAGAACACTTATTTTCATTGAATTTAAGCAGTAAAAAGTTTACTTCCTGTCCATTTTCTAGACGTTTTGTTAGTTAACACAACACAATTATAGGGGATTTTGCGAATTTTAATTGGGAACTAACTGTTGCATCACTGCTTGTCAATTTTAGCTGTATATACGTTCGTCATATTACTCCGTAGTTACTCGGAATCACACGGAACTCAATAAATGTAATATTTATCAATTATACAATAATAGCTCTTTACTAATTAACGTATATCGAACCAGTAATTATTATAAATAATGCAGTACGTATCAATAGTAATTAATAAGAGAAAAAAAGTAATGACATATGCCTAAGTGACTGTATGACAGAATAGTGACAGCACTGACAGTGACATTTATCCTACCGAATATAGGTTATGTTGAAACATTTTTTGTATTCGTTACAATTTTTAAAAGTTTTTTATTGAATTAATTCGAAAAATATAATTCTCAAACCATGGCTGGTCCCAAAAAGAAGCCTAGGCAGCCCTCGAATTCAGATTCCGACGAATCCAGCAACGATGAAAGCGATAATGGTACTTACAATGGTCAAAAAGTAAGTCCACATGGTTTTCAATAACATTAGTACGCCTTACAAAAGCCGGTTTTTATACGAATTTTCTGTTTGCCAGGAAATCCAAGCTACCTTCGAGGGTAGAAATCCCGAAGGACCAGATTTTCACGGAATAAAGCAATTACTGAATCAACTATTCCTTAAAGCTCACATAGATATCTCCCAAATGAGCGATTTACTTATTGCACAACATGGCGTAGGATCTGTCTTGAAACAAAGTTATAACGACAGTGATGACGAAGATGAGGATGTTGAGATGAGCGATGAAAGAGACGTGTTTGGTATTACGAGCGTAATAAACTTAACCCTACAACGGGAAACACCTTGCGTGCAGCAATTTTACTCGCTTTTGGAAGAACTGTCTAAGAAGCACGCTGATGAAGCGACGCAATTAGCTATCAGTAAAATCGTTAAGGAATCCAATAAGTTGGGATTCTTAATAAACGAAAGATTCGTGAACATACCTGCACAAATATCTGTTCCGCTATTAAATTCTTTAAGCGAGGAAATCGACAGGTTGAAGAAGAAGGAGCCAACTTACGATTTTGATTATTTTATTATGATTAGTAAAATATGCAAATCAAAGGATAATAGTAAGTTCGAATGTAACGAAATGAGTTCAGATTTAATAATTGTTTTAATATTTCAGCTGAAATAATTTACACAAATGATGAAGAAGAATTATTCACTGCAGATGCAGATGTTAGTTTTGAATTTAACGTTTCTAATGAATCTGACACTGGTCTTGGAGGAAGATGGTTGGCGGAAGACAAACAAGTTACACCGTATAGAAAAGTGCTAGTTTTTAAAGCTGAAAAATTGAAGAATATTATCACTAAAATTGCTGCTTTTGTACAAACATAGATTACCTCTTTTTTAATGTTTGCCTCGTTTTATAATAAATATTGCAAAAATTTCCATTGTATGTATCATTTTCCTCTTTTTATTTAACTCTTAATATACAATCACCGTAATTTTTATCCAATTTTATAGTGACAATACAATAGGTACAGAAATAGAATTAATCATTTAAATAAATATACATAATTCTAAAGGTGATAAGGAAATTCTGGGATATATTTTAGTAAATACAGTCGGTGCAAAACAAATATTAATACACGCCACTACTGTCGTTTTTACTTCCCAAGCATGGTGACCAACTTTTATACCAAGTTCTAACTCTGATGTCTTAGAGCCTGTACCAAGGAACCATCATTCTCTAATTCTATCAGCTGTTACATCCACGGAAATAAACAAAATTATAAAAGATCTTGATGTTAACAAATCGACAGGCCTGGATAAAATCCCCGCTAGAGTGGTAAGGGTGGCAGGTCAGGTCCTAGCATTGCTGACATTTTGGTATTTTTAATTAATAAATCTTTTTGTCCTGGAATCTTTCACTAAAGTGTGCAATTATCATTTCTTTACAAAAAGAGGGAATTACATCACTTGTTAGCAACTATAGACCTGTATCCTTCATAAATCTACGAGACATGTATTAAAAACAGACTTTTAGATTTTTTAGATATACACAAAATCCTGCACAAAAATCAACTCGGTTTCACTAAAAATATAAGAATACATACTAATGATGCAATTGCTTTTTTAACAAGCCGCATTTATAAAAATTTAGGTTTGTCTAAGCCGTCTATGGGAATTTTTCTCGATTTAGCTAAGGCATTTACTAAGACATTTTTTGCTAAGACACGATATGATATCAGCCACATATCTATCTTTTATTTAATTACTCTAATAGTTCCTTTAATACTCTTGAAGTGATGTTCAAATATGTATGCATTTCTTAAAAATACAAGGTTTTAAAGTTAAAAATAAAAAGGAGGTTTTTTGATATTGGGCGAAAATTGCTTGACTCTTATTCGTTAAAAGTTGTACAGAATATCTTTGTTTGGTGATAAATTCTGTATTGTGTATTTTTTTAATTATCAATCCGTCTCAGGTGTATGGGGGGTCCAACCCACTTAAAGCCCCAATTCTTCCGCTCATATTATATTTACCTAATTTTTGAATAGAAACTAGATTTATCGGCTTATTTATAAGAATTTTATAGTGTTTGTAATTTTCTATAAAACCCACATTAACTGTAATTCTCGAGAGTTGTTCTCAGGAAAACTGTGACAGGTAGCATTGATATCTATTTCTTAGTAGTTAGTATTTAGTTTTTATAAAAACTTTTGTAGATTTGATGATAAACTTTACTTTACTTGACTTTATCGTGTTGGTGAAAATGTATTTAAATTATTATGTTAGCCCACATATTTTTCCAATGAGATCAGAGAAACTTAAAAAGTTTTATGAACAAAATTAGGTCTACCTATTTACATGTTTATAAAAAATCGTGCAACACAAATTAATTAGTAAATTTTGTTGGTAACCTGCAGTGGCGTACTTTAGGGATCATCATACTTAATTAAAAAATCAGTTAAGAATGCAATATGTAAATTATAGAAATTACCTAACGGGTAATATGTATGTAAGATTTCCTGAATAAATTGTAGGAAAATTTATTTTATTTTATCCAATTTAATTCGCCTTACATACCTACGCCACTATTATTCATGAGCTGTAAATATTTAATATTCTCATCACTTTCTTTCACTTAGCAGTTTTTGAATGCAGAAATTATTTCCTTCCTCAATAATCGAAGTTAATTTTGATTTCCCCACATTCCTGCCATATAAAAGCATTACCCACTTTACCATTGACATCGATATTCTCGTACTACTACAAATTAACGTGGAAGATTAATTTCGTAGCAGTTTTTTTAATAACTATCCTCTAACAAGCAATGTTATTATCGACCAGTATAATTTTGTTGAGGTAGCTCAATACTTTCTTCACCGGTAATTTTTACCGTAACAATAATATATGTAATGCACGGCACATGGGGTCTTAAAATAAGAAGTTATTACACCTGAGGAATTTGTTATTGGTAAACAGTAATTCAGTGCGGATTGTTTGTTGAAATCAACAATGTGTTGCTCACTTTTGCGTTATTCGTTGTGCTTTTACTGGATTTGTAAGTTTTAAAAATTATAATAATGCACCAGTAGAATACTTTACTTCAGCATCTATTAGATCACCGATTAATTATCTTGTGATATTTAGACATAGTATGATTTTTAGCTCAATGTTTTGCTCAATTCACTCTACCAAACCAACCGGTGAAAGACGCTCTATTCCTGCACAATTTCGTCAGCAGCAACCTTACGTTGAAAGACTGCGTTTTTCGTCCAGCAAACTCCGAATGTCCTGATAAGGATGTGTCGTATTTCCTCTACACTAACGGCAAAAAAGAAAAAGTGGATTACACGAAAACCGATTGGTTGCGGCAGAGCATTTGGGATCCTCTAAAAGAAGATGTCATGCTAATACATGGATACGCTGGTGGCGACGATGAATTACCCATGGTAGTCCTGCGAGATGGTATTTACAAGAAATTCAGTCGAGTAGAAACCTTATTTATAACCTATTCAAATTTTCAGCTTATTTGAAAAACGGTAGCTATAACATCTGGGTGGTCGATTGGGGTAAACTAAACCCTCCGCCGTGCTACCGAGCCGGCGTGAACAATATGAGAATAGTAGGCAAATGCACGGGAGATCTTCTAACAGCGCTCCGAACAGCAGGTCTACAAACCGAAAAACTCACTTGCGTCGGACACTCTTTGGGTAATCCTTCTACGCACATCTCATATTCAGTTCTGATCAAACATTGCCCGTAGGTTCCCACGTTTGCGGCCTCATCGCCCGATTCGTCACGTTCAGGCTGCACAGGATCGTCGCCCTGGATCCGGCACGACCGTTCATAACGCCCGGATTAAGATTATCCAGCGGGAACGCTCTCGCCGTGCACGTGTTGCACACGAACGCCGGGCATTACGGGGAAGGCGGAAAAACCGGACACGTCGATTTTTGCATTAACGGCGGGCGGGTTCAGCCTTATTGCGAGAACGCCGATAGTATGTCGTTCGGATTCATATTTTACTAATAGTAAGCAACTGAAATGTTTGATTTTTAGTTGATGTTCAGTTATGCAGTCACGTGTGGGCTATTTGCTACATGGCTGAGAGCCTCTTTCCGTCGTTGACGAAAAAAGCGGAGCCTTGTTCGAGGCGTTGCCCGGCTGGACCAAGACCTGGAACGAGAGTGGGAATGCCGTTGGAGATGGGACACGGTACACCTTTATTGTAAGTAACCACAATGGCCCCTATTCAGCGCCTCACTTTAACTTTAGCGTGACTCTAAAGTCGCGTCTTTAGTCCCTAGTTAATCCATAACAACAGTGTAAAACTATCAAGTTAAAGACACGACTTTAGAGTCACTCTAAAGTTAAAGTGAATAGCGACCATTTACATCTGATTAGAAAGTTAATTTTTTTTTATAATAGCGCGTCAGGTTCTTATTGCATTCACGACAAGTATCCACCGTTTTGCCCGGCTCACGATGGCGCCTTGGGGGACAACAGATGTTGCTTGAAACCTCCTGAGAGTTTATCTTTATCCAGTACACCAACTGAACCCACTGACGTACCGACACCGACTACCGTAGATATTTTTAGTTGAAAGGTGCATTTACTTGGATAATTTTTCACTTTATAAGTTAGTACGTTTGTGAAATAAAAATTATTTATTGATTACAGTTTTAATTCAGTTAGAGCGAATGGAGGTTTGTCGGAAGTTTTGACGAAGTACAGTCCTCTTGTTCTGAAAATTAAATGTATAGATACATTAAATATACTGCTCCACAAAAGTTAAGGAAGTTGACAAATATTGAGATTAATTTAAAAGTTGCAGGTTTTTTGATCGCCAAATTTAGTATGAATTGTAGAGGTAGGGGCAAAAAATCCAACATTTAATTTCGCATATTTGAAAATTTGTGATGAAAAAGTCTGTAACTTTTAAATAATCGCAAAATTTGCGAACTTCCTTACCTTTTGTGGGGCATTTTAATAAGAGGTGCTTCTGAAGATTTAACTTACGAAAAGTGGGTGAATTCTCCCATAGCGGCAATATCACCGGATTCGCAGAATCCAAGGTAGTAATTTACAACACTGTCGCATTTCGTGCCCAAAAAAATACCTCCAGGACGTCGGATTGATTCGGCAAAATACAATCCAGATAGCATGTGACTGCAAATGGGTGGATCTGGACAATTAATAATAGACAGAAAAAACTTTTTCCAATATTAATTATACAATAATTACATTTAGCTTCGTAGCAAAAGGGTTGGATTGAACCTCCGTTAATGTAGAAATCCACATCGCCGAGGGCTTCAAGTTTTCCGAACGTTCCAGCGCTTGTATGGATGATATCGACGAAATTAGCGTCACTAGGATCCAATTTCCATTCGTTTTTGAAGGTAACAAAAAACGGCAAAGCAGGATCCAGACCTGAAATAATAAATATAGAAATGTTTACGCATGTTATATCAGGAAATTATCTGTTCCCAAGTACTATCAGCATGTTCTACCAGGAGATCCACCGTTCCCAAGCAGTATCAGCAGATCGTATTTCCAAATTCTTGTTAACGCTGTGAGAACACTTGTTTTGCTAATTCTAACATTGTATTTTTTCCAGTCAGTTCATGATTAGATTTCGAGTAGTTTAAATCATAAAAATTATAAATTGTAACTTTCAGTTTTTGTAGTGAATAAAAATTTTTTAAAAACTATTTTTGAAGTAACGGAGTTATTTCTGGCGCAGTCAGTAGGATATCCGGGAATTCACGTATCGAACGCGGATTTTTCGTCGAAACGATTGACTGGATATCGAACCGTATACGTGTTGTATCGTTGTTAAGTGTTGTACCTGGGCGGATCCACAAAAATCGGGAACCCTATCTTGAGTACCAGAGCAATTCAATCAGTGATACATCGGGGATTGGAACAAAATCGTCCAATTTCGCAAGGAGAACCAACCATCTACAGAGAAGACTACATCGCGGACCTGTAGTGGCCATCATCCTTACAGTTAAGAGAGATATGTACAAGATATTGATGTTAATGTGAGTACAATTTAATTTTATGGCAAATTCCTATGATAATAGTAAAAATTGGTCAATTAGAAATCAAGTAGAGCTTTTAACTGACTCAGACGAAGAACCAAATCAAGTAATCCCAATTATTAGTGCTTTAAACGAAATCGAAATCATGGCTCAATTCAAACCTGATTATTTAAACTGCATCCCCGAATTCGACGGGAGTCCCAACGACTTAAATAGATTTTTGACAACCAGCGAATCAGTGCTAAGTGCATTTTATGATGCGGCGAACCCTAACAATTTTCAAAATGTTTATTTGCTAAATTCCATAATCCAAAAACTACATGGCAACGCTAAAAAGGTTGTAAATATTCATAATGTAACCACTTGGGATGATTTAAAAGCGACCTTAACGCGCACTTTTGCAGATCAGAGGGACGAAGCATGTCTAAACAGAGATTTGGTTATGCTTCGTCAGGGTAATGAAAGTCCCCAAGAATTTTATGATAAAGTATTGAATATTTTGAACCTATTGTGCAGTTACGTCGATTTACACGAACCAAATGCTAATGATAGGCAATCAAAAAGAATTTTATACAATAGTTTAGCCCTAAAAACGTTCCTATCCGGTCTAAGAGAACCATTGGGTACCATCATTCGCTGCATGCAACCCCAAGATTTAAGTCAAGCCCTTCAAAAAGTTTTAGAAGAAGGAAATACACGATATTTCCAAAATTTCAATCGACAACCCAACAGACAATCATTTTTTGACACCAAGACGAATAGAAATAACAACTTCAACCAAAACCAAAACAGGAACCCTCCTAACAATTTCTATCCTAGACAAAACTTTCAAAACCAATCCCAAAGATTCCAAAATTTCCAAAATAACTTCCAAAATCAACCTCCAAGATTCCAAAACTTTCAAAATCAACCCCCAAGATTTCAAAATTTCCCCAACAACTCCCAAAATCAAATAGCTCCTCAGTCGAGACAAAACACTAACGTTTTTCGACCGAACCCGCAACAACAGTTAGACGAACCCACACCGATGAGTATTTCCACAAGAAATACATTTGCCCCTACACAAACCAGAAATTTTAACCGACCTCCATTCAGACCACAACAAAATCAAAGAAATTTTATCTCCGAAGAACTATTCAATGTAGAGTGTGAAAACCCGATTCCAGCAAATGGAAATTTTGAATATAACGATAATAATCAATTTCAATCACCTAACTATGAAATCGATTACAATTTGATTGATCTTAGCGAACCACAAGAAAATTTTCACTTGAAGCCTCCTACCCAAAACAAGAGATAATAAATCCTCAATTCATCTCCCTTAACGCTGTAGTTTCAGACGGACTACCGTATATAGTTTTTCCGGAACAAAATTTGAAATTTTTAATTGACTCGGGCACTTCTCAATCCCTTATAGATCCAGACATCGCTTACCTTCTTTTCCCTAATCAAATACAAAACGACCCCTTCGTAATTTCCAACGTATCCCAAACATCGTCACACGAACATAGTGTTTCAATACCAGCTTCGGAAATATTTAAAATTCCAAATCCAACGAATCTAAAATTTTACCTTTTTAAATTTCATGACGAATTTGATGGGTTATTAGGCGTGGATATTTTAAGATTTTTAAAAGTAAAACTAGATTTTGAAAATTTTTATTTCATAACCCCATTCACGAAATTAAAACTATTATTTCATAAAAGCCAAAAGAAATTAAATGTAACAACTGCAGCTTCTGCTTCTACAAAAACCCAACAAGCAATTAAGACAAAAACTTCAACAAAAAAGAGAAAGATCATAGCAAAAAACAAAGAATCTCTAACAACTATTTCAAACCCCACAACTAAGCCACTAGAAGTAGAAAAACCTAAAGAAGCACCTGTAAAACCTGTAAAAGTTGGGAAACTCAAGAACCAAAAATTAAAAAACAGAAATCTAAATAACAGTTACCACCACTTTTCCTCCCAAAATCAAGACCTGAGTAAAATTAAGAAAGATCACTTAATTAATAAAAGAAAGCCTGTAATCACTAATGACAGTAAGGAACCTTCCGATAGGTTTTACAACCTAAGCGACTCGTTAACCTTTACCAATAAAATCAAGCATCGTTGGAAATTTAAATTGCCACCAAATGATGATCTCTCTGACGTTTCATACAAAAATCGCAACATCTAACAAATTTAGTAAACCTACCAAACTTAAGACAGTAAATGCAGAAAACAAAACCTTTTCGACTAACACCCAACCAAAATTCACATACACAACCTAAAACGTCCACTTCAGAAAACCTTTGACTTCGAAACTAACTTCAACCAATTGTTTTCAGTTTACCCGGAGTCCTCGGTATTCTGGAACGAATAGACATAAGGAACTTAGAAAATAATCCCGGTCTTATTCCTGTAAAATCCGGTCAGGCAAGAATTTCAGACTTTTATTACAAAATCATTTACTATTACGATACCCAACCTATTATTAATGAATTTAATCAATTGAGAACACATTCATCAACTTTAGTGCAACTAGTACACCAAAATGGAAAATATTTTAACGACAGCTCAAATTATATCAAAATTTTGGACTTCATAGACAACAAAATTGAAGAAAGACTCACAGACATTGTCCCACACCCTACCAGAATTCGACGCGGTCTCATAAATGGTTTAGGATCTGTTTTTAAGGCTATATCAGGAAATTTAGACGCCAGCGACGGCGAGCGCTACGATAAATTAATTCAAGAACTTCAAAACAATCAGGAAAAATTGGCAAATAGCATCAAAAATCAAAATTCCCTCTCAACACGTTTGATTGATCAGTTCAATGCGACAATTACTAAAGTTTCTCATAACGAAAAACTATTGCAATCAAAATTAAATCAAATCGAATTAATTGTACGAGGTCAAGTCTACCGCGAAAATTCTGCCTTTATCAAAGATGCTTTCATTCAGATTATCGGAATGTATAATATCATATATTCGATAATCCAAGACATAGAAAATGCAATTGTGTTCTCAAAGTTGAGTAAAATGCACCCTAGCATCATGAAGAGTAGTTATTTCCTTCATGAATTAAAGCTTATAGAAAGTAGAGTAGGAAAAAATAAGTTACCCTTAGAAGTAAGTTTAAATAATCTTTTTCTTCTAGAAAATTTAGTAAAGATTGAAAGTTACTCGTCCAAAAATAGAATCAATTTTATATTGCAAATTCCAATTACCTATCCATTCATAGTAGACCTATATCATTTGTATTCAATACCCATTCTTCAGAAAAGTCAGTTCAAAGTTATAATTCCAGAAAACAAATTTTTAATAATCAACGAATTGTACTTTGCATTCACTGATAATATATGTACAAAAATCTCTGAAAAACTGTATCTCTGCGATGAAACGAGCCTGCGAGAAATTCGATTCGAAAACCAATGCGAAATTGAGCTTCTTAAGCAAAAGGACACAACAACTTGCCATCAAATAACCGTCCCCATTAGACGCCCTACGTGTTGGAGATTGGAAAATTCAAACCAATGGATAATGGTCTTGCCCAATGAAACCACCACTAAAATCCATTGCCGACAACAAGAAGAAATCCTGAAATTGCGGGGTACATACCTATTCGAAATTCCATTGGGATGCCAGGTCGAAACCAACTTCAAAAATATCATCAACGAGGAACTCGTCATCGACCCTAGCCAAACGATTTTGTTTCCGAACATACCGCTTCCAAATCTCGAGGAACAACCCGAAAAGTTCGACATCGAATTCGAAAATATAGACTTCGATGAGCTTCAAGAAATCCGAAACGAACTAATCAATAACCAACCCGTTTTGGAATCATCAATACCATCCAGTACACCCAGTATCTGGACGATCATCATCTACGGGGTCAGCATCCTCCTCATCTGTTTCATAGTCTACAAGAAAATTTTGGCCAAGAAGAAGAAGGCTCCAAATCATCGCCAAAACACCGAATTGTCGAACGTTCAACTCCCTCAGTAACTTCGGGACTTGAATCTCAGGGGGAAGGTGTTATATCAGGAAATTATCTGTTCCCAAGTACTATCAGCATGTTCTACCAGGAGATCCACCGTTCCCAAGCAGTATCAGCAGATCGTATTTCCAAATTCTTGTTAACGCTGTGAGAACACTTGTTTTGCTAATTCTAACATTGTATTTTTTCCAGTCAGTTCATGATTAGATTTCGAGTAGTTTAAATCATAAAAATTATAAATTGTAACTTTCAGTTTTTGTAGTGAATAAAAATTTTTTAAAAACTATTTTTGAAGTAACGGAGTTATTTCTCGCACTTTCAACGAGTCATTTAAAAAAATTTGCTTTTATTTGTACAAGCTACTTTTTGAGTTTATATTATAGTTGAAACAATAGGTAATCGATCTAAGATTGATGATTACAAAACCGTACTTAGAACTAAACTGAAATAAAAATGTCGTTTACAAAGATTATTAAAAGTATACAATTTCACTGAAAATGCAATTCGGCGTTTCTGCGGGTGTGGCGATTACATTTCTATATTTATTTATTTATCGAGTCTAAAAAAATAATTGTTGTTTTTCGAAAATTGGAAAACTAGTTTTGTACAAACAAACATCGTGCGATTAATTTTAAACTCGTTAGAATTTTAGTAATAGTGTAATTACTAAAGAGGAGTGGTGTATATTCAACGTTATGTCTACCCTATTACGTAAATGAAAAACGAATCCCGAATCCGACCTAGAAAGCGCAGTTGAGCAACAGGCGCCGGCATGTCGTTTTCACCACGCGCGTGTGAAAATCGTGAAAAGGTTTTCCGCTATATAGATAGTTAGTGACTTTGAATTTTCAACCATTTTGGCTGTTAAATAAATAAGGTATTAGACAATAGTTATTTTATCGTGTTTTCTAATTAAGTGGTTTTGGTATAATGATACGAGTTTATATACAGGGTTGGGCAAAAGTCCGGAATAAAATTATTATCTGTTAAACCAGTAATTTAAACAAAAAACGCTGAAACACGTAAATTGATTTTATATTGGACGGATTTGTTGCCAATAAAATGATTCTTTTTTCTTCAACCCCTTAGTTGCAACCCTACCCAACTTTATTTTTTCAAATGCAAAGGTATGTCGTGTGTAGGGTCATTGAAAAGCCCGTGAAAAATGGAATCTAAAACATACCTTTTTTTTTTATTTTTCTCATGTTGTTATTTGGAAATGAGCAAAAAATTTTTTTAAAAACAAATATGTTACAAATACTTTTTTAGTGGTATCGACGTGTGAATTAAGGCTTACTCTACTTAACAGGCTCCAAGGCAATGGTAAAACCTAATATCGGTAGCCTATCTTTAATTCTGAATGAACTTTTATTAAAAGCAGGCGAGCCTGGTCAGGCAGCACACCAAATTTTATTGATTTACCGTTTAAAACTGATAAGGCAATTTAGCAACAACATTCGTTGAAATTTATGTTTAAAGAAAAAACAAAAACATAAAATGGGTTTAAATCTAAGCCATTGTTGATCAGTGAACTTCAAAAAGGAAAACAGGTGTTGCATTTTTGTACAAGTTTTTTTTTACCAAAGGTTCGCCTGTTTTTATTAAAAAGTCATTCAGAATTAAAGATATGCTATCGATATTAAGTTTTACCAACGGCTGGGAGCCTGTCAAGTAGATGGTGAAGGGCATTTTCAACATTGCTACGTCGATAGCACTAAAAAGGTATTTGTAACTTTTTTGTTTTTAAAAGAAATTTTTGCTCATTTCCAAATAACAACATGAGAAAAATAAAAAAAAGGTATGTTTTAGATTCCATTTTTCACGGGCTTTTCAATGACCCTACACACGACATACCTTTGCATTTGAAAAAATAAAGTTGGGTAGGGTTGCAACTAAGGGGTTGAAGAAAAAAAAATCATTTTATTGGCAACAAATCCGTACAATATAAAATCAATTTACGTGTTTCGGCGTTTTTTGTTTAAATTACTGGTTCAAAAGATAATAATTTTATTCCGGACTTTTGCCCAACTCTGTATAAAATAACTAGGTATTTCATTCATGTTTATTATAGTTTAACAGCTAAATCTAGATTACATCAAAAACTGTAATAAAACTGATAAAAAAAAGATAAGAGTGTTATCAAAAGCGAACGGATTTTCGTAGAGCAGCTAGATAGTAGCAAAATGCACATGATATGCGTATGAAACGCATTGGTAGAAAATTATCTATGTATTTAATAGATAACTAGAACATATTAATCGGTTTATAACCAATGTTTCGAACGTAAAATGAAGTCTGTGAGATCCACAATCCTCCTAGCACAATCCATAAAGTCAAGGACTATGAGAAATTCTTTACGGTTTTCGCGAAAGGTGTTGTTAATGTTAATATGTTGTACACTTTTGTTAATACTGACGTTTTTTTCTGTGGTGGATATCAAAAAACGAATGCTTCGTACGCGCGAAGCGATAGTATGTTACAGAATAAAAACGAACGACACACTTCCGGATATATCGGAAGTTACTCCGCGTAGAGGAAAATCGATTTTCTTCCACGAAACATCTTGTTATTCCTATTTCAAAGGAAGGATATCCATAACTGCTCGGTAAGTTCCTACCTACCAACTTCATAAATTAATGTTAGGTAATTACGCAATTATTATCTAATAAATAACATTATCAATAAATTTAAGATATCTGATATTTTCTCCCTTTAGGCAAGCATGCGCCGTGGAGAGCGCCGCTCGTTTCAATCCGAATTTCGAAATATACCTGCTCTACTCATCGCCGGGCATGATAAAATTCGACGGGGACGAATCCGATAAGATATTACAAAACCTTTTAACCTACCCCAACGTGTACATCATGCACTTGGATTACGAAAAGTACACTAAAGGCACTCCCGTTGAACGCCTGTACGCTTCCGGGAGAATCGAAGGATCCATGCACGCCATCTCGCATTCCAGCGACGTGCTCCGGTAAGATTTCCGGATTTTTCCGGATTTTTCCAGATTTTTCTCCCTTTATGTAGCAACATAATATCACGAGGGCGAAATGGGGTCGGGAATAAAATGGCAAAAAGACCTCTAATGTAACCTATCCCTCGTGACAGAAGTTTATAGAAGGTAAACTTATACGTAGGTGGTTTGTAGATATCTTACGATGTGGAAATACGGGGGCGTCTACCTGGATTTGGACGTGGTGATGCTGAAATCAGTGGAAGATTTGAGGAATTTCGCTGCCATCGAGTCTGAGGAAGTGGTCGCCTCCGGTGCCTTAGGATTCGATCCCTCGGGAGACGCGCATGATATGGTAGAGAAATGTTTGAACGACCTTAACGATAATTTCAACGGTGAAATTTGGGGCTACAACGGACCCGGTGTTATAACCAGGTAGTGATTTTGCCAATAAATTATTACAACTGTGTTTCATCTATTGCTTGTTAAAGGCTACTCAGAAATCTGTGCGGGACAAACAAAACGGACGAAATGTCAGTTAACGATTGCGGTGGGTTCCATGTTCTTGAAACGGAAAGTTTCTATCCTATATCCTGGAGGACATGGTGGATGTACTTCGACGAGAAATTCGCCGATAATGTGACTTATTCCACGCAACATGCTTACGCCATACACGTGTGGAATAAACTCAGTTCCGAGCGGCTTATACCTATACAATCGAATGCGCCTTACTTAGATATAGCTAGAAAACATTGTCCAAAAACTGTCCAAGCCTGTGATAATTATTTCTAAGGCGAATTTATTTTTATAAATTGTATGTTTCTTAAAGGTGCTTAATTCGTGTAGTCTTACCTGTTATCCTCATAAACGGCAATCCTATTAAATCCTTGACATTAGCTCCTGCGAATCCTGCAACGTGAGCGCCAAGGCTGAACCCAATTACATGGGTAAGTGATGGGGTAATACCGTACGATACCAGATTGATGGTAAGCATTCCTAAGCACTCGCCTACGTGCCAGGTGTTTAAATAAGCAAATATGTAACAAGGAAGAGAAGCCAAAGGTTCCCAATCCACTAAGAGAAAATTAACAAAATTATGGTAAGTATGAATTTGGTTTTTAAGCAACCAATATCTCACCGATAATAACGTTGTAACCCACGTCTTGGTAGGCTTTGGTGATGTTTGTCGTTGCAATATCCGCTCGCAAACCCCCGTAACCGTGGATGACCACTTTCAACGGTACGAAGACGTTATAATCGTCGGGCAACACCGGCTGGAGAGGATCCAGATCGGTGTAAGTGATGTTGTCGCCTTTTCCAGTCGATAGAATGAATTTCGTCGCGTAAGGACTGCATGGTTCTTCGAAATACACAGGACATTTCCCGAAATGGTACTTTAGACAAACCAGTTTTCGCGAAAAACCTTAAATGATTGGAATATATTTAAATATCGAGTTTTTTTTGGCAATATTCATTGTTAAATAACCTCTTTTTAATTCACATCTTCTTGATTGATGTACGAGATTAGGTAATAATAGTAGTAAAACTATACTTTTATTCAATAACTACATTAACTACACTCTGGTACATACATTTTGACCTTTAGGAATTGTGTTTCAACATGCGTAGTCTTCAAATAAGTGAAATAAACTTGAACTTACATGCCTAGCCTAGTAGGTAAGTACTCATACTTGTTGTTGTTGTTGTTTTTATGCGGGCGGTCTTTCCAGCCCCGTGACCACCTAGATCTAATGATCCTCTGTAGTTTCCCGCTGTTTCCCAAGGTCATTGATTCTGCCAGAGGTCGCAAGTATTTGCAAACCTCAGCAGTTCGGATGCCCTTGTGTTTTTGAGATCGCTAGGATCTAATGAGGTCCTTCCCCAGGTATTATACCTGCGCAAGGATAATGCTGGACAGTGACACAGTATGTGTATGCTGTCCTCCTCAGCCTCCCCACATAGACGGCATGTTTTCTGCTCTACTATTTTAAGGCGGTATAGGTGCGCTCTGAGTGCTACGTGTCCTGTGAGTAGTCCAAGCGTTTTGCTCAGCCTGTCACGGTCCATAGCCCAGAGCTCGGTTGCCCTTTCTTTTGAGGGTGTTTCCATGAACTGTTTGGATACCCTACAGCCTGTCGAGTTCCTCCATCGAACGAGATGTTCCCTTTCTAGGAGTTTGTTTAGGTATTGTTTACCTTCTGCAAAGGGCATTCCAACTATCTGCCTACCAGGTTGCTCCATGGCCCCCTCTCTGGCTAGATTATCGGCTACCTCATTGCCTTCTATTCCCTGATGTCCAGGGATCCAAATTAGAGTCACTACATTCTCAGCCCCTAACCTGGCGAGGTTCTGCATGCAGTCCCGCACCACGGCGGAGACCGTGGTGTTTTTCGCCAGTGCCTCTAGGGCAGCGCGGCTATCCGAATAAATATTTATTCGGGAATGTGTGGCTCCATTATTTATGAGATGCTCTGCACATCTCAGTATAGCAAATACTTCGGCTTGGAAGACCGAAGCATGTTCACCCAGGGATATGCTCTCCCTGTAGTTGGTATTTTGCCCGTAGATGCCCGATCCATGGCGGTCCCCACACCCCGAGCCATCGGAGTACCAGTTTTCGCCCTGATGTTCCATCAACGGTTTTTGTTCCTTCCAGTCTTCTCTGGTTGGTATTTTTACCCTATAGGTGTGTTCAATCATAACCTGTTTAGAGGTTCTGTCTTGTCTTAATGTAAAAGGTGTGTTTCGAAGGACATGTATCCTGGTATGTCCAGTTCCATTTTCCTTCCACTCCCCTTGACATTTCATTCTGTATGCTGTCTGCCGGGCGACATTTGTCACTTTTAGGTCCAGGGGTGGAATATTGAGCGCTATTTCTAGCGCGTCAATTGGTGTGGTTCTCATGGCCCCTGTCGCAGCCCGCAGGTAGTTACCTTGCAGGCTTCTTAACAGGTTCCGATTCCCCACCAATTCTACCCTGGGCCACCAGACTACTGCAGCATACAGGAATCTTGGTATTAATACCGTTTGGTATAGCCAAAGAGTTACCCTAGGTTTTAATCCCCAGGTTTTTCCTATGGCTCTTCTACAAGCCCACATTGTGCTGTAGAATTTTTTCCTCTTTGTTTCGAGGTGGGTGTTCCAATTCAGTTTTGTATCTAGGTGGACTCCCAGATATTTGACTGTATTGGAATAAGGGATCTCCACCCCCCAAAGCTGTAACGGCTTTGTTGGTTGGAGTTTGTATTTCCGGGTGAAGATTACTGCTGCTGTCTTTTCTGGGTTTACCATCAAGCCAACAGCAGCGCACCAGTCCTCTACGATTTTCAGGGCATTCATAATGATGTCCCTGAGTGTTGGTAGGAAGTTTCCTCTGGCTATTATGGCTATGTCATCTGCATAGCCGAATACCGAGAGTCCTGCTTCTGTGAGTTTTGCCAGTAGTTCATCCACCACTAAGCACCACAACAGAGGTGAGAGTACTCCTCCCTGCGGGCACCCGCCGGTTGGACGTCCTGTTACCTGGTCGGTTCCCATGCTTGTTGACAGTTTCCTGCCTCTAAGCATGGCCTGCGTCCAGTCAGTGAGGGTTTCGGGTATCCCTCTGCTGACCATTGCTTTTTTTATGGCTACATTAGAGGTGCTATCAAAAGCCCCTGCAATGTCCATAAATACTCCTATTGCATATCCTTTAGACTCTAGTTGCGCCTCTACCTTTCCCACTAAGTGGTGTAAGGCGGTCTCCGTGGACCTCCCTGCTCTGTACGCGTACTGAGAGGGGGCCAGGGGGCGCGCTGCTAGAGTCCTATGCTTGATATACGTATCCACCAGTCTTTCCAGAGTCTTCAAGATGAAGGAGGAAAGGCTGATGGGACGGAAGTCTTTGGCCAGTAGATGACCGTTTCTTCCAGGCTTTGGTATGAAAGTAATTCTACTTTCACTCCACGCTCTGGGGACGTGTCTGTGGGCTATGCTAGCCCTCAGTATTCTTGTTAACGGGCCTAAAAGGTCCGTGAGTCCTTCCTGTAACAGTATGGGATAGATTCCATCCGGTCCAGGAGCCTTGTATTTGTCGAATGTCCTTACGGCCCACTCGACTCCTTTAGGCTTTACAACCTCTGCCGCCAGAGTCCAATTCCTAGGCTTACGTTCAGCCCCGTATTGTGTCTCCTCGGTTGGTAGGTTGTTGGTGTCTTCTCTGAATCCTGGGAAATGTGTTTCCATCAGTAGATTCAGTGAGTCCTTCATTGTTTCTGTATATTCTCCATCCGGTCTTTTCAAGCATCCCAGGTTTGGAGTGGTTGTTCTGCCGAGTGCTTTGGCCAGTCTCGATACCTCTGATGAGTTCTCTACACTGGCACAGTATTCCCTCCAGCTTTTCTTTTTAGCGGCGTTTATAGCCTTGCTATATTCCTTTTGGAGGTGTCTGAACTGCTTCCAGTCCTCCTCTTTTTTTGAATTCTTTGCCTTGTTGAAGGCCCTTCTCACCTCTCTTCGGAGTTTCGCCAGGTGGTTGTCCCACCAGCGTACGCCCCTTGATTGGTTTTTGGGCCTTAGAGGACAGTTGAATTCATAAGACTCCTTGATGGCATCGCTTAGGAACCGCGACGCTTCCTCAAGTTGGTCCCTTGTATTTAGTCTGCGAGGGAATTTTGAGAGTCTCATTTTGAGTTCCTCTCTGTATCCCTCCCAGTTGGTTCTTCTGGGATTTCGCGCCCATTCGGTTTCTGTTTTCTTACAGACGTTCATTCGGATGAGCCTGTGATCAGAGCCTGTAGGTTCGTTATCCACCCTCCAGTCCTGCACCAGCTCCCTTAGTTTACCGGTTACCACGGTGATGTCTATAACCTCCTGTCTTCTGCAGTCCATGAAGGTTGGTTCGTTGCCTCTGTTGAGTGTTGTTAGGTCTGTACGCATAAGTACTCATACTTACCAGCATAGTTTTAAAATAAATTAAATGCTTGGTTTTTGTTAAGGATATCACGTTTTTAACATTGACATAATAACAAAAAACATTAGGTTTTAAGTTTGTATGTCATGATTCAATAAAAGTAATTATTAAATTAAAAAATTAGATAGGTAAATTTGTTTATAAAGAATTGTTAATGAAATATTATTCTTATCTCGCTTTCAAAACTCATTCAAATCACTCGTTTTGATTTTTAACATCATCCATTATGGTCATGAATCGATACATTTTTGATTACTGCTGTATGTATAATGTAGGTACAATGAATATACAGGGTGTTAATTAATGCAATGTACTTATTTTAATGGGTGATATCTCTTGAGCTAGGTTTGAGTCGAAAAGTTCATTCAAAGGTATGTCCTCCGAAGCTCTCGGTTTTCGATAAAAGTTTTATTTTAATAAAGTTTTTTTTTTCAAAAATTTGAAAAACCGTTTGAGATATTACATTGAATTCTAGGATAACATATTATAGTATAAATAATCATTTTTTAAAGAGAAAATATTTTTTATTTTAACTAGTGGCGTAGTTATGGGTAGGTCGGTACATTTTTTTCTAAAACATTATTACGCCATTGTTGTTTAGAAAGTTTCTTTAAAAATTATTGATAACCATTTCATTTTAAACAAAAAAATTTCTTGCGTTTTTGCCGTAGAACTTATTATTTTAAAGAAAACTCTTTATAGCCCTTTGTAACCCTGTAACTGAGCTTCGGAGAACATACCTTTAGGTATATGAAGTATTCGACTAAAAATTAGTTCAAAAATTTACCCATTAAAATAAGTATATTGCATTAATTATCACCCTGTATTTTTAATGAAGAATAATTATCATATAAACTTACCGATAATTAAAACAAACATCCAAAATGCAATTTTGATTCCCATGTTTTTGAAGTACCGCAAGTTTAAACTAACTACATGGCTTGTTCCGCGCACCTTCGTAATATTTCTTGAAAAAAAGAACTAAAACTGACGTAAACTATCTGTAATACTACACTCGCTTAAAGCTATAAAATAAAAGAAATCTTTTTATTTATTTCGACGAATTTAAAATATTTTACCAGTGTCAAGGAGCTTGTAGGAAACTACTGATTTATTCCACTAAATATTATTCCAGCGTTACCACCGGCGTTGGGTTCTTGTTATTTGTTATAACAACATTTTTCACACTTTTACTAAAAGGTATCTACTTTAGATTTTTTTGAGGAAAATACTTTTTTTTAGAAAGAAAAGAAGTACGCAGGTATCGCTCAAAAATCATGAGATAAATTCTAAAGGAAACGTAAAAAAATAAAAAGGAGTGTATAGCTACAGTATTTGAGCTTATTGATTTCGAATTCACCTCGAAAATACTACATACACATAGATCCAATGCTATAAGAAACATTTATTTAAACTAAAGAATTAATAGACAACGATAGTGAAATTGGTGGAATGTTTGGGCCAACATCCTTTCCGAGGTCTCAAGCTGCTAAATATTCTACAAGGGTTCGCCATTCTCATCCGAAACGGTGGTCGTTTCGCAACCAGATCCAATTGTAATAATAATTTAATTATAATAAAATAATCGTTGCGTACTTGCGGCTATCATATTTACATGTTGCGAAACGAACTGTATGGTCTCGTATGCGGGACGTTTCAATGGCTGTTTTGAATTTTTGGGAGTGACCGGTGAGTCGTACATTTTAATACAACTATAGGCATATCTGAGAATGTGAGAACACAAATTTCGGGGCTCGTAAAACAATGGATTTTTAAGATAAAACATAAAAACGTAAGTAAAATTGTTAAGGATTACGAAAATTCTTATAAAGTTTAAATTGCGCAAAAAATATTCTGGGTAATTACCGTTAATGATCGCTTTTTTACACACCACCAATCTTTAATTTCTTGCACTTGTTGAACGCTAACTCCTGTTCAAATCGAAGAGAAATCTCTTGCCTGTATTTGTACTTATTACAACCGGTTGCTAATGAGAACTAGCAGAACTAAAAACTAGAGGAAATAGTTGATAAATAGCAGTATACAGGTCATTGACAAGTGTAATATTCATATATTTCTAGTTTTAAAGCATAGAAATTAACATTCTTAAGAGATCAGGTTGCGGATTCAACGTAGACCACTAGCATGATGGTGTAATAATTTATTACCTGCAAAATGGATGGAAAGTTAATGTTTTCTATATGTATATCATTAGATTGAATCTTAGGAATATGTAATTTATAAGTAGGTAAGTACCTACTTCAGTTTAAAAAATATACCTCTACCTTATTTCCCTTTACTAGTAATTCTCATATAATGTTTACCAATAAAATTAGCAGAACAAGCAATTATGCTAATAGCCTCGTTTATCGAATATTTAAACATGTTAAAATCGACTAATAAATCTTAAACAACGACATTCTAATCCGCAAAAAAATATAATGTCCGTTAATACCTTTATTACAATAAATAACATTGAACTACATATTCAAATTTGTTAACAAAACACTAAACAAACATGTTTACACACTACTATGAACTTTTCAAATCTGGCAATTTCACTTGAAAATTTGTTATTAATTAATAGTTTTCTATCATTAATCATTGTTATATTACATTGCCTTCTTAAACACACATTAAATAGTGAATAATAAACCACAGATAAGAGTAGAATGAAAAATTAAAGGAAATTCGGTGTGAACGTAGACGGTTAAATAATGTTTAATCCAAAGAATTAATGAAGGCGAACAGTTATCGGAAACTAATAATACCTACGAGAATTTGCAGATTAGGAAATAAATTGGGGTACCATGCTTCGCTACCTTGCAAAATTTCGTTAATCCAGCGTTAAATATTACGACAAAAAATATTTTTCCGCGTAAAATTCGACGCGGTTTTTTTTGGTGTTGCAAATTTTTATTAGACCAGTCGATGGAGAACTAATCTATTTGTGCATTATTCATTTATTTTTCTAAAATTAGAACTTTTTTTTTAGAAATTACCAGCTTTTATTCAAAAATTCAACAAAAGTGCGTCAAATGATAGATAACTTTCTTATTAATATTATATTCTAATCTAATATTCTAATTAATGTATAAATGAATTCAGTTAATAAATAGATAGTAGGTGGTAATTTATAAAAATTACCGAAGGACCAGGGTCAAGTAAAATTAGACAAGATTTCCACTCTTAGATGAACAATTAATTATCCTTCTATCAGCCAGTGCAACATCATCGCCCCCATACCAATTTTTATCTAGTAATAAGGATCAGTCGAGATCAGGTTCTCGTTGATGGTACCGCGGCTTAACAGTACCGCGGCACTTTGCGCGGCATACAGGGAATATCAATAAACGAAATTGCACGCGACCAGATTCTTAAGCAGGAATAAAAATGCGTTACTTTTCCGTTCGGATTTTTTCATCGTGCATTTATTGGTGCATTCGCGCGGGCTTCCTTAACGGACTTTTATGATTTTATTATGTAAATGGTGCACAGTGCTAATATGTGGGGGTGGTGCTTTATTTTCATGGAAATTATTTTATGTGAGTGCCTAATCCGGAGGTTAATTAATGCTAATCTTCTGTTGGTTTTTAGGCGTTCTCTCCCAAATGGTAGGAAATGAAGTTCAGGAAATAAATCGGAATCGAGTTCGAGGCGTCTTGAGTTTGGGAAATTGCAGGATAGTGTACAATCCGTAGGTATTTGCAGGATATACCTACAATTTTGTTACAGTTTGAATATTTGTGTCCTTTAGCGTTTGCCCGGATCCTGACGTGACTTTTTTCCTCTTCACCAAACACCAACCAAAATACCCTGTTCCTATTCGAGTGGGCACCAACTGGAAGGAAACCAATTTCAACCAAACGCGCTTTGATCCCAGGAAACCGACGAAAATCATCATTCATGGATACAACTCGGATATGAATATAAGCGCTTTGGTCGAAGTTAGAAACGGTACGATTAAATCGTCTTATTACATGAATATACTTTAAAATTAAACTTCCCTTTAGAATATTTGAAGACGAAGGATTATAATATATTCGTTGTGGATTGGAGCCCGTTGAATCAATCACCTTGCTATCTGGGCGCCTTGCTCAACTTGCCTCACGTAGGAGCTTGCTGTGCTCAATTGATCCAACGCTTATTGGACGTCCAGAATTTCGACATTCACGTAATAGGATTCAGCCTAGGTAATTTTACTTTGCGGTAATTGCTACAATTATCGCTAAAAATTTATACATTGTGCATAAAATGTTTTATTTCTAATTTTACTACCTATGGTAAGTAGATACGTATCTAATCACGAATGTAATTGTACCTACAGACGCAGTAGGTTAATTATAAAGTCAAAAAACTGTAATTAGTTAGATGATAGACATGTAGGTATTTATAGATACGTATGTACTTAAAGATAAAATCAAATACTACCTAAAAAAATTGAAGAATTAATTAATTATCTTAGCATTTTCTAATTGCGTTTTTTTTAGGTGCCCAAATCACCAATCACATATCTGTTGCGTTAAGACCTTACCGATTGCCGAGGATAACAGGACTGGATCCGGCGCTTCCAGGATTCGTCACGCTTCACTTAGATGGAAAGCTGGACAAATCCGATGCCCAATTCGTCGACGTTTATCACACTAACGCGTTTTTCCAAGGGAAAGTCGAGGAAAGCGGTCACGTCGATTTCTACATCAACGGGGGCATCGTACAACCGGGTTGTTGGGCACAGACAAGTGAGTAACTAGATTCCCCCAATTCTCTTTAAAACTAATGGGATATTTCCCTGCAGGATTTTTCGCTTGCAACCACCATCGGGCTCCTCTCTACTTCGCGGAGACCATAAACACCGAGAAGCACTTCTACGCCTGGCCTTGCCCGACTTACTTCGACTACCTGTTGGGACGTTGCCCGCCCGGGGAGCCGCAAATTATCATGGGGGAGTACGTGAGGAGGGCTGCTCAAGGAGTGTACCTGGTTATAACGGAATCTGTGTCGCCGTTCGCCGTGGGGAAGTACGAAGGGCCCAGCGTGGAGATATTTAAATCAACGGAGCAGTACAGGAGGAAAGTGCTGGATATGTATAGGAAACGAATGGTCGGTTTCGTGGACGAGTACGATTTGTTCGAGCAATTGGTGGATGATAGAATGGACGTTAAGTCGTACGATGAGCTGGTTGAAGTGGTGCTGTCTAGTGAAAACGTTGATTTGTTGAGTGTTTTGTAAATAGATCAATTATTTGTTTATTTATTGTGTTAGTAGATATTAATAATTTATAGTATACATAGAAAAATGTTACAATGTAAGATAGCAATGTTGTATTAAATATACTATTATTGTATTTTACAGATACATAGGTACTCTTACTTGTGGGTTGCAATTTAAAATTTCAATTTTTCTCTTCTGGTAGTTCAACTATATCTCTCCTGGTCGTGGTAGGTATTCAATTTTCATATAATTTACATTGTTTTTCAAATATTCATGTGTATGCGATATAAATAAATTGAAATTTAGTTTACGGTAGAATGGCTTATCATCAAATTATTTGAATAATTGATCTAAATCTTCTATATATAGAGTGCAAATTGACATAATGCCTTAAATTTTGGCAACTAGTGTGTAGTAAGGGATTTCTTATTGTTATTTTCTATTTTGCTCTTGTTTATTCCCAACATTTTTAATAAGGTAATATTATAATTATTCATATTTTTAAATACTTACCAATTATTGTTCCTCCACGGTTTATTCTTATAGTTACTGCTCTTCCATCTATCACAATTTTATCCACTCAAATTAATACATTTTTCTTAAGCAAAAGAGAACTTACCAAATGTGCTTTTACTACATTTCCTACCTGTAGAGATTGCTGCACTTTTTTTTCGTAAATATCTACAATTAACGACCTACTTATTATTTCTTTCTATTCTATTCTATTTTGTGTATCGTCTGCGAATTCAGATTGGAGTTGACACTAAAAGATTAAGTAAAATTTAAAATACGGTTAAAATTTGCATTTTAGTCGTATTAACGAATAATGACACTTTGAATTTATTTCTATTTTTTCCATGTTAAGCGTATGATAATATCTAAATTGCCCTATAGGGTAGGTATATTTAAAAGCAAGAGTGTTTTTAATAAATTAGTACGAATTTTCTGTAGACCTATTAATAATGGAGGAGTTCATTCGACTTTCTTTTGTGTTTGTATTATTATTTGGTAAGTAAAATGTAAAATACTTATCTAAATGAATATTCAAATTGTTTATTAATAAATAAATTATTTTTAATGTGTTTATTTTGCCATTGTTTTTACATTAGTGTCATGTTGTTCCCACAAGACGAGTTATACTAGAGAATTAGTCCAAAAAGAGCACCCAGGATTTGGCAAGGAGTATCTGTTATTCCTCGATGAGAATGAGCAACTTACTAAAGGTTATATCCAAACCAAGCATTTAAGGTCAGGTTTAGATTTCCTAAATTTCGACAATACTGTTGTAAATGCGATGACATACAAGTTTTATACAAGGTACATGCCTAAAATAATAGTTGTATAGATAAAATTTGTGTTTTGGTATACTATATTAACAATGTTGTAGGAATATTCCAGATGGTAAAATGGTATCGACAGTTAATGATTTGGGATCTGATTTTGATAATTCGAAGCCCACTAAGTTTATCACCCATGGATTTTTATCTTCTGGACAAGCAGATACTTGCATAACTATTAAAAATGGATACCTGAACAAAAGCGATGTGAACGTATTCGTGTTGGATTGGAGTCCGTTGTCAAGTAAGAATTTTTCTTCATAAGTAAGTAAGCCATAATTAAGTTTATTTTTGTAGAAATTGTTTTGTACGATATACCTAGAATCGCAACGAAGTCCGTCGGGCAGCATTTAGCAAAATTCATAAACAATCTCATTGAACAAGCTGGGCTTTTCCCCAAAAAACTCCACATGACAGGCCACAGTCTGGGAGCGCACGTAATGGGTTTTGCAGGAAGGTCATTACTTGAAAAACCCAGCAGAATTACAGGTTAATATTTTCTGCGATCTCCGTTTCCTCCAATTAATTGTAAAACCTTTCCTAGGTCTAGATCCTGCTTTACCTGGATTCGATATGTCCAGTACGAATCATTTAACCAAAACTGACGCGGACTTTGTGGATGTTATTCACACTTGTGCCGGATTATTGGGAGTATCAGACCCTATAGGACATGCTGACTTTTACCCCAACGGCGGCGATCCTCCTCAACCTGGCTGCAACATATTGAACGCTGCGGAAGGCTGCAGTCACGGTAGAAGTTGGAAGTTATTCGCTTCGAGTATTACATCAGTCGAGCCATTTTTCTCGTTTTCTTGTCAGGATTACCAGCATATGGAGCGAGCGAGTTGCGCGGGAGACATGGTACCAATGGGGGAACCCACCCCAAAGTCCACCAGGGGTATTTTCTATTTGAAGACGACCGACAAATTTCCTTTTGTTATAAGCGTGGATGATAATAAAGTTTAAATATATGAGAAAATATTTTTTTTATTTTAAAATCAGGTTAGTGTAGGTATGTTTTTGCTTATTCATTGTATCTACTAATTGCATAATTCTTATTATAAATATCTCAATTTTTACACCATTGCGAGCTTGGTGATAATAACAAAAGTATTTAAGTTATTTAAGATGTCGATAAGTTGGGTCAAAGTGCAAATATTAGTTTAAAAACGTTTAATTGAACTATTTCCATTCAATTAATACCAGCAATTATGAGCACTACCAGCGCATCAAACAGAAAACTTGGTGTTTTATTAATATTTGCAGCATGTTTGTCGACATGTTATTGTGTAATAACTGTAGGTAGGTTTCTAAAATGTTTTAATATTTGAAATTTTGTACTTGAAAAATTTTTTGAGAGTAGGGACTTGAAGTTGAATCTGTAATACACTCTAATAAAATGTTAGGTATTTACTTAATTTATCAGACAAAATGCTAGGTAAACTAATTTGTTGTCAACGTTTAACCATTGAATTTACCAAGGTCGTTCGACGACCTAAATGATCCGTTAATTTAGTAACTTTAGTAACTAATTTTTATAAAAGAGAGACAGGTTTGTTTCGAAAACACGAGAGTGTACTTACTATTTCTTATGTGCTATTCATTCAATAATGACAGGTTTGTCTGGGTATTACTTAGTGTTTGTATTCAATTTTTATAGCTAATGTGAATTTTTGTAGAGCAAGTGAAAAACTACTACAGGTCGTTACCGAGGGTTAATTTTTCACTGGCCAATGGCGAGAAGACTGATGTCATCTACAAACTTTTTACCGATATTTCTCAAACCACCGGAAAAGTGATAACCACAGAAAATGCAAATGAGGAAATTGTTAATAAAACTTTACCAACGGTATTGCTGATTCACGGATTCACAACTGATGATACTTCACCATGGTAAATCTTATTTTTTTTATATTTAAAGTTCTATTACTTTTTATAACTTTTACTCCAACAGGTATAATCCGTTAAAAACAGAATATTTCAAGCTAGGTCCTCACAATATTATTTACATAAACTGGTCAAAAGCAGGCAACAGAACTTACACAGTATCCAGCGCAAATGTTAAACCTATAGGAAAATACATAGCCGAATTCCTCGTAGAATCTAAAGTTGATTTGAAAAAAGTCCACCTTATAGGTAAACTACAATTTCATAAAAAATCAACAATATCTACGATCATCTTCTTGCTTTAAGGTCACAGTTTAGGGTCCCAATTAGCTTCGTTCATCGGCAAATACGTAAAGAAACTAAGCGGAACGAAAGTGGGAAGGATAACGGGATTAGATCCCGCGAATCCATGTTTCGCTAATCCGGAAATGTCGGTAGACGAAAGATTGAATCCAGAAGATGCTGAATTCGTGGATGTTATACATACTGATGTGCAGTTATTTGGTTACGCTGCACCAATTGGCCACGTTGATTTTTACCCAAACGGAGGCGGCCATCAACCCGGTTGCCCAACTAGAGAAATTGATGGTAGTAGCTTTGATTCACTAAATAAATATACAGATTGCTCCATTTTTCATTGCAACATAGGCTATGCAACTAAGACAACTTTAGTTAGACACTTATAAAGGGAAAAAGAAAGAGTGATATTATGTCATTGCAACTTTTCACTCTGACAACTGTTATTTTAATAATCTTTCTTTGTTCAACTCATAGAAATGCCCATGTTGTAATCCCGAATGAAGCACGGTGTATGTTTACTCCAGTATTTAATTTTTTCAGATAATTGTAGTCATGCGAGATCAACGCTTTATTTTATTGAATCACTTTCGGTGAAACAATTGGTTGCAGAAGCAACGTTCAAGGAAGAAGGCAATGTAGTTACTGTTTCAATAAAAGGATATCAAAATAATGTTATTTTTGGTCAACATGTCGATGTCAATGCGAGAGGTGTGTACTCTTTTAAAACTGGTTCCGTGAAACCGTATCTAACTTCAATACTGTAGAGTAGTACACGAATGTCGGACTGTATGAAAATTTGGTTTATTTTTAATAAAATTTACATATCTTAAAGATTAATAATTTAACTAATCAACTGCTCTAATCCTCCTCTTCCTCTTCTTCGTTGTATCCTTCGGATTCCCCGTCACCGTCGTCGTCTGAACTTGTGGAGTACGATGAGCTCTTTTCGTAGCTCTCACCATCTTCATCGCCTTCAGAATAGTCTAAAAAAATGGCTATATAGGTACCAAGAAAAGTGCAATATTTTAGAAACTTACCACTGGAGTAAGGGCTGCTCTCTTCTTCTCCTTCTTCAGCCCCCGAATCCCCGTCGGCGTATTGCTGAGATTCCCCTGAATCTCCTTCTCCCAAATAATAACTATAAAAACAACGTAAGTAGGTAATTAACATATAAAACGATTTGTTAATTTGCAATCCTTACCCTTCTGGTCCTTCTACTACTTCATACGCTCTTTTAGTTTCCTTAGCATCATCACCCTCGGCATTTTTGCTCTTCTTCTTTTTTTCAGCTCGAGTCTTGCTGCCAGTCTCCACGTTGGCTTTGTCTAATTTCCCGAACTCCGAATGCACTTCGAAGCCGTACTTGTCGGAGTCCTTTTTGTGGAAACTGTCGAAGTGCTTGTACCCGTCGTCGCCTTTGTCCTTCGACTTCTTCAAGTAGCCCTGCACGTTGCCGTCATCGTCGGGCTCGTCGCCGAAGGTGTGAAGGTAAGCTTGCTTGGTGCCTGGAACGAGGAGTGAAAAAAATCGACCGATTGATCATGCAATTTTATTTTGCTTTGTTACGAGTGAGGCATGTTTTTGTTGTTTTGATTATAGCGCAAACATTTTCTTATGTATCAGTGAGTAGGTACTTGAGTCAAAATGGGAAGGTGTGGTGAGTAAATAATTCGTCAAAACAACTTGAATCAAATTGATTGTTTCGGGAAAAATACATCATAACAAAAGCGAGTTCTTAAAAATTGTAACAATATTAATTGTAAAATTTAATAGTTTATTTCTCTGAGATAAGGTAAGTACAAACAATATACCGAAAGTTAAATATACTGTGATAAATAGTAACTATATGCATGCTGCAGAAATACACTTGAACTGGGGAAAAATTGGCGATGAAGATATAGCAATAAACTATTAAATGTATAGAATTTACCTGGTTCTAAAAGTTCGTGTATGCTTTTGGGGCTGATAGCTCTTGCTTCCCTTATAGTACTCTCGACTAAAGCGGTATCGTCGACTTGCTCTTCCATAAGTTCATCGTAGGGGTAGCAAAATATAATTGGAAACAGCACATTTATCGCGAATATAACACACGAATATTTCCACATTTTCTTTGGTATCTTTTATTCAACGGAGAACAGACTGAGATTTCCGAACCGTTAAGTATATTGTCTAAATTAATTTTGATTCTTCGTGGATGTATTTATAAACGATAGAAAGAAATCGATTTCGTTTCGATTTCGATAGTGATCGATTGGTCGTTGGTTACACAAGCGTTATTAGAGAATTTGTGTTTTTGGTTTTTGCGGTTTTTCGGGCGAAATTCGATTAAAAAACGGCTGGATTTACCTTTGGCGTAGTCTAGATTTTATATATATTTTTTAAAATATTGTTCAGTTAATTCCAGGAAATTGGTACCTAATAACTGCTTATAGCAATTACGAGTAATTCTTTTTTATATGTATAATTTCACGACCTTCTATAGTAGCAAAACTCGATAAAATGTCTATAATCTAGAAAACAGCCGATAAGAAATTCCCAGTAACGAAACAAACTATTTAGATAGATACAAATATACGCAAAAATTGACATTTCGTTATGCAATTTTGTAAAAATTTGGGAATAATTGAAAATACCCGCCTCGAACGCCTATGTTGGATCGAACCAATTAAGTAACGCACGCAATTAAATAATCGTAATATTCTGTTACTGATCGTATTCGAAATGGTTGGAAGAGATGGCTGAGAATTTCTTGCAAAATTTAAATTGTACTATTTCGTTCTTTTTTTCACGCGGTGATCGGCGTTGAAGAAACGAATGAAGCAATATAGATTTAATGGAATTTGAATTTTAAAAGGCGTCGATGACCGACATATTTAACCGCGAAAATGCGGTATAGGATAGGTATGCCTAGGATTGCATGTTTAAGCATGTTCAATTTGTACCAAATTCTCGAAATTTGCTCAAAATGCAATTAAATTGTCTAGATTTTTTAGATGGATTTCGGGAATTTATTTCTTACTAAACCGCATGGCTATTGCATTTACATTATTTAAAAATATTGTTAAAAATATATTCCATAAACAAAAATATTTACAATGTAATAAATTTAATTCTATTTATTTCGATAAACACTATTCCATAAAGACATTTAATACATTACATCGGCACACGACAAAAAATGATTTATCTATTTTATTAAAGCTACCACTCGAATCTTTATCTTCGAACGTGAATTTCAACATACAAAACGATTATCGAACCCGAAAAAATTGTTAATGATTGTATATATTCAAATGATTTTGGTGAGGGAAATTATTTATGTCTAAGTTATCGCTCTTTTACACAACGCAGTCGAATCGGATTAACGTTTGTCGATAATAGTGCAAAATACGGAGAACGCGCGATGGTGGAATCCGAACATGGGAGCAAACAGGAAGGATGTCAGAAGGACGATCCGCCTCCTTATTATTATGAAACCGACGAAAGAGACACATATTTCTCTGATGATAAAATTATCATTCCCGATGATGATGGCGTAAGTTACAATTTTTTCTTCCAATAAATAATAAATTTCATAATGTTAAATATTAGTGGCTTTATTAATTAATTCTATGTGGGGAGCTTGTATTTGATAAGGATTTATTACATAAACCATTCATTAAGGGTGCATAAATTAACAGTACTAAATTGTCTAAGAATTATATTAAACAGTAATAATTAAGTCAACGTTGGTGAAGTGGAATATAATGGTGTTAAAAGGTTTAAGGAATAATACTTATAAGATTCCCAAATTATCACTGATTTCTATGATTTCCAAGTTCCAAGAACAGCATAGATTATAAATTTTATGTTGTTAATGACCTCGTGGGGAAATACATGTTATATTTTGTGTATATGACTTTATGACCTCTTAAAGTTGTTATCATTTATAAAAAAATATGTGTTTATATGCATAAATAAGCGGAATTTCAGATCGGCCGAAAAAAATCAACGTAATGAAGGATAAATGATTCCAGGGAAAAACCAAATCAGTATCTTTTTTCTTATCGAAAAATATTAGTTTTTGTTAATGGAATAATTAGCATTAATTGGCCACATGGAATAATATTTAAATATTTAAAAAAATATTCAATACTCCATAAAACGCTCTTGAAAATATAATTTCCCTTTTATAAGAAAATCCTAACTCAACCAACTTTCGCATTGAATTTTTTATTAAATCCAAGCTAATTTTCAATCTTTCAACGCAGTTATAATGTATAGGTACGTTAGAATTTTTAAATAAACCGATTTTGTAACGCAACAACCGCTAACCTACATCCAGATTTTTTGCAATTTTAATTAAATTCGTGCGGCCTGAAAAATTGCGAACTGCGCAATCCGATCAAACGATTGGAATTTTCATTTTAAATAATCGATATTGGCAAACATGACGGACAACTTGTTGAATTTTTTAATTTTAGCGCTTTAAAAATGTCACTTACCTACATACTTCTATGAATTGTTTGCAAACTAATCAATCAAAGCCAATAGAACGATTTTATCGCTTACTTTTTCAATGTCCATATAGCATTTCATTTATGATTTCCTTACAAACATTTGTGATTTTGAATTGGAATAAAATCAGCGCTACTAACACAAAATGCTATATTAAATACATTTTTTTTGTAGAAAAAATTCAGTTTTAAGAAACTATGGGCGTTCACGGGACCGGGTTTCTTAATGTCCATAGCATATTTGGATCCCGGTAACATAGAAAGCGACCTTCAATCCGGCACGATAGGAAATTACAGGCTCCTTTGGGTGCTTTTCAGTGCCACAATGTTAGGATTTTTAATGCAAACTTTAGCCACAAAATTAGGTAAAAAATACAGTCTTAATTCTAACTGTCTTTATTATTCATTCTTTTGTAGGCGTTGTAACAGGTCTACATTTAGCCGAAATGTGCCATAAGCAGTACAAAAAGGTCCCGCGATTAATTTTATGGATCATGATCGAGATAGCAGTTATTGGTTCAGATATGCAAGAAGTTATCGGTACTGCAATCGCTTTATATTTACTCTCCAATAAACTGTAAGTATACCATCTACTTAATTAGTTGGTAATGCAAAGTCCACTTTTAACAACATTAAAGATATCAACAGTAGAGTACTTAAACATTCTTTGAGCGACTCAATTAGATAAAATTCTCTGGACTATAGTAATTTTTTTCTTCACCATACTTTCTAATGTAACAATTTTTAGAATACCCTTATGGTTGGGCTGCTTGATAACAATATTCGACACGTTCACCTTCCTCTTCTTGGACAAATACGGGCTGAGGAAACTGGAATTGCTGTTCGGCGTGCTGATAACCGTCATGGGAGTGACCTTCGGGTACGAGTACTTCGTGGCCCAGCCTCCGGCCCTCGAAGTCACCAAAGGCCTGTTCCTCCCCATGTGCAAGGACTGCGACTACAAGGTCCTGCAGCAGGCGGTGGGCATCATCGGCGCTGTTATAATGCCGCACAATTTGTACCTGCACTCGGCGCTGGTGAAGAGCCGCGACATAAACCGATCGAAGCCCAACAAAATAAGGGAGGCGAACATGTATTACTACATAGAGAGCGGGGTGGCTTTGCTGTGCAGTTTGGTCATCAATGTGTTCGTGGTGTCCGTGTTCGCTTTCGGGTTGTTCGAAACCACCAACGGGGATTTGCTGCAGAAGTGCCAGCGTACCGACAACGATTATTTGATGAGTGTAGCTAAGGAGGAATTCGGAGTACAAGTATGTAAGATTACACGTAGGTAAATAGCAATTGGTGTCCTCTTGGTGTTATTTCAGAATGCAACCGAGTTTGTGGAAGCTGATATATACAAAGGAGGGATATTTCTGGGGTGCACTTTCGGTATATCCGCCATGTATATTTGGGCGGTGGGTATACTAGCTGCGGGACAAAGTTCCACGATGACCGGTACCTACGCTGGGCAGTTTGCTATGGAAGGGTTCTTGGATTTGAAATGGCCGAGATGGAAGAGGGTTCTTTTGACTAGGTCCATAGCTATGGTACCCACTTTCTGTACTGCGTTTTTCACTTCTTTAGCGGACCTTAGCAAACTGAATGATTACATGAACGCGGTCATGAGCCTGCAGTTACCCTTCGCTCTTATTCCTACCATCGCTTTCACCTGCAACAAGCAGATTATGGGGGAATTCGTGAACGGATTGTAAGTGTATTGATATAAACGTTTCTTCTTAAAATCATCCAAATATTCACATCCTGAAGTATCGGCACACAATTTCTTTCCCTTTTTATATAATTTCGGGGTTTAAATAATAACTAAATAAAAAATTCCTTTTAAGTGTAATGTAAAGACAAAAAGAATCTAGAAAAAAATATTTGAGACAAATTTAAATTTTATGCATATTCCCTATTCACTTTTTTCATATTAAATCTAATATTTAATATAATCTAATATATATCCATAGACCAAACAATAGGTTTGGTCTAGGAATATATCTATTAATCTAATATACATTTTTTTTATTTCAGCGTATTTAATATTATATCGATTTTGCTGTCAGCGGTGGTCATATCGATAAATATTTATTTCGTGTCGCAACAAATAATGGAATTCGAATTGTCGCCGTACGCTCTCGCAGTTATTGGCATAATCGCGGTGTTCTATTTCGCTTTCATATTTTATTTGGCCTCTCACCTGTACTTCGGTTTTAGAGGTAGCACTAACGAGCATCCGATTATACAAAAATTCATCATGAACCCCATCAAAACCGTACCCGCGATAACCATAACATCTCCATAAAAAGTGCCATTTTTTTAAAATTCATACCTACAAAAATGTAAATATTTATTTTGTATCTTTTGTAATAAAAAAAAACGAACAGTTTAGAAACGCTTTTTATTGTTGACAATATATTTAGAAAGAAATTGTTGGACTTAAAAAATATTATAGCGAACAAAGTTATTTTTTTTACAGGTTTTCTAACTTAACGAATAGAATCGATTCATTTAATCGGTTGCTTGAATCTCTCGAGGCGAAGCTTGGCTTTGTCGCTCTCTGACGAGGCCACCGTGCTGGTCTCTGCACCGAATCTGTTCTTGCGCTTCTCCATTTTCTCTTTGTTCTCTAAGCCGGACATTACGCTCGATACGGACGTGCCAAATCGCGCTGCTCTTTGTTTGAGTACATCTATGTTTGTATTCTAAAAATATTCACAAATATAAATTCTGCAAAAATGCAATGTACAGTCGCTTACGACATTCGAAGATGTAATGCTCGATGAAGAATTATCCTTGAAACGTTCCGCTCGTACAGCTTTCTTGGCGTCCGTGCTCAAGTTAGTGACGCCGAATTTCTTGGCTCTCATTTCCAATCTCTACAAAAAGGGTGTAAGTAACTTATAAAACAAACTCACTCGGTGTGTTACCTCTTTAGCGGATAATTCCGAGAGTTTAACTATCTTCTTTTCTTCGGTTTTGTTGTTACCGTTAGAAGTTTGTTCGGGGGATTTCTCTTCTGGTTCGTTTAATGGTTTAACATCTGCTGTTATGATGCTGTTATTCCTGTTCAAAACGACTTTTTTGGGGGGTTCGTGCTTGCTATTATCGATTGCATCGTCTAGCTTTCGTTTTGTCGTTACTAAACTTTCATCTAAGTCGTGTTCAAGTATAGACTCACTGGCTTCGATGTGCTCATCGTCTTCGTCCTAAATAGAAATGAGTAAGCACCACAATGTGGTATATTTAAAGATTTCCAATCAACTTACATCTAACAAGTCCTCCTCTAAATCGTCAACGGATTTCGAGCTCATGTCTCCATTGCTTTTCATAGAGTCTTGTAGTCTTTCTATAAGATCCATTTTGTTGCCGGATGTGCTTAGGCCCCTTAATTTCAACTCCTTTCTCAAATCGGGGACCTAAAAAACAGTAAACACAACCATAACCTCAAACGAAAAATCACTTAATTGTTCCTAAACGAAAAGGTTTGTATATTTATTACAATTGATACACTATTATGTAGTAAATATGAATTGAAAGGCGTTATTTACCTTCAGTTTTGTAAAATCTGAAGAAATTAGAAGGTCTGTTTCATCTGCCATCTTGAATCAACAAAACAATTAAAACTCAATGACAAATGACATTGACTTGACAATTTCTTTATATTAACTGGTCTAAACATTAGTTTTATTCAGTCACTCAACTTGAAATTGTGGTTGCCTATAAATCAGGAAAGTTAATTTGCGAATTTCAACTTCCCATTGAATATCAAAATTAATTCGAATTATCAGCTGTTGACATTCTAATCATTGAAAGTATGAATAAATACGAGATAATAATTTCAATGTTGGTTTAATCGAGTCAACCAAGTTCAACACTATTCTTTATAAAGTAATATTTTTTGTTAGATTCGAATTTATTAGGAATAATTTACCTAAATTACCTGAATTAACCTTGCGATTCGTGGATTTAATAATAATTTTGAATTTTATATTCAAAAATTACGTTGCAAAATTATATAGATTCCTGTGTGTTTGTTTCCGTGTTATTAAAGTAATATTAAATGTAATAAAGCCTAAATAATTAAATTATTGTTTGTAGCTAAGCCTTCAATAAATTTCCTGTGTAGGTACCTAATTATTAAAAAATTTAGGTAGAATTTTATTGGATTCATCAATTATTAATGGCAATTTGAAATTAATCGTCCTTACCCAGTTTTCACGAAATGTTTTTTATTTCATTCTAAAATGTGTTAACTCCCTTAAATTAGTTTCAGCTGTAATAATCATTAATTAATCAATTTCTCAATAAAATAGCATTTTGAACCAAAATAGACGTGAGAAAAACACCTGGTGTTTATTGGTAAGACTGCGTCTTGTTATGACTGGGTATACACAGTGGGTAATATTACCTTGAAATTGCTTCGATCATTTTAAACTAAAAAATATAAAACTGGCAATTAAAATAAATGTTGATAAAACATCACGGTATACGTTTCACCATACTTTCCATTATATTCGTTCATTATCTCGGAACAATTTAAATATTAATTGTTCATATGCTACCTAGTTAAGTACCTACTCTATTAAAACGTGTATGTATTAGAAAAAAAATAAAATTCCCCATTGGGTTATTATTCACGTTATGTTATTATTAACATTAACGTTTAAAATAACCGTCGCAATTTGTTCAATTACATCAAACGTTTACCTATACTGTGGCAATAAAAACTTATAGGTTGACATATGGGTAATTGGATTTTTTTTTGGCGAATAACAGGAAGGATCCACGTTTATCCTATGAAGTCCCCCATTAGAGAATAATAAAATGCATTCGAGTGCAGACTTTTTGTACGGCTGATGAGATAATTAACTTTCACTCCTATTTTGCTTTCTCTGCCGATTGCTTTCACTGCTTTTGGGTTAGATGTTAATGATTCGTGCTTTGTATAATCTGATTATTTTTCGTTTGTGTAACATGTAAGAATACGTTTATTCGAAATACGGGAATAAGTAAATAAATCGATTATTAGTAGGTATCTAATCGATTGAAAACTTATTTGAAATGAATGAGTTCATTTTGACGTTGTACTGTCATTCCATTTGAAGCATTTCCAAAAATAATGTGCTTGCTTATGTCTATGATTGTAATTTGTTTAGGAATAGGTTTCATAATTTTGATTCTAGTAGTAGCCATAAAAAGCGCCGCTTCGTAACGAGTAGCTGAATATGAAATTGAATGTGAATTTTAAATGTGAATTTCAATTTAAAGAAAGGTTTGTTACGGTTTTATCAAGATTTTGTAACGCCGATTGTATGTATTTTAAATTAAACGTTAGCATAATTTTCTCTTAATTTAAATTAAATCTACATTTCCGTCAAAAATTAACGGATCTTGAATTATAAAATTATGCCTTGCGGATGTTCCTAATAAATTAGAAACGAGGAATTAAGTTAATACAATATCAATAAACTGGCTACCTATCTCAAGGACTACTGGCTATGATTTAAATATCTATCAAAGTCAGACTAACAAATGTCACAAGTTAATTCTTCGTTTTCTATACCATTCTAAAATATAATCAACTTAATAGTATTTCAATTAAATGAATAATTCAACCAACAAGTTGGCCATTTGTATAAAAAAATCAATAAATTATATATTTTTTTAGTATAACATAATGAAGTATACAATCCTGTAACCATAAGAGAAAAGACATGCATGATCATTATACAAAAACATACATATGTATAATGCTAAAACATATGTAAATACTACATTCTAGCTGATTATTGTCATTTCTTATCTAAACAATAATTGAAATTATACTAATAAAAAGTGTACTTACGTACGTATTATGTACTGATAAAATAAATGCTGGGATATTTTGCGTTTAATTGCTGCAATCGAAATTGTAGATGAAAGTATCAATAAATTCGTCAAAACAAAAATAAACTAATTGAAATGTATTGTAAAAATTGATAAAAATAAGAAAAAAAACCAATTAAACATGTTCACAATTTTTTATTGAAATATACCAAAAACATAATATAACAATACGAACAACAACTCAATTATAAAATTTATTTTTAGGATATAAATTATTTATACGTTTTGTATGTCGTGAAAAGAACAAGGCAAGAAAATTGTACAGGCAAAATAAATAGGAAATTCTAAAAATATATCACGAAAAATGAAGGCGGCATTTTTGATTATCGAAAAATATCCATTTTCGTTAGTTAAGTAAAATCACAAAAAATATAAATGATAAAGTAATAAACATTGACAGTACAGATTAAACAATAAATTAATAAAACAGATAATTTTTTCAACGTGAAACAGCTTTAAGTAACATTATTTAGACACAGCCATCCCATAGTATTTAATACTTATATTTGGTAAATATGTTCCAATTATAAGGACGCTTTGAAAAATCCCGATTCCACAGTATCCAACAATAAAAACATAACCAATTATAAACTCGAGTTAAACTATTTACAATTCCACACCCTCATCAATTATTTGCATAATCACCGACTACTAATTATCCACAATTTTTTTCATTATAATCAAGATTAATTTGTTGTAGGTATCTATAGTTATCAACAAATGTTTAAAAAAAACTAGAAGCTCCAATGCAAAACACCTACAACCTATTCATGCTGTAATAAACGTGATTAGTAATCTGTGATATTATGCAATTAATAAATACATAATTATTTATAATTCACGAGCGTTTCATCTCGGATTTGAAGTCAGTTAGAGCGGTGTGTATCCTAAAATGCAGTCTGGACTCAAGCGAGTAACCCGTGTAATTTTTCTTAGCATCCTCCAGAGCTAATATAGCTTTCTGACAATTACCGTTGTACCACTCGACTAGAGCCAGTTCGACTATAGCGTAAGGTACGATGTAACTGTCTTCTATGATGGATTTATTCATGGATATAGCAGTTTCGAGGCAATTTAGAGCCTGTAAAGGGCTGCCCATTTGCCTCAAACAGGCTCCTTGCAAAAGCAAAAGCAAAGCCTTATTGTCGTTGTAGTACCGGCAAGATTTATCGCCAGAGTCCAAATTGGTCGCAGCTTTTTCGATAAGTTTCAGTATCTTCGCGCCCACCGAGAAGTTCTTGAAGATTTTGAACATGTTCCACAGGAACATTAGCTCCACTACCGGGATGAGTAGGTTCCTGTTCTGGGAAAAATACCTTTCTGCCTTTTTTACAGCAAATTTCTCCATCGGTATTGATTTCCCGGCGATTCTTTGTTTATATTTCGGCACGTCTCTCATTAGCTTATCGATTTCTTCTTTTTCCGAAGAGGTTAAAGTGTCCTTCATCATGCACAGCAAGGCTGCTTTTTGGTAACTGTACATCGTTCGCGACCATCTGCTGTGTTCTACCAATTGGGAGCTGTAGTAAACGGCTTGCTTCCATTCCATATTGAGCGAATGCACCCACACGAGTTCCCAGTAGCATATGTGATGGAATTGCGGCCAAACGTCTTGGGACTTCCAGGATTTTACGTACCAATTTTTGCACTCGTCCATATTACCTTGCAGGAATTCTAGCCTGCCTTTGAAAAACAGGAACCACACGCTTTTCGGGTGCTTCAGCAGTCTTTTATCGATTATATCGCGACAGAGTTTCGTGTCACCTTCTCGATGACTAAGCACTGGTAAAACGACTAAATTGTAAGCTAGCACAGCCATAATACACAAGATTTGCCTAAGACCTTCCGTTTCACAGCCGATAGTAAGTTCGTTCAGTCCTTTCTGCTTGTTGCCGGAGAATCCTATGAATTCCAATAATCTGATCACCCTCGAAGGCAGCATGGATATCATGAGATTGAAGACGCCGATGCCGACGCGGACGCCCCCTTCGAAGTGCTCCTTCGTAGGGTCCTTTTCCCAATTCCTGTTGAGCAGGATCTGGTGGCAATCTTTATACGAATTGAAGCAAGACCTGATTTTTATCCCGGCTTTGATGAAACTGGCCAACGTTTCGTCCTCAATGAACGTGAGCGTCGATTTGAGCAGCATCGCCTCGGCGTGACAGAGCTCAGCGTGCGCCTCAGTTTGCGTGTATAATTCGTAATTCGATCTTCTCACCACCTTTCCCAGCGACTCGCCGAACGTCGTTTTCTTCCTAAAGCGATTGCACACGCTCATAGAGGATTTCAGAGCGACCGACGCGCGTTTGATGGCTTCCCGCTCGAACGTTAGCACGGCTTCCATGTACAGAAACACCGAGTGCCCCAGCGAATGATACATGCTGATGTTCGCGTACGGCGTCATCAAGCTTTTCGCCTCCCTGAATTGGTTGTTGAAGAAGTAATCGATGGCTTTGTGGCTCTCCTCCAACGCCTGATTCAGGGACACCGAGGCGGTGATCGGCGCGTCCTCGGCGTCCTGGAAATCCTCCTGATCGTCGCTGTCCGAATCGCGATCGCGGATGTCCATTGTTCTAAATGCGGGCAATCGGTCGAGCGCGAATATTTTATTCACTGCAACTGAAACATGTGAGGAGCGAAACTAGCGTGTAAATCAAACCCAAACACGTGACGGTCAGATGTAAACTGCGCGATGGGCGCGATTATTTTTAACGCGCTCCTCCGTTCTCCTAGTGCGTCCGCGCCGCGCCGGCGGAATCGATTGAACGTTTTCTTTCGACCTGCTGTCACCTACACTAATAAAACTCGATTTATTCTCGAGATGTATAGGTGTAGAAAATAGTTACAAAGTCGTAAACACCTACAAGAGATGATAGTAAAAGAGAATGTAACACAAGCAAATGACACCTAAAGAGTAGGGTGAAATCGTTGATATCCTATTAATGAACTATTAATATTATTATCCATTAATTGAGTATGGAAAAAGCAAATAAAAGTATACAAAAAGAGAGAGAATTTACTTATTTCAATACAATCTACGCGTTACAATCACACTTACTGGACACAAAAGAATACTGCCACTATTAATATCAGACTAAGGTAAACAGATTTAAAAATAAAACTCTTAAGGCTCGTTAGTATCCACTTGCTGCCGTTTGCTTTTACCAAATAGTCTTCTATTTTTCGTACAAGCGATTACCGCCAAGCACATTCCAGCAATGACAATCCAAAATCCAGCTTGATAAAACGATTGGGACCAGGATTTCGATATATCCGCAATATATCCTGTAAACCAAAATATTATTGGTTTAATTTTGAACACCTACTGGTACTACTTACCGGCGAGTGGAGGTCCGGTGATGTGTCCTATACCCTCCCACATCAAAATCAACCCATAGGCCATGGTGAAATCCTCTTTACTAACGATTTGGGCGAGCAGTGACGGCGATAAAGTGAAGCAGCAGGCAAAGAAGAAGCCGAATAATCCGCTACTGATGTTTAACAGCAGCAAACTACTTGTGGACAGGATAATTGCCCAGACGCTGAATCCACATAGAGTTAACGATACTGAAAATATTATGGAAACGTTCCATTTGTCACCTAACCAACCCAGTAAAACCTGGAATACAAATCTTTTATTGGACGGAAGATTTGATGACAAATTTAATACAGATTATATTAATTACCATTCCTAGAGTGTTGGAGAATCCAATGATCGATATTGTCATAGAAGCTTGGTCTTCGGTATAGTTATTTTGGGTCATGTGATCAGCTAAATAGAAATATGGAGTAAGAAACCACGTTCCAGCAAATAATGTAGTTAAACACAATAGTAGAAAGTGCGATTCCAGAAACAAGTCGAAGCTAGATAGCGCCGTAAAAATGAACTCATACCATTTCTACAAGAAAAAGCATTGAAAAAATTAGCTAATTTCTATTACAGACGGATTACTTTGGTGGGTACACTTTCTTTTGTTGTTTCTTCTAGTAAATTATTTATTTCAGTATCATTCGATTCTAATTTCTTTTTTCTCTTCTTCCTAACTCTGAAACAGAAATACTTATATGAGTGTGTTGAATTATATGAAGTGGACGTGACTCACTCTTCCTCACGTACCCAAGCCGGATCGATCATGAGAGCTCCGCAAACGCACATATTAGCCAAACAACCCCCTAACAACAACAAACACCCTCTCCATCCGTATTCTGAGAGCAAGAAATTGGTGAGCGGGGCAAAAATTATGGTACCGAAGCCAGTACCGCTGGCCGAGATGCCAAGCGCCAACGATCTCCTTTTATCGAACCAATACGCTACTGATACTACCACCGTTATGTAGCATAATCCTCGGGATAAACCGCCAAGGACACCATACGTTAAGTACATAACACCTAGTGATTTGGAGTAAGCACTTCCAATGAATCCCAAGGCGCATATAGCTGAGCCTACTATGGTCATTTTTTGACAACCGTAGGCGTTTACTAACAAGCTGCATATTGGACCTTAAATACTGTTGTACATTTAAAATTACATGGAAAGTTGCTTTGTTACTTACCGCCTACTAGTGGTAGAGCCACGAATAAGCTTCCTATCACCGATGTGGCGGATTTAGTAGCTTTAAACTCATCTAAAAATTCGATGTATAAAAGTCCGAAAGCAAAGGTTATTCCTTCGGCTATGGCGTATATTAAAAATGTAGCAAATACTACTATCCATCCATAACCCCCGTCTGGTATAACATCTTCTATTACTGGTAATTTCAGGCTCGATTTTGATGAAAAAATCGAGAGGGATGAGGTGCCTATAAACAGAAAAAAAATAATTCAAAATCCAGTTCAAATTAAACTAATTTAATATCTACAGTTGAAGGTTAATTTTAAGGTTGCAGGATATGAATGAAGTGAATTGATATTGACGATTAATTCAGTTTAAAAAAATGTAGATGGAGTGAAAACGGAAATTACAATTAAACTAATAAGAATTAGATTAAATAAGTACCTTTTTTGCTCACCGTTGCATCAGGCATGCTGTCAATGGAGCTGTAGTTAAGTAATACTTAATTTGCACTCATAGGCGGTATAAACTTTTTCTATAGTAAGTAATTACAGATTAAAAATTTAGATAAATAACTTGTCGCTACGATTGAGTCAATCTAATTTTTAAATTTATCTGATATCGAAGGTGTAATGTACAGATTGTAAAAAATACACGTTTTATACTCAACACAAACGGGTTACACAATTAAACTTAAAAAGGTGCTAGGTAGGAAACCATTTTGAACATATATTATGGTAACGGTACTTACCTTACAATATATATTTTCCTATTATGAATAAATAAGAATTTTTCATTCCCACGCGAACTTCACATATCTATATAGATAAAGAACGAAAAGTTAGAAATTAATTATTCGAGCTAGTTTTGTAACGAACCAATTCGTAATTAGTTTCGTGAACAATATTGCAACTAATTAGTTAAATAAAATGAATAATACTCTTTAATCTAATTATTTAATATAATTTGTGTAATGGTTTAAAAAATATGCAGTCATGAAAACATTTTGAAAATCTTTTGTACTGACTTATATTTTTTCTACATACAAAATAGCACTTTTTAACATATTATAACTAATTGGATTTTGCCTAATTTTATACTATTAAATTTCGAGGCCGGTGCCAAATAAAAATAGAGGATATTTAAAATATTTTACATTTTAGTAATTTATGCAAAAATTAATAAACCAGGAACAAGATCCATCATTTGGACAGTAGAGTAAACTAACATTTGCCAATAAAAAAACCTTGGATTTAACGAATAAAGTTTCCTACAAACATTTATAGATGGCAGCAGATGCTGAATAAAATATAGAAACCACAGAACGAAATATTGAGTCACCTGAAGGAAAACTGATAATCGTAAACTCGAAGCTGATTAAAATGTGGAAAATTATTGAATCTTATTTATTAATTTAATCAACCCTTATCACAAATTTCTCCACTTGCACCGTAAATCCTAATCTATTTTCCATCACGATGTGGTTTGTGTTCGTCCAGAAAATATTTAAAAAACTCATAAATCGACCAGCAGATGGCCGTGGATGGCGCGAGATGAAGCACCCTCGCCGAGACGCCGCTGAAGAATCCCCTCATCCCCGTTCTCCTATAGACTATCTCAATAGCTTTGAGCAAACCAACAGCCTCCTTGCTCTCCTGCGTATTTATCAACGTCCTGCATACGTCAAAAGGATTGGTGGCGGCGGCCGCCACCCCGCCCGCCATGCCCCCGCTGATGACGTGCGACTTGGGATTGTACTCCCTTTTGAGATTCAAGAAATCCTGGCTGAATTCGTACACGATGAAATGCAGAGACTGAAAGGGAATGTTCATGAGGAGAGTCGTCGCGAAGGATTTGTAGAAAGCCCTGAACCCTTCGGTTCTGTAGATGTCCCTGATGCATTGGACGACCGTTTTGCAGGGGGATTTCTCCATTTGCATGCGCTGCTTGACCACTTCGGAGGGGTTGACGACGGCGTCGTGGAGGACCGTCGCGACGCAACCGGCCGCACCGTGGCTCAGCACGTCCGGCGTCCACGTCAACGATTTCATGTTCCTCTTGACGAACTCGTAGCCGGCGTAGTACACCCCGTGTGCCGGTCCTGAGGCCGCCACTACGATGGTCAGACCGCGGATGGGGCTCAGCACGCCCTCTTCGATCACCATCTTCTTCAGCACACCGAAGAGGCTGCGCTTGCCTTCGAACGATATCGACTGCATCCTGGTCTTCACCGTGTCGATGGGGTACATGATGATGTATTCGGCGTAACCCGCCATCGCGCCGGAGAAAACGTGCACTGCCATGTTATCGCTCTCGATGGATTCGTACGGGCCGTGGTCGTGACCCATCTCGCTTAAAATTACTTTATACTAAGAATATAGGGAATCAGATCATTGTGTTGAAGGCTGCCAAAAATCTTCTTCTTTCAGAATTTGTATAGTTGGCGTTAAATCTTATACATTGTAAGTTTGCAGCTTATTGGGTTTCCTGAAGGACTACTTAGTTCTAGTTAAGAAGAATAATTAAATATATTGCTAATAATAATTTTGCTATTAACTTGCTAAAGTAATAACAGCGATTAGTTGGTAAATAGCCTAATAAGAAACGATGCTATAAATATCTTTCAAAAAAAAAGAAGGAGATGAAAAAATTAACCTAGGAAATATCTGAAAAAATTGACAATTTTCCACTTATTCTCGCAATTTCTGCTTCTACATCTTTCGCCATTAGTCATAAGTGTCTACCAATTACGCCCTAACTGGAATTGATTTTAAAGTACGGCTCCGCGGGGAACAGTTTACATAAATTGATGGCGGCATTTCATTGACGTCACGCATTTGCAGGAAATTCGACGCTCGTTAATAAACAGCGCATTTTTCGCCCTTTCCAATAAACAGCGATACAAGGGGTAGCTCATAATATAGAACGAGTTTTCCCGGTTCGGTTTCGCTCTACGCATTAATGCAATATTGACGTTAAATGCGCAACATCATTACATCAGTACCTACTACTATTTAATTAACTCGATTACATTATTATTTAGAGCTTCAATTAAGTTGTAACGCTCCGGGCAACGCCTGCATCAACAAGTCGTTTAAATCCCCGTACGAATCCAATAAATGGACGTTTATTTTCGGCGCTGTCCCGTCGACGAAATTTCCCTATTCAGGAAACGCTTTCCCCAGGAATAATCTTGATCGACGCCTACGGCAAAATCGATACCGCCCAGCGTCGCGACGCTTACCCCAAAGCAACAAGTGATTTGTTTTCTTCTAAAGGGAATAGCGTTTCAGCAACAGTGCAAACAAGCTTGATTGTATCGGTTTAATTAACGTCACGATTTTTGTTAAATTTTTCTTTTTATACATTAAAAATGAAAACTTAACTTTTCAACTACTTCTAGTAGTTGCTCAAAAATAGGTTTGAAGGGGCGTTGTTTTTTGAGTAAAGAATTGTTTAAATAGAACTTTTAAATAATATATGAATTAATATGAATGATACCATTACATTAATTAAATTTATATGTATTGTATACTAAGGAGAAAAAGTTTTTTGAGAGACAATTTTCTGCATCTCGGTTTCTCAGCTTCCGCAGTAACCGTATTACGTTAGCAACACAAAAAAATGTTTGCTCTTGACAGAAGAAAATATGTTTATTTCTTTTTGTAGTTGTTATGTGCGTTTTCGTTGGATTATTTTCGTATTTACTTCTAGGTGGAGGTCGTTAGAACACGAGTACAGTGGATAAGCGGAAAACTTCCGTTCGTTATCGGTTAAGAGAAGAAATTTCTTCCATATACACGATAATATTTTATTTACAACAATTTTTTTTGTCTCTTACAAATCGATTTGTATGTTTACTAAACGATTCTTCATTAGCGATTATTTACACTTCATTACTAACCGATTTAGCCTGGAAAAAAATCAGTCTCTTTTTTTATTCCGTCGAAAACACATTATCCCGATTAATTTGATATTCGATTTATAATTAAGAAATGATTAAATAATCCGTACAATACTACTTTCATTCGTACGTATATTACCGATCAATTTAACCGCTAATTAAACAGTTTGTAAATATAAACCGGTCTTTCTTTTAATTAAAAACAAATTCATTAAGCAACTGAATCGAGGTATGTCTGCAACACAACGAAATTAGGTCAAACGAAATGCCTCAAAGAAATCGCAAAGTTCTCAATCTGTTTTACATGAAAAGTTCACATCAAAATTTTAATTCAAAATGTACGATATTTTATACGATCTAGAAGAACGCTAGACGTGTAAAAAATACACCAAATTGATGCAGCCATTAATTTCCTGATGTTATCCAGCATCAACCTAATTTTCGAGCGCGAAACGACGCCTTAATCGGCCCTTCGTCGGCCCGACGCCCCCCCGTCATTACGACGCTCTTCGGCGTCCATTCATCCGACGATCGACAAATTAACCGTCGCCCGTAGGAGAGCGGACGCGTGGGCGCGTCGCGGCGTCTTCGACGACCACGTGTAGAGTGACGTCGCCCGGCGAAGGGACGCACGCGTGTCCGCGAGCCCCCTTCAGGGCCCGTTATCAACACCCGACGTTCGCCGGCTCGACGCTCGCTCGACGAGAGTTTAGTTTAGGAGTTAGTGTTTAGTGCTGGCGCTCCGCGGTACGATTTGGGCATACCCATTGCTGTCGCTGTTGTTTATTATTATTATCATCGTTATTACAGTAGTTTAATGTTAATAACTCGGTCGGTTGTGTGCGGGTAAATTGTGGAAACGAGAAGGATTGAGTGCGATAAGGTGAGTTGGTTTTTGGTACGTGTTAGATATATTTTAGATAAGCGTGTTTTGATATTTTGTTATTTTTATCGGTTATCTATTGATTAATTAATGCTTTTTCCCTGTGAAGTTGTTTTGTTGGAATTATATTTTCGATGTAAGTTTGGTTTCTAGCATTTTCTTACATATCCGTTTCGACCGTTAGAATTTAGCTTACCTATGAAGATTTCATGTTTGTTTCCAATTACGAAATTACTAACAAAATTTGACTTTTGATTGACCCCCATACATCGAATTCCATGTGTGCTTAACGAATCGAAAAAAAAGATAATAAGGTCTCTGAGGTTATTTATTGGCAAAATTTTCTCCAAAATTCAATTATTCCATTCTGCTCTACTTACTTTCTTGTAACCACGTAATAAATATCGAGTTATCTAATAGCCAAAATATAGGGTGTACCAAAATACAACTTCTATATAGATTATGGATAGCTAATTGAAAAGATTCAATTCATAAACATACAAGATCACCATTCATAATAAAAAACTACAAAATAATCTAAAACTACGTAAAAGTATCACGATTATATACTTTAATCTTGATTTAAGAGGATGATTACGCAAAAATATGGGGCACCCACTTTAGTGACACCCAGTACACAATTTCAAACCTACTTTTTTATATTGCAAATTTTATTAAGTTATCAATTTTAACGTTTTTTTATGTGGTACTAGCTGATTGATCGTGCATTGTATACATCGTTTTATATGGGCAGTTTATTCGATAAGACCCTATGTCTTTTTTATGGTGTTCCGTTGTCGAAATTGGAAATTGTGAAAAACCGCACTCAATTAACTCGATTTTTAATTTCACTATGATTGCAGATATGATTACGATTCACAAAAAATTGCATCAAACAAATCAGCTGATGTTGAAGTATGTACTCTATGAAAAATTTTAATATCTATAAATTATTATAGTAAAACTCTCGAATCGGTTGCGAGTCGAAAGAGGCAATATTTGCGAAAATAAATGTAATTTGTCGGACGCCATAGCAATTCGCTTTTAAACTGGTTTCCACTAAACAAATTACGTCCAGTAGACTGCCTACACAATTAAAAATAATCTCGATGCGAACACAATACTGTGAAATATTCGAAGAAGACTCGATTACGGAATAATAAACACAGGGAAATCCACTTGAGCAGCGCAAATAAGAAACTGGTAATTTACAATTTTCGTATATCGAGTCGACGAAATGTGCATTAATTTCTAATCTGTAATTTACTAGATGATTTCGAGCGGCGTGTAAAAATAAAAACATTGTGTGTTCTACGATAAACCGACCGACTTAATATTCGTTTACCGTATTTTTTCGAAGTTTAGTCGTGCGCTTGGTACCCAACGATTCTCAAGTGGTACTGCTACTTGAATATCCGCATCGATAAATGTTAAAAACATTTTGGTGACGTGTGACGAACTTAAGCCAGGATTAGAATTTTTGGTTTATTTTTTTGAATTTTCATGTGTGTTGTTCTACTCTGATTACATTCTTGTAATAACAAAGTAAGTTAATTTATTGTATTCATTAAATAGCTGAGAATTTTAAATGCACTGTATATACTCTCTTCTGTTAAAATTAACATAAAATACATTAGCCAATAACGTTCATAACCCTATATAAAATTGGAGATATGCATACATAATAACTAAACAAATATTTATTTAGAAATAGTTCATTTTATTTGAATTCCTAATAAGTACCTGAACGTTTTTAAAATTCTTACGAATTGTTTTCGATAAGTACACTCGCAATCCTGCAATCCTACGTTATTTAAAATCGTTAAGTATTCGAAACGCGTTGAAAATTAAATGAAAATAAATTTTATAAATAAATTGTATATTTACGAGAGTGCGTCGATAATTCAAATCGCTTTATATTGATTAAATACTGCAATTTTGAAAAATCCTCTAATATTTTTATGCTACATATTATCAATGTTGAAATTACAAATAATAAATGACGGAATATTTAAGTGCAATTTTTGAATTTTTATCAAACTTTTAGCTCATTGAAAGTTTCAATTTTAAAACAATTGAAATTTCGAATTTTATTTATAACAGACGATCTTATGTCTACCACTTCACTTCTTCATTAACCTTCAACTGGTGATAATTTTTATCTTTACGATAAATAATCCACTCAAAACTATATTTTTTTCGTCATACTCTGAGAAGCATCTTGATGGCCAGTTCAATGGCCAGTTTTTAAGTATTTTTAAACTATACATAAGTAATTTATGGAAAAATTCAGGAGAAATATTTCATTTAAAAATTTATCGTTTTATTCCTTTGGTCAACAAACTAATTATTGGTCATTGTCACTTAAACGCCCCAATATCCTCCTTATTTGCCTCAATATGACTGAAATCCTTCGACGTTTCAAAACACCTGGTATGCAAAACAACTGGTTATTAAGTTATTTAATTAATCCTAACATTTTATTTGAGATTAGATAATTTATAAGCAGTTATTTATAGGATATAGGTATAGCTTCATAAAATTGTGATATGCGTTGGTATTTTACAAAAAAATCTAAAACGTACGTACTTAACTTAATCTGATATGTATTTGTTTAACTATTTTCATCTAAAAATGATATTAAATCGAATTTCTGGAAAAAACTCACACATTTCCTGGTAGTTACTTGAGTAGTAGATTTGGCAACATCGCCTCATCGAGAAGTATACCACTTTCGCAGCAAAAGAACCAAACATTATTTAGATGGGATTTTCTCGCCTGCTTGCGTTGCAACGACCCTGCGTAGCCGGAAAATTTCAATTTATCAGACTAATCCCGCGGAAGGACGGGTTCCTTTTGTATCTAGAATAGGACGCTGTGAAAAATTTATTTATTCTTTGTTCAACTCCCTTTATCTATCCACCTAGTGACAAGTCCTTTAATCGATTTCATTAGAATTTATGAGCGCAAGGCTTTTACATAGGTTTCATGTGGCCTTTTGATGTCCTATTTGTCAGTTAAAAGGAAAACTGTAAAAAAGTCAAGATTGGAATATATTGGCGTATATCAACTTTAAATAAATTAATTATGCATCCTTTATAAACTAACAATACTTGCTAGGACTAATTGAAATTGTTTTTTAATATTGTCAACAATGCCAACTGTCTCATCAAATTAATGTGTAAATATTTTAGTAGTACTGTAGAATTTGTAGAAAATAAACAATTTTGTTTATTTGTATAATTAAAAATTACAAACACAACGGAATTAAATTAGAACTTAATATACACTTAGATGGTTTTTAAATAGGCAATAACGTCTGCCCTATCTTGCGCCTTCTTCAGTCCAGCAAAGGCCATTTTGGTGCCTGGTATGTACTTCTTGGGATCCTCCAGGTAATCGAAGAGGACGCTATCGCTCCAAGTCACCCCTTTCTTCTTGTTCGCGTCGGAATAGCTGTAGCCGGAGACGCTGCCGGCCGTTCTACCGACGATTCCGCTCAAATTGGGCCCCACCTTGTGCTTCGCCCCGCTTTGGTTAGGGTGACACTGGGCGCAACGTTGCATGAACAGCTTCTTGCCTTTCTCCACGTCCCCCGACGGAACCCCCATTGATCTTTGATTCGATTAGAAAAATGTAATTTCAATTTTTTTGATTTTTTAAAAGACACTTGGCTGTCAATTTCTTATTAAGTACTATTCAGTCGATATATTTAATCGTGATAGAAACTGTTAGTTAATTCCTCTACTTTTTTAATGCAATTAGTAATTTGCTGGGTGCTTTTAAACGCAAGAGACCATTTTATGAAAGTACATTTAATACAAGAAGACTACAAGTCTTCTATTCCTATAACTTTTATTACTTTTTCTACGGTTGATAGTATAATACGGTTAAAGCAATAGTAAATAAACGTAATTAAAAAATCACAATACAAAATCACATTTATTTTCTCCCCTTTGAGATGAAATTATCCCACATAATTTACATTTCAGTATTTACCGTTGAAATCTAATCTAGCGACGCTCTTTGACACCGAACATTAATTATGTATTAATGCGTTGCGTAATGGACGGTACGCTTCGATTATTATGTTAACATTTCGATACGCGAGTGTTAACGAAACGGCAATCACCTTCTATTTCTTGATTGGCATTTTGTTTTCTTTCTGTTGTTTTTTACTCATTTGACGATCTTACATAATGCACAACTGGTTCGGGTTAGACTAAAGAGCGTTCGATAAGAGTTTGACGCGGATAAATTAATTCGTGCGAGAGAAATTTTAGGTTCGCTAAACCTTTTTATCTAATATATTTTGGGTATTAACGCTTGTGCGTAATACACGCGGAATGAGAATGAAATAAGGCCGTCCGAAATGGTCTATTTCCATATTTCAATTATCGACTAATTATAAAAAAACTGATAAAAACAAGCAGTGTCGTATATTTGCATTACATGTGGGGTTTATAAGGTTTAATAAATCAATTTTATTTAAATATATACGGTTTTAACATACATTTATTTATTGGCATATTGAATATTGAAATCTGAATGCCTGTGTGTTCCTAGTTGAACCGATTTCCTTATTGTTGTATATTAACTCACAAATTAAAATAAATCGTATAATTGCAATTTTCCATTTATCATTAAACGTTTTTTCGCATTATTAAATACTGTAGAAAATTAGATAATTTATTTAGAATAAACGCATATCCACGGTGTTTCGTGAGTTCAATTTAATGGGTTTCTCGTTAACGATCTCGATATAGTTTGACGGGTACTTAACTGTAACAGTTCAATTTCGTTCGCTTTCTCTGCTCCAAGTTAAAAACGGAATCGACACACGAAATAAAAAGAGTCGAATTAAAGCGCGAATTCCACTCCATCATTACGCTTCATGTATTTCAGTATACTTGCACAACGAACGCCCCTCGTATAATTTTATTACTGTTACTTATAGTTCGTTCACAATAAGTTGGCTCTGATTAAATATTGGGATGTTGCCACGTTGTGTGTATTTTGCTTGCACTTACAAGATACTTTGTATTAGCGATTTTTAATACGAAAATTACCTTTTTTGTTTCAGAAAAACCTTGTATTGTCTTTGTAAAGGAGCCTGAGGTGTGTTGCACCTCCTACTATATTTTTGTTTGGGTGAGTACACATTTAAAATATATAATTAATGCTAGTCTATGGAACAGCTATCTATGCAACTGTGTGGCAGGCACTTTTGGAATATTGATCATCTTGTTAAATAAATGCAAATGAGAGGACTACCTGTTGTGTGGAACATAATAGGTCAAAAATACGTATACGCGCTTGGAAAAATATCAAGGTAAAATTTTTTCGAATTCCAATCGGCGTGTATCCGGCTGACGAAAGTTAACGAAAACAAAATGAGTATTAAGAACGATAGATAATAGATCGAAAGACCGGTCGTGGAATAACAGAAAACGGCTCTCTCGGATCCCGTAAATGTTTAATTTCACTAGGTGACATTGACTCGAGAGAATAACTAATAGAGGCCACTCGTTTGCGCCTATGTAACGGGAAAATTCGTTAAAAATTAGGCAAAATCGTTTTAGAACCAACTAAACCTCACATTCATTTTGTAAAAGAATAATTTTACTGCACACGACAATTTGAATACGTTCATTACTCTTCCATAAAGGAATATTGCAACCAAAATGGACGATTTAGAATAAAATCTCATTATGAAATCATTGACACTAGCTATTCAGTGTCAAGGAAGAGTTGAAGAAACGCAACTTTCGAAGTGATAGCTTGGATGTGATGGTTCTTATGTGATTCGCAACCATTTCCTATATGATAAATTGTTTCTGATTTTTAATAATTTATTCCAATGTGTTTCGAAATTCGCATGAGTTTTAATCGTTGTCAATCACTTTGTCGCCTGCTCGAATAATACATACGTAATAAATGCAATTGTTGAGTAAAAGAAGGTTTTGCGGTAAATTTCGTTGCGTTACACGGCGATCTAATTCTATTCAGCTATTTGATAAACAGGTCTCGTACTATTACCGCCTCGCAGAAACTTAAATAGCTTTTAATACGAACTAAATGAAGAAAAAAAATCCATTATCACACTACTCAGGTATCCTTGGGCCAGCCTGAGACTGCTTTCTTTACGGGCGTTGTCTTTATATATCTATTTTTTTTTATTTCGTTTCGTTTCGATTCGCATTTGCATTGTATACGAGCCCGATTTCTGACGCAACGAATCTCATTGCCTTTTTATTAATTATTTTCGATTTGGTTAATGGCGAATGTATCTAGATCAAGATCTAGATAATATTCTGAATACGTGGATTTCGTCTAGCGGAAAGGTCGATTTTCGAATTGTCAATCTACGAGGTGCAGTCCAATAGACCGCTTACCCTTACCTTTATCTCTCCTTGTGCGAACGTTTCGCTACGGGGCGAATAAATTCTCATTCTTCAGGTATTTCAAGGGCCCCACCAGCGCGTCCCCCTTCGACTAACGGAAATTACACCTCTAACGCAATATACCGTTGACCTGCAAATAAAGTACGCGGATCTATATAGATGTGGCAAGGTCGCTTCGTATCTGAAAATAAAAAATTTCCCACCGTGGCATAAGCGAGATATATGTATGTATGTACTCAATAAATTGCAGCACAATAATCGCTCTCTCTACAATAATACGATTATTATAATCGGCATGTAACGCAACGATAAACGCGTTAGTTTATCGCGTAAACTCCATTTTTTTTATTTATTGCTACACGATTCTGTCAAATGTGTAAAATCTCAGAAGGTTCGAAACGTTGTCTATCCAAAATTCGTATTTTCTACTAGAAATTTCGTGTGTTTCTGAAACAAAAAAAAACTAATTAGTACACCGGTCGAGTAAACCGAAAGACCGGGGTTCTTTGAACTCGATTAATAGATATTGCCCACAGAATTCGACGGGCAAAAAAATGATCGATACGTAGTTCATTGGAACCAGACAAAGAAAATTTCGTTTTAAAATTACCCATACAAGGTTCTATCACGCCGTGCAAATGGATCAGGTTAAAAATTATACAAGAGCTATTGAGCAAAAATTATAAGAGGTATACAGAGCTTTTGAGGAACCATATATTCAGTATATAAAACAGTAAAGATTACAGAGTATTTTTTGATGATAATAATAAAAAATATCGCAATTAAACACTAATTAGTTGTAATTAATGTCTTTGCAATTAAATCAACTCGAAACATAAAGCAACAAGCAGAGATAATAAACAATAAATAATCAACAATTAAATTCCTAAACAACCTCATCGCATCCAATAAAGCTCTCTTCTATTCGGGGGATAATTTGTTCGACCTACTTGCGTGCGTGCGTGAGTGTGTGTGTGTGCTCTCGTTCATCCCTCTGTTGGTTTTCATTTAATGATTCGACTAAAAGCAAATATCAAGGAATCATATTAACTGCGCGGCCTATTTTTTAAGTTCTCTTCCTGTTCGAATTGCTCCTATCAACAGAAATAACAATCGATCCGAGAAAATACACTTCGAAGAGCAAATATTTATTCATTCCAGTCTTGATTCGTCCTTAACTCGGCGTTGTTCCTGGAGCTGGCCTTTTCCTGTTCGTTTTTTTTACCTCTAAGCTCTTTCTGTTTGTTGTAAAGTTCTATGCACACAGTAATATTTTTTTATTAATTTTTTATTTGTACGAAAGAGGAATTTTTGGTAGGTATAAGTAAGTAGTATAAGTTGGTGTTAGTTTTGGTCATCCCCTCGTATTACCCCGAATCAAAAAATAGAGGAAAAAAATGGTAACGCATCATCGAAAAGTGGAAGAAAATTACGAAACAAAAAGTATAGCAAATCGCTGAAATGGTGAATTGAATCGCGAATTCGAGGAGGGGCCGCGAGGCGAACCTCGCGGCATACCCGACCGCCATCCAGCCAAACGGCCAAGATACGGAGTCGACCTAGATATTTTTACATTACCATTCACCGGTTTAACGGGAAAGCGTATTCGTATAATTCAGTTTTAATTCAGTTTCACTGGCATCTCTCGCCGACAATCAGGTATAACGAATAAATAAATTCGGACGGCCGAGATCCGATCCGATCGGAATACTTTCTGAAGTAACGGCGTATTTTTTTTTGGAGGATTTTTTCGTTACGGGGTTGTTTGTTTTGTACGATTTTAGTGGTGTTTCTCTCCGTTGTCGGATGAATTTTTATTGAAACGGTAAGGTTGATTTTTATATTAGATAATCTATCGATCAAGTTTAGATAATTTTATCTATAATAATATTCTACAGGACGCGATATACAATTTAGATACGTTTATCTCAAACGTCATAAAAACTTATCGACATATTATTAGGTGCTTTATACGATTTAAATACAAGTTCTACCTGTCTAACGGTGAACATTTTTTTACAATTAATTAGTACCTAGATAAATTTCAATTAACCGTATTATTTAAAAGTTGCATTAAAACTGGAATTTATTACAAAATTGCAAAATGAATAATAGCAGTAGATATAATTAATACGTGCAATTATTTTTTTAATGCATTCTATAATAATCGCTCGTCAATGGTTTTTTTTTCGATGGTAATGTAGGTATCAGCGAAAATTGAGCAAAAATATCGCTTAATCGTCGATTAGTTGGTAGAAAAGTTCTAAATAAGTTATCAACGTATGTATATCAGCTGTTTACTTAATTAAATTAATAATTAATATACAGTATTGGCTAATTTGAGAATAAGCAAAATAGAAGTTGTGAAATTTTTGGACAAAATTGATTCAAGAATAATTTATTTGGCTTCCTGCAATTCGATTTTTTGAATTCCTATTTTTTGTACAACCTTTTTTTCAAAAAGCGTTTTTGATGACCTTCTCTTTCGTCATACAAATTTATATTATGTAATACGATGATGAAGAGATGATATTAACAGTCTGATGTTAATTAAGCATTTTAATTACATCGATTTTTGCTTTACAATTCGCTAATTTCCTGCAATGTGTCGTTACGGCAACACCGTAAATTAGTCGATTTTATTATGAGAGAAAGTATTCGCTCGTTTGAATTATAAAAAAAACAACCGTTATTTAATGGCTAAATTACTTTACGCTTTAGTTAAAATTATCCTTCACCTGCGTATTGGCAAAAGAGCGAATATTTGAGAAGTATGCATTATCATTCGGACTTTTCGTATGCTTACGTTGTAATTAGTCGGTCTAGACGTTGTTAAAAAAATCTCCGTTCGAATAATTTCTTTAATGAAAGTTCCTTTGGAGTAGACTCGTTAATGTTAATAAACTGAGTATTTCGCACTCATAAAAAACAAGTTTACTACCAAATTATTTGGCCTATATTAAAGCTACCATATACGGGGGTTTACAAAAATATAGCAGATACTTATAAAAGATAGTACATAAATGATTTTGGATTTTTTAGAATTATTTTAGTACCTAAACCTATTTATTACCATCTATCCGTTGGAAAATACGAAATGTTTTTTTTAGATCGGTGGTATTATACCGCTATTTATTTGGTCCGAATTGTTCTATCCCATTATGAATTAGTTCCGGTTCGTAATCCTTTTCGATATCGTCAATCCAAAACACAATCGATGTACGACCATAAAATAAGCAAAATACCGATATTTCGTAGTCAATGACGGAGTAATTTTTCCTCGCTATTAATTTCGTTACATACAACGATAAATAAATAAACTTATTATAAGATACAGATTGATTTATAGTAGAAACTTTCATTTACGTAAAATTAGTGCATGGGATCTAGCTGAAGTTTCTCGGAGACAAAATAGTCCGAGAGCTCTGGATTATAAATTAGATAGAAATAAATAGATGTAAAAATAATACGATTATCTATCTATAAAGTGCCATTTTACTGTCTTGCACAATGCCGCAAAAGAGTATCGTTTTTGCGAAAACCGCTAAAAATAAGAACCGGCGAAACCGCGAACTTTCTCTCCACCTCGGCTTGCTAATCGGTCGAATTCGAAAAGAAGTAATATCGGTCGGTAATTGTGAAATTTCGACTCGGATTTGCGATGGAAAACAATCCGATACGCCGATAGTTTCTCATAAAAAAACAATGCATCTCATAGTTCATATATGCGCTATCGAATCCAGTAATGCCAACTTCGAACGAGCTCGAACAGTTGGCAATGCGCGTTGGGAAATAGTTAAACAGCTCTCTGCACAGGCATAGCCGATTTTTTTTCGTCAATATCAAAATGTTATGCGCAATGCGATTCTTAAGAAACAGGCATAAACTAAATAGTGATTTCATCGTCTGATATTCGTTTCGCCGTTAGTGTTTACTTTCTAAGTGAAAGATATATTCAACTAGAACTAAATTATAACTTTCACAATATGAGACCGGGACCTGCTGCAACCGATTCTCTTACATAATCCGACTCGACTTTTTCGTTATGCTGAAAAAAATCAATGGCGTTTCGAACAAGTTTGTTCAGTAGAATGACAGTGACAGGTTTGCAAGTGTAACGCGATGTCCGCAATGGTAAGAGGCTGTATTAAAGAAGATTAAATTTAAAAAACTACAGGCACTACAACAATGTCCTAAATCTTTATTCCATTCTCTTGATCATTGGTTTGATTAAGTGTATGGGTTAGAACTTGGACAATAGTAGTAATTGAGATGGTAGGAAAGCAATGGAAGTACGGCGATTTCGCGGGTAATAACAAAGTTGTAAAACAAACTGACATTTAAAGAATATCGTACAGATTCCGATAAATTATTATCGTCGGACTCCTTTCGCCCGAGCGCTATTATAACGTGACATTTGACATTTAGCGGCGCTGTTGCGTCTCATTTAGGAGTGCCTCGGATTGGAATTCCTATTCGAAACTTTTCGAGATAAAGTTTGTTGTTTAATTAGGTAGTTTTTTTTTGCAAAATCGTCATTCAAACTCGAATTTTATAACAGCTCTAGTTCAACAACAATGTTCAACAACATTTTCACTTTAACGAACAAACGAGAAATGTGCTGTAGTTGCAACTTTGTGTGCAAAGTAAATGTGTAATTAAAATAATTAATTTTTCTACTTCGTTTAAATTCTACAGAATTTTTCAGTAATATGTCTGTGCATATAATTTTATTTACTTACCGTTGTATTTTTACTCAATGCAAAAGCCGATAAGTCAACGATTAATTAGAAATATTCCATAGAATAATTTTGCTGTGAAAAATGGCTTTGAAATTGTTTTGTTTTCCTTGGTTATTTTTTTCGAAAAGTAAAATGAAAAGAAAAATAATATTATACAATTATCCTACTTACATAACGTAAATGTTTATTTATCAGCGAGTAATTGCTTAAATAAAATTATTATTAATTTTTCTGGTTAACAATTAGATTGTACTCCTAATAAGCGGATTTTAAATAGTTCAGGCGTCATTGGATTTCGGCCTTGACTCTGTCCGATAGCGAATAATTTGAATAATATATAATAATATTTAAAATTCGCTGTAAAAAGTACGGTAATTCTTCGAAAACAATAAAAATTGCAAACTATAATAACACTTAAATTTAACATTCACCAAGTTCGCCCTTCAATATCCAACTATTTTATTACCCAATTGCCAATGTCAATGTTAAAATAAAAATTGCGCAGATTATTTTTAGAATTACTTAATTTATTTTTAGAATAAGCCACTCCGAAAGTCTTAAATTGCAATTAGAAAGTCCATTTAATCGATCAGGTTCGTTGAAGGTTGATAATATTTTTATGCGTTAAAAATTTGTTTTTAATTAAAAAACGTATCAATTTAACATTAAAATAAAATTTTGAAATTGTATGTGTCTTATTGCCTAGTATGGTCTTATCGTTACTTTTTCAATAATAAACCACTCTTTTATAATATTTTTTCAACAGTTAATCAATGCTATTTTTAAAACTCCGTAATTATTTTGGTCTTTTAATAACTTAATAATAATTTCCAAATTCTATGCAAGAAATTCATAATTTTTTATCAGCGTACTACATCAAGCCCTTTTAATCATTGAATATATATTGGAAATTACTGGCTAAAATTTCGTTATTTGACTAGAAAAATTATTCTGCATGTAAAATGAGAAAACTCAAATAATAACTTTTGCACCAGGTCCGTATTCGAACCAATTTACGATAATGCTTGTATAAATTACTTTCAGAACGTAAAAAACGGAAATGTAACTCGATTTTACGAAAGTACTAATAACCAAATTGTACCTCACAAATGTAATTTATCTAGAATGAAAATATTGACAATGCAATACTCATCCACCCCTGTAGAGTTCCCAGTTTTCCTACACTCTCCAGAACTCCAAACTCTTATTTATTATTCATCAAGATCTCCGTGAAAATGTGACAACCGTCGGAAAATCGACATTAAAAAAAACTCCTTTACATAATCCCTTCAGAAGCTTCTCAAACGCCTACATTACGGCGAATTCGCGTAGTTTATCGCACGTCTTCATCGATTTTTTTCCATTTTTTCCAGCGCCCGTTTACGAAACGATGCGATCTTTGGAGATGACGGCATCGTGGAACGAGGAGGATGAAGACGTAGAAGTGGAGGACATGGAAATGCGCAAGGACGGCAGGGACGATCTCACCGAATCCAGCAGCGACGAGGCCACGGGGAAAAAAAGAAGAAAACACGGTGGTGAGTTTCGGGAATCACCGACGATACTCTCCATAATTGCTCAATCCACCTAAATCCAAGTATATGTTCAGCTGAGCGATAAATCGATGCAACTTGTTGCTTGGTGAGATACCTGTTGAGGTCAGTTATACTTGAGATTGAGCAGTCTTGGGGTAGTTTTAATGTTCTTGATGATTTGGGTAACTGCTAGATGTAATTGGTATATTACAGTTGGATTCTATTGTAATAGGTAGTGCGTCTAGTGGTAGTGCTTCCAGCGGTACTACGATTCGACGGCGGAAAACGTGCATTAGCGCGAGAGAGAGAAATTTAAGAAGACTGGAAAGCAACGAGAGAGAAAGAATGAGGATGCATTCGTTAAACGATGCATTCGAGGTGAGAAATTTTATTACCCCGACGTCATATTTACATTAAACCACATAAAATTTATCATTTCGTGCGTTATTGTAATAACATTTAAAAAAATTCGAACGCGATAATTAACGAGCGATTTGAATTAGAACGACCCTGTGTAATAAGTTAATTTAGCATAAATAACAATATTTGAATTCCACCTGTAAACATATTTTCGCTGACGATTATTTTATATTTAAATATAATCCGTAAAAAAATTTAAATTTAAACAAACCCTGACGAATCAAGGTTGGATAGTGGCTAATCGAAATTTCATTCGAATCACGTACTTACGTCATAATCAAATGTGATTTAAGTAAGCAATAATGACCAAAATGCATACAAAAAAATAACAATGGATATTTTTTGGTGCAAAACCAAAATACAAACTTGACATTTTATTAATAATTTCAGCAACTAAGAGAAGTCATTCCGCACATCAAAATGGAGAGGAAACTATCGAAAATAGAAACTTTAACCCTAGCAAAAAATTATATAATGGCACTAACGAACGTCATATGCGACATGAGGGGCGAGGAAAAGCATTACACGTAAGTGAATCGATATCGAAATTCATCGGAATCGCATCATCAGTTTTATTTCATATATCCAGATTCGTCCAAGACATGGAAAGCGACGGCGGGGAAATAGACATAAATAGCGGCCTGGACGAAACGTCGAACCAAGAACCGAACAACAACAACATTTACCAAGAGAATTTAGAGGCGAGGGTGGAAAACGGGGCGAATCAACGCTAAGCCGGGCCCGACTTGAGTCCGTTAGAACGTTTCTAATCGATATGCCAATCGATTTAGTTAGGGAATAAGTATTGGAGATGGACGCCGTGAGGGAGAGGGATCGAATTGAATCGATAAATCGATCCCTCTGTTTGTGCGAAACAAAAGAAGGCTTGATGTGTTTTTACCATTTGTTTTGTTTGAAATCTGACCTACACGATCGTTTTAATTTATTTTCGCGCACGATTTATCGTGACTTATTAGCGAAAATGACCGTTTTGAAGGAGTTTTATTCTTCTTTTTTTCTCACACGACCCATTGAGTAGAAAACCGATGGAGTTTTTGAGCGGAATAGGAAATTGCAACGTTTATACCGAACTAGCATCGGTTTCGGTCTCGAGTGGACATTCCAAAATAAAATCATTGCCATAATTTTTTCGATTTCTATCTGACCTACATATCTTCGGGTGCAATTACACTTCATATTGATTTTGCGACAGGCGTTTCAATTAATGGAAATTTTCGTATAAAATCATACAGGGTGTCAAATTTTACCGTTTAAGAAACAGTAACATCGAATTGTTATTAGTAAGTGCGTCAATTATTTATTTCGCTCTGTAAATTAGGGGAAAGTAGTTCCTTGTGACAAAAATTTGTTATTTTATTTTAAGCTATATTTATTGATGTTTATTGTTTTGTTGTTGTTAGATTTTTTTTATTTATTTAAAATTTTTCCCCTAAACCATGCGACAAATAGCAAAATTTCGTTGCTTATTAATATATTTAATTGGCGGTGTTGCCAAGTTATTATCTAAGAAATGAATTTTAACGCGGGTCGAAAAATGTTGCTTATTTTTTGTGTAGCGTCGGGAAAATCGAACGGGCTTTCTTGCGATTGCATCTTAAAGCGATTATGTGATTTTTATGCTTCCACATACTTTACGTCAGAAAAATACTTAGTTAATTTTAATTGTAAATATTTTATTATCGCGTAATTATTGGTAGTTTATCGATGGAAAACGAGGCAAAAGCATAGTTCACTCGGCTCGTTTTCCGCTCGCATTTTTCTCCTATCGTTTAGCTAAAATACAAGAACATAGTTATTTATTTAATTCATAAAATTATGTATTTTTTATATAAGTTTATAGATGTATAAAATATATTAAAGAGTTTATATGAATGTTTTACAAATATTTATCTATTTAATCGTGGAGAAGTTACCGTAAATTGCGTACGGGGTTGCCGTTATCAACAATATTTCGTTGATCTGTCTGTTTTTTCGGAACCGAAAGCAAAATCTGACTGAACTATTCAAATACAGGGTTGTTAATTAAATAGAGAACCGCTTGTTGCTAATATTTTTAACCGCCCTGTAGACGTTCGCGTGCCAAATTTTCCTGCGTCTAATAATTTTTGAAGCACCCCCGTATCGGATGTACTCTAAAATATGCTCAAAAGTTGTAGAAGGACACGAAATTTTCCTTACATAATCGGTCCGGGTTTTTCGCAATCACATACAAGATACATCTCTGGTATATCTTGTGTATAATTAATTTTTATATGGATCTCTCTTTACATTACGCAGAAATCGCTGGACAATACATGTGGAAAATTTCGTTGGACTATATGAAATACCGTGTGTTTATTAAAGACTGTTTTTTTTCCTCAGTAGGAAGTAGTAGGATAAAATGTATACCCTACTTACTATAGATAATTCTTTAAACAAATTATCGTTATCCTAAATTATTTGAGACATATTTATGTAAAAAAATCCTACAATGTATGCCAAATCGTTAATGAACTGTAAACACGGTATTTTTCATGTAAATTACATCTATACTTAACTTGCTTAATTAATTAGAGAACGGAGCGTTTAATATTTCCTATCATGTAGACTTATAGGTACTTAAAATGCTTTATTAAACGCTCTGCATAAATAAATCAATCGAACCAAGTATAAATTAATAGTATTTTAGTAAGAAAAGGAATAACGAATCAAACTTTATACCTATAAATCTATATCTATATATTTAAAAATTGTAAAAATATCTTTAATGTTTATGAAATATGTCCAATTTGAACGAGTTTTGTTGCTATGAAAATTCATGTAGATAAGAAAAGAGGAAATTTGCGCACAATTTCTAATTCGCTTTACTTATCTACTTTTGTTAATTTTGAACATGCACTGGTAGGTTTAAATTTTATTTTTTTACGAAACACGCACTATTTTTTTTACTTATTGAATCTATATTATATATAGAGACGCTATTTGTAGTTTTTAGTTTGTATGTATTTTTTTGAAAATGTTGGTTAAAATAATTGTTTTTCTGTCGTTTCTTATATTTTCCATTAGCGAAACTATTAAAACTGTAAGGGAAGAAAAGTAGCTCTTAAGTACCTTATTCCTCTTTTATTCCAACTGCAGTTCTAAATATATTTGTAGAGATAAATCAGCTTACGATTAAAAACCGAATAGTGGTAGAAAATGATTTCGGTAGGGTCTCGATTAATTTTCTGTTCACTATTTGGTACGGTTTCTCTTTACAAATAGTCTTGGAAAGGTTGTATATTAGGAAAACCGAGTTTAATGTATACTAGAAACATTCCGTTAAATGTTTTGTCGTTAGTTATGTGGCAATTCAACAATCGTCGAGCGCCCTTTTATTATTTTAGGAGAATTATACAAGTATCGAAACAGGTTTTCTTTGGCGAAGGAAACGTTCCGAAACGCGAATTGTGATAATAGTAAACTTGCACAAGTTTTTAGTTTATGAAATATATATATTTTATGATGTATATGTATATCGAGTAATGTATTCTTGTAAAATATTTTACCCTGACAAATTTATTGAAGAGATTTAAATGTAAGTTATACCTAAATAAATATTATATTAGTGAATAAGACGCATATAAAAAACGAATATTTTGGCCTTTTATTTCTTTGCCCTTTACCACTTGATTATAGATTATAGATGCTATAGGCCTTTGACAAAAATTCAGCTTTATTTCTTATCTAAACTTAGGAAAAAATTACCGATTACTCGAGTTTAATTTAACACACAGGCATGTGTAAGTTTCTAAAAATTAGCAAGGAGGGCGTGAAGGCTTCCTCTTCAATCGCTTGAACGCTTCTTTTTCCAATGCTTCTCTATGCTTGGGATGCGCAATGTTGATGAGTGCTTGGGCTCTTTCCAACAAATTTTTTCCAAATAAATTCGCCACTCCATGTTCGGTAACGATAAAGTGTACGTGACCTCTGGTGGTAACGACACCTGCCCCAGGCTTCAACAACGGCACTATCTTACTCTCGCCTTTGCTCGTCATCGATTTTAAAGCTAATATCGGCTTCCCTTTACCATCGTAACTACAGAAACCAAACGATTGACATACTTGTCTTATAAGAAAACGAGCCAACTTACGCTTCAGCGCTACCTCTAAGGAAGTCCAATTGCCCTCCGAAACCGGAATACATTCTGGTCCCGATGGAATCCGAGCAAACTTGTCCCGTTAGGTCGACTTCGATGCACGTATTAATCGCCGTCATTTTCGGCAGCGCCTTGATCACGTCATTGTTGTTAACATAATCCACCACCAGCATCTCTATGGAGGGATTATCGTCGACGAATTTGTACAGCTTCTCCGAACCCACCAAAAACGAACCCACAGTTCTACCCTGGTGGTACTTTTTCATGTTGTTGGTGATGCACCCCTTCTCTACCAACGGCAAGATACCATCGGAGAACATCTCCGAATGGATGCCGAGGTTCTTGTGGCCCGTAAGGGCCGCCAGCACGGCGTCTGGGATGCTGCCGATGCCCATTTGCAATGTAGCTCCTGTAAGAAACGTTTTTTTTTTAATTGGATAACTGCGCGTTTTGATGAAGCTCAAATACCGACCATCCTCCACGATGTTCTCGGCCACGTGCTTTCCAATTTGCACCTCCTCCTTCGAAGGCGGCTTTGACTTGTGCGATGGCAATTTCCTGTCGATCTCTACGGCAAAGTCGATGTGGCTGATGTGGACGATGGAGTCGCCGAACGTTCTGGGCATTTGGCAGTTGATCAGAGCTACGATGTACTTGCTGGCGACCATAGCGGCGCGAACGCAGTCCACGCTGGTGCCCAAGGTGCAGTAACCGTGGCTGTCGGGAGGTGACACGTGTATCAGACAGATGTCTGGCTTCACCATGCCTCTATGAAAGACCAGTGGGATCTCTGAGAGGAAGATCGGCATCTTGTCGGCCAAACCTGCTGCTACTGCTTTCCTCACGTTACCGCCCATAAAGAATGACGTTGATCTACAAGCGCCATTTTACATTATCTAGTTTATATGCATTGATTAAACTTTACCTAATAATGCCGTCGAAGTCTGGTTCGCTGTAGGGCAATTGGCCATCGGTGTGCATGTGGTAGGTTCTGATGCCGGTGAATTTTTTGCATTTGGCTACCTTGCACATCGCCTCTATGAGTTCATTGGGGGTGGCGGCTGCTCCCTGTATCGCTACCTTCTGGTTGGACTTGAGCACTTCCTGGAACGCCTCTTCGGGACACACGAATTTGGGTTCTTTGTATTTGATCAGGTGCGCCGGTTCCCGCACATACGTGTAGTATTTGGATTTATAACGCGACGCGGTGGTGAACCGGGGTTGTGCGGAAAGTTTTATCCCCGTAGAAAGTTTGTGCGTGGAAAGTTTTTGGAGAAGTCTTCGCATCAGTAGGATCATTTTATAAATTTAACTGTCGGAAAACAAAAACGTCAAGACAATGTGATGTTTATGTTCTTTCAAAATGAAGTGATGTTGTATTAGGTGAAACGGGCTTATGCCCGGATTCACCAACGACAAATAAATCTATAGTTATTCGATAAATAACATTTAAACTCCAGTTAAATATTTTGACGTTTCACCAGCACTTTTAATCTTTAGTTAGCTATTTGACAGTTTAAACAATTTCTGGCAAACAACATTTAGAATTCAAATCTTTCCAAAAAAAGAAGATTTTTTTCATTGTAACGTGTGAATTTTGTTATTTTATTATATTTGGAGTTTGAGTTTAAGATTACTACGTGATTTTGAAATGAATCGAAAAAGGGAAAGAAGCAAAAATTACTTGTGGAAGAGAAAAGAAGGAAAATTTAATAACGATCCTTCTTCCTAAAACAATTTGAGATCTATAATGAAAATATTCATCAGATGATGTTGAACATGATGATGGAAGATGATGTTAAAAATCTACATAGATAAATAATTTTGAAGTAACTTAAAAAGTACATAATATTTGTATTATCTTTTACCTGTTATCCATTATTCTCAAACACTAAAAACACATACAAAATACAACCAATAACAACAAAATATACAGGATGTCCAAAAAATATAACCAAATAAATGTCATTCAAATGGTAATAAATATTCTTTATTTTATATTAAACACTCATAGACCAAACAAAGGTTTGGTCTAGGTAAACACTCCAAATTTTATATCACTACCAGGAAGTATTTTTGAAGGGCTTTCATTCTTAATAAACATTCCCTATACCTAAAGTTAATAATTCTCGAGATTAAACAATTAAAATTTAATTTAATTTAAATATGAAGAAAAGTTTTAAGCTTTCTTTCCTTAATAATCAAAGTTTAAAAATTAAAGTTATACTTTAGTTAGAAGTTATGGAGAAGAAATTATACTTTTTGGACATACTAAATATTTTACTGAATTTTTGAAAAGTGTAACATAAAATTTGGTCCGTTGTAACGCTGCGTTATAAATTTTACCTGAAAAAAAATAATAACTACCGATAATTAGAACATTAAAATAAGCGCTGCAAAATCACAAACTCGATTTTTTTCAAAAACGGCGAGATTTAGGTACAGAAAACCTTTATGAAACTTACGTTTATTTTCATCGTACAAACTAAAAATTAAATAATAAATTTAATCCATTAAGGCCATTCCATTAATAATGTAAGTTTTAGTAGAATCTCTTTTTTGGGACATCCTGTATAAACACTTACAACCTTTTATGACTTGCTTTTTAAAATAAAAATCGACGTGTCCCAGCTTTCTTTCCCCAATACACAAATCAAGCATTTAACGAATTTGCTCCAACCTTTACAATCTCAGTGTATAAGAAATAAGTACTGAAGTTTAGGGTGAAAGATAAATAAGAAAAGAAGAAAAAATACTGGTAATTACTCATGTAGGTGCATACGTTTTAAAAATATGTTTTTTAAAACATTTCACAATTGAAAAACGGACTAATAAAATTGTTAAAACAAAATATTAATCTATCTAATCTTCGAATATATTGCTGTTTTATGACATCTTTAAGGTAGGTAGGATACGCAAATTTTTCCACCAATAAAAATAAATAGTAGAAATAAACGTTGTTAATCCATATAAGATCGTATATTTCGATTTTCGAGGCAGTTTCCTGGCGAACGTTTCGGTTGAATGTTACTCTACAAACACCAAACATGTCTAAAACAAATGTAAGTAACCTGATTTTTTCATAATAAAATAATAAAAAAGGGTTTTGTCGTATCTTAAATGTTAATAGAATACGAGTAGAAGCTGTCATTTGATCAAACATCAAATACTGAGCGCTAATTAATTCATCTCTAATTACATTTTAATTCTTCAACAAATTTATAATTGATTAAATCAGATAAGTAACATTTAATTTATTTGCATACTGGACCAAAGGCAAAGAAATCGAAGTAATTATTAAAGGAATGCAATAATTTATTTATTTGTAAGGAACTTACTTATTTATTTTCAATTATGGAAATTGCTCGTGGGTGAAAGCATTGATGAAATTAAAACAGTTTTAATTATGCTTGGTGTATAAATGATTGTATAGAGCCAATGAATGTACTTAGTTTTATTATTTTATAATACAATTGCATAAAAATTGGGAGAATTGTCTCTCACTGGAATTTATTGTACATTTCTATGAATTTCCTTCTCAAACTTCTATAAGAGCTCAATAAAAAGATTTATGGGAGATATAAATTAATTAGTCGGCAAGAATTACTTTTTTATTCCTTTATATTCCACTATAATACATCAAAAGAATTTCGACATTTAACCGATGTTATACTACTATGTAGTACCATTAAATTCGAGTTCATTTCTACATTATTCTCTGATTTTTGCAATTCAGGTTACTATTAATAAACTTTTATTGCGTTAAATAAATTCTTTATCATTCCTTTTTCCTGGCAAGTTTGTCAGTAAATACCTAAGCAAACTAATCTCCTTAATTCTTTCTTAAATTTACTACAATTTATAACAATTTTTCAACGATCACATTAACATGATTGATTAATGATTGTTCATGAAGCTTAGATAAAAGAACGGATAAATGAAGAAACAAAAATAATTTATATTCCCAATATAATGAAATCACCATAATATTAACAACATTCATTATTCAATATGTTTAATGTTTCATTATGTTCAATTAATCATTGTTGTAAATATTGATTATGTTGATTGATTTTAAATGTTTCAAACATCATATTTTCAGGAATCGGGTATTGAAAATCCGACTTTTGTCTCTTCCACCGAAAAACTAGAAAACGGTACAACAGAAGATAAAAAACTTAATACTAAAGTAAGTAATTCCCCAATGCTCTTCTTTATTTTAGGTACTATTACATCAATAATCATTTTCTATCTAGTAAATATAATTGTTTTTGGGTTATCCGCAGGAAGAAGAAGACGAGTTGGAAAAGTCCACATGGGGAAACAGCATCGAATTCCTCATGTCCTGTGTAGCAATGTCAGTAGGACTGGGAAACATCTGGAGGTTTCCTATTGTTGCCAACAAAAACGGCGGCGGTGCTTTTCTCATACCCTACATCATCGTTTTAACCATAATAGGCAGGCCTATGTACTATCTAGAAATGGTGTTAGGGCAATTTTCTAGCAGAGGTTGCGGTAAAATGTTCCAAAAGTTGAGTCCGGTATTTAGAGGTAGGAATGGAGTGTTGAACCTATACACATTAATTATAATAAACAGTATAATATTATAGGTATCGGTATTGGTCAGGTTTTTGCTTCCACTTGCGTAGCCTCTTACTATTGTTCTCTCATGGCGATCACCTTTATATACTTAATCAATTCGTTCACTGACAAGTTTCCTTGGGAGAGTTGCAGGAACTCCTGGACAGATTATTTAAATTCTAGGAACTTGACTTGTGTGGATAAAGACACTACTGCAACTGGAAGTAACACCATAAGTTCATCAGAAATGTATTACAGGTAAGTGGATGTTAATTAACCTGTACTTGTACATTCTCTAGCTCAATTTCCAGGAGAGAAATATTAAAGGAATTGGACGATATAACTGATTACATGGGTGCACCAGATTGGAAACTAACGCTAACTCTTCTACTCGGATGGTTCGTTACATTTATGATATCAGCCAAAGGAATACGGAGCTCTGGAAAAGCTTCCTACTTCTTAGCCATATTTCCTTACATTGTGATGATCGTTCTGCTGATAAGAGCGTCTACTCTAGAAGGCGCTACTGACGGTATGATGTATTTTATCGAGACCGATTGGTCGAAACTCCTAGATGGTAATGTAAGCGTTGATTAAATACCTACCGAAGAGGTACTCATATTACAATAAAAGTTCTTATAGGTTTGGTACGCAGCTGTAACACAATGTTTCTTCTCACTAAACATTGGTTTCGGTAATATTATTACTCTGGCGTCTTTTAATAAATTTGATCATAATATTAGTCGGTGAGTATGGTAAGAGTTTATAAACTAGACTACATTCTGGCTTGAATTTTAGGGATGCTTTCATTATAACTACGCTGGATACGTTCACTTCGCTTCTATCTGGAGTAACGATTTTTGGTATATTAGGAAACCTGGCATACGAATTAGGTGTTCCGCCTAAAGATGTTCTAGCAGGCGGCGGTGGTGCCGGTTTGGCGTTCATTTCTTACCCCGAAGCGCTTTCGAAGTTCACATTTGCTCCATGGGTACGTACAAATTTACCGTAATACAATGTAAATTTAAATTGTTTTTGTCGTAGTTGTTCGCAATAGCGTTTTTCTTCATGCTATTCGTTTTGGGCGTTGGAAGTCTGGCTGCTTTGCACGCCAATTTGAATACTCTTATCAAGGAGACGTTTCCCACGTTGCCTGATTGGTTTGTAGCCGCAGTGACCGCAACTGGACTATTTTTATTCGGTTTGATCTATGTCACACCTGTAAGTATCAACTAAGCACATTTTTATTGGAAAAGACTTGTCCTAAATGATTCTTTCTTGGTATCATAATGTTTGTTTTGTAGGGTGGACAGTACACCTTGGACCTCGTGGACCACTTCGGTGGAACTTTCGTTATATTTGTATGCGTTTGTTTAGAAGTAGCCGTAGTTTGTGGCCTATACGGTAGATATTATGAATGTTTAAACTCGTAATTAAACAATAACGGGTCCTTTGATAGGTGTGAACAATGTGTGCGATGATTTGGAGTTTATGACAAAGAAGAAGGTCAGCATTTTTTGGAGGATTTGTTGGACATTCATAGTTCCCATTTTTCTGGCAGTAATATTCATCTATTTTCTCGTTTCTTTGACGCCGATGACTTACGGAATTTTTAATTTGCGTTATCCACTTGGATTAGAAAGTAACGTAGATTGTTTGAGTAGAACAGGCAATTCTTATTATATACATGTTTAGTTTTAGGATGGGGTATTTTAGCTGTGACAGTAATACAGATAATCTGTTGGGTAATTTATTATCTCTACATCAATCGACATGGTAGCTTCAAAGTGGTAATAATGCTTTAAAATCGATTATAAAACACGTGGGATATACGCTCTTCATTGTAGATGATTTCCAATGCATTTTCAACGAAAACTTGGGGACCTGCTGGACAAAATAGAACACAAGAATGGAAGATTTTTAAGGAAAATAAAACCAGAAGCTCGAAATTATCGAAAGGGCCATGGATAATAAAGAAACTGAAAATGTTCCTCGGAAGGTGATTTCAGGTCCTGTATACATAATTTTATAATTAAGGAATAAATTTAATTTATTATTAAACAAACTGCCATTTTTTATGTTTATGTATCACAGCCTACAATCATTCATATCCAACAGAGGTAGTAGTATTCAATTTAAAATATTACACAAAAAAATCACATAAAACACAAAACACAATTGAAACAGGGACATCTACCTTTGACTCAGCGAATGTTTTGATAGAGCTTTCTATATTGCTATTTAATTCACACAATTATTACAATTTTCTGCAACCTCTCAAAAGTTTATTTAATATGAAAGTTGAAATTACAGAATTCCTGATAACTGGAAATTTTAAAAACAAAAAATTCTAATAGATGGCACTACAAACGCATCGTCAACTCACAAAACATATCAACTGTAAAGAAATCTTTTGTGATTCTGTGTATTTTTGGTAAGTCCCATAGCAAAAACTTTAGGCAGGTTTTTCTATGATATAAAAATATCTGATGGAAACGTCTGACTTTCTACAATGTTATTTGTATGTAATATTTTTTTATAATTAATACTAATTGATGAACCTTTTCACGCTAGAGTTAATTAATAGGATAAGTGGAATAAAACAAAAAAAGGTGGTAGTTCGATCGAAGTTTTAATTTCCTTTTTACATACAATTTATACCTTTATTTGATTTGGCACAACTTGATATTAAATACCATTTAAATCTACTTAAAACTAATCAAAACATTATTTACTAATTATGTACATTTGCATTTAATTAACAATTGACTCACATTTATAAAAATAATTTTTTAGAGGACCCAGTCTTTCAAAATCTAGAATTTGAAAAGGTTTTTTTTACAAAAAAAATACACACTTACAGTTAAATTTCCAGTAGTACCTAATGTTATAAATAATTTTTGACCACAACTTTATTGAATATTAATTTTATTATCTTAATAAAAATAATTATGAATTGATTATCCTGATATAGCCAGTCGTGGGGAAACTAATATAGTCTTCTATAATTGTACTGCAATAGAATTTGGGAAATACTTTTTATATTCGATGATAAAAATGAGAGAGTTAGGCCAGGTCATTTCGAAATAATAGTTTTTAATAAATAACAAAGATTTTATACAATGAGCTTCAATTCAAATACAGTAGATCGGTATTAAAACGTTGTTAAAAAATCTAATTTTATCAGACTCATTTTTGCTATCTATAGAGTTGAAAGCTGATATGTACACGTTGTCATGAAAGCATGAAGTACATATTCACAAACAATGATTCAAAGTTATGGGAATATTTACAAATAACTTCTTCAATTAGGTATTAATTACATTTTAATTTAAAAATACGGATATTAATCTTAATTGACAGTAGGAAACTCGGCACCTACCACTAATTTAAAAACCTTAATATTACGTCTCTTCTCACAATTTTTATACAGCAAAAAAGAATTTCCGGAGTTAATACGAAATTTTCGAAAAATCCATTTAGCTCTGTCACCTCCACCATAATTCCGCTAATGTGGATGTCACCGCTATGAGGCAGGGGCTGACAAAAGCCGCCGAATTTAACGTACTGGATCGATGGCCTCTCGCAGGCTCTGCTAACCCTTTAAAAAAATACATTTCCATTACATCCTTTATTACGTTCACATATTCTCCGTGCTTTTATTACTTACCACCTACGATTACGTTATTGTTGTGATGATCCGGTCCGACTTTTATTTCTGAAATTCGTAAATTTATTAAAATTATATACAGAAGTTATTACACAGAAGATGTAAGAGCTTATCTTTTATTCCAATAAGCCATTATACATAGTATTATGCACTATACAAGCTAGTTATTAGTAAAAGTAGTTATTTCAAAATCAATAACTTATGTCAAAATGACAGTAAAGCACATTTTTTAAAAATACAATGAGCCGAACTGTCTTTTACAAAACAGAGGAACCTATCGTTAGCCCTCTCACGGTGTACGCTGTACCGCCGAAGGAAATACCGAAAAACTCGTCGATCGACATTCGAGAATTCCAAAGAATCTACGGGCATCTGTTCAGTAAAAATCATGGAACGAAACCGTTATCCGGCAAAAAGACGTACCAAGAACGGCCGCGCATCAACGTCAACACCATCCAACTGGAGATGCCCATAATGGGAGGAGAACCGAAGGCAGAGCCTAATAAACTGAAGAAGATCGCTAAAGCTCCGATTCCCAAGAGTCCCAAGCCTCCAAAACCATACGAATTAATCAGAAAACTCTCTTCCTTGCAACACAACTTATCGAAGGATTCTAAGATAAACATACATCACACCGCGTCAACAGTTTTGGATAGAACCAACAGAGAATTGGACGTGGCCGACGAGCAACTGAAGCATATCAAGGAAATGATTGATATGAAGCGGAAGCAAGTAGAAGTTCAAACGAGTGCGTCTCCGCGACCCAAACTGAGAAGCTGTCACTCCTATTGCGACAATCAGAGATCGTCCAGTTTGTCCACAATGCGAAGAAAACTGAAAGAGTTGAACAAAGATGTGCAAAATCTGTCACCGTCGTATTACAAAAGTGTTAAGGAAAGATGCACGTTGGAGAGCTTATACAAGAAATTCGATGATGCTATGAAATTGGACGAAGAAACAACCAAGTTCGAATTCCAAGGTAATACGAACAGTCCCAAAGTACAACAGAAAGTTCGTTTCGAAGTCGATCAAATTAAAGCATACAGTTGGGTAAACTCTTGTACAGAAATGACCAATCCTCCCTCTAGTCCCAAAAAGCAGACCAACCAAATGGTACTGGATAGCTTCCAAGAAGACGTGTCGAACCAAACAAGTACTATAAGCAATGAAATGGGCATTCAAGCTTCCGATAACGAAGATGAAGAAGCGGAATTTTTGGCAAAAATCGAGGAGCTTCAAGCTCGCATAACGAAAAATTCCAGTCCCAACAAATCCGAACACTTTGAAAATGCTGGTAACGGGGATTGCCGTAATGACAACAATACTGACATCAATTATGATGAGAACGACAACGATGATAACTCTAACGATGGCAATGAAGAACACATTTTCGACGACACAAATTTACAAAGCGGCATACTGAAATCCTCTTATTTGATGAAGGAGTTCAACGTGCATACGGACTCGAGGCAACAGCTTTGTCCTGCTATGAACAAAAAAGAATTCATACGGAACATCCACGTGTGCAAAGACGTAGGCAACAAAACTGTGAAAAATATGCTGGGCAACTTGGAGTTCGCGTTGGAAAATTCGATTTATTCGGTAGAAGAGTAATTGCGAGATTCGCTGTACATATGAATGGGTGGTCATGTCGAAATTTGTATGTGTGTTAGAGGTAATGTAAATAAATTGTATGGCGAGGATGTTTATTTCCGTTCGTCGTGATTGAATCGAAAGTTTCCCAACGGATATTTCTCACCGTATAATCTTAAAGTGCCCTCTGCTTTTCCTAACGAATTCGTCGATACGCAATTGTAGGTGCCGCTGTCGGAGGAGGAGAAGGATCTTATCACCAACCACATGTACACTTTGTACCCGCTCCTTTCCTCCTTGATCCAATACTTCGTCCTGAAATAAAAAAAAAACGACAAAATTAAACGAAAATTCAATGTGCTTTATTCAAGTAATATGTAACGATTGTTCGATAATATCGATGTACTTTGGCGATACGGCCAACGAAAAACTTTATATGCGGCACAAAAAGCAAGGCAACTATCGATACCCTCGATTGTCTCATATTTTATACCAAGTTATATCGCAAAACGCGCGTCGGAAACCATTTTACAAATCCCACGAGAACAGGAGGCGAAATTCAGTAATTTTTCTTCGGAAGCGTCGAGTCGAAAGTTCACATTTTGTACAGGATGTCCTCGAAACACGTCTATTATTTTTTCGCTTATTTAAAAAGTTTTAAGCTTGAATAATTTACCTAGCAGATGGAGTATATTTAGTATCTAATGCTAATTAGATGTAATGATACATAAAGGAAACTTTATTTTGAAGGATACTTTAACGCTTTATTATGTGAAATCTGTCTTAAGCTAGTATCAGTAATTGGAGAGAATTTAGTAAGTAGGTACTTCAACAACTTTTAGTTTATGTCAGGATTGAAGAGAGCACAAGTTGATTGGCGTATACACGAACGATCTAATTACAAAATTGGTAATTTCTCCAGGTAATAAATCGATTATTGCATCAACCATTAATATATCAGTATTAACAGGCGTAGGCTATTGGACATTTTGAAGTCCCGCTTAGTATTTCAATTATCGCATATTAACTATTCAATGTAAATAGAGAGCGAATACGCCGCGAGTTCCCGTCTCGTCAGCTGCGACAAAATGGAAATCGCTCAAAGTCATCCCGTTTTCGTTGTTATCTCAATAACCGAGCGTATGTTTTCGATTCAGACAACTGGGGACAGTGTTTGAATATGCAGAAATCCTGACGTTCCGTATTAATTATTGCGTTTTTTGTTGTTGTTGATGTCGTGTCGGCCGATGCGGAACCAATCTCAGATTAAACGTCGAATTTCGCGTTGATGCGCTCTCGAAAATAATTAAAACTGGCACCACCGAATGTGAATTTTTATAAAATTGATAAAATTTCTGTCGAGTGGTATATCTAAATGAATTACACCTGTGGATTTTTTGGGGTAAATTATCGAATTATCCAGAACGATGATAGAACTCGTGAAAACCTGTAAATTGAGCCGATTTATTCATATCGGGCAATACCTCGAAAACGCGGCGTAATCGAAACCTCATAAATCACCTGTTTGTTCTAATTCATTTATCCGAAAAATATTTTGTTCCTGTCAGCGATCTGATTGTGTATTATAAAAAATAGCGTACGAAGAAAGAAAACGAGTAGTCCTATCAGAAACGGTTGATTAATCAAAAAAGAGTGCGTCAAATCGGAAGATTTATTATAGCAAATAATTCACCCACGCCTCTAATTTAGGATTGTAAATATGAAAAGTATCTGTAGATACTTCCACAAAAATTTTTCTTTTCAAATAAGATCTTTGTGTTTCATGTATTACGTTATTACTCTAATTGCATATGAATTATTTATTTACTATAGTTCATATTTATTTGGTGCTTCCATAAAAAATTGTACATAAACTAAACCAACTCCCCATGAGACATAGTTAGTATATTTTATTCCGTTTTACGCCGCAAACAACAACGTACAAATAACAAAATTTACCCTATACTTACCTAAGTTGACTTGCGGGCGAGGGTTGGAAATAATTTATTACCCCAGCACGATCGCGATCGCCATAAGACATCTAGTAAAAAAAATCCGATACCATCAAACTAACTTTTGTACGTTTTAGTGCAGTTTCCGCTGCAAGTTTTCAGATTCGAGAATTCCTAATGAAACATTTACATACCCATCGCCGCATCCGCGGAAATTGATGCGCAGACTTTATCGGATTACGGCGGTTTTACTGGCCGGCGTGAAATTTTTATACCTTCGTTAACGATAGTGTTACAACAAGAATTACAGGTCGAAGCGGGTCCGCTAGTAGCACTTGAGCTGTTTTTCATACTAAGAATGTTTACAATGTTTTAATTGGAGTTGTATGGTGTATAAAAATTGTGTTGTTAGAGGTGATGTAAAAATAATTGCAACTCACCCATTAAGCAACATTTCTCCTCTATTTTTAATCCAATAATTGACTGTATTGGGGTAGGCCTCAACGTAGCACTCCAGTTGTACGTCTGTAGCCACAGGTGCTCCCAGCAGTTGATTAGGAACTTTTATAACAGGAGCAACTGTAATAAAGAAATATATAAACATTTCTTCAATATTGTCGATAATAATTTCTTTCTACTGAACGTATATTGCGATTGTACAGTAGAATAAATATCGTGCATGGGAATTTTCAGAAAATGAAGTAAGAAATTGCGTTAAAAATTGAAATGTAGTTGCATTCGTTTCGGGCTCGTGCATTTTAGCAATAATTCATCTCCGGTGCGTCGTAAAATAAATTTTCGAAATGTAAATGTGGCGTTCACTCTCGCAAAAATTGCTCTTTATTGCTGAATTTTTGAAATACTGTTACGTTTTTATCCATTGTTACAAAAAGGCGAACGTTCATCCAATTCGGAAAGTAGCGTTTTAGATTTAATATTTCGTTTGTCGTTCTAATTTTGTCAGATTTACACTACCAGTACCCAGAAATTGCTCCAAATAGATACACTTTTCTACATGTAATTCGTTCTTTTGGGATTAATTTGTAACTTAATGTTCGTTCCAAAAATTAGGCATCAGTTCCATAATTTTTGAATGACATTAAATGAGTATATAAAACGATGAAAACGCTTATAACCGTTTTATTTAATTGCCTAATTAATTGCATTCTCATCGAGGGAAACGAGGCACTTGCGCCATATCGTTATAAAACCCCTTTCTACGTTTAGGGGATTTCCGCTCAGAAGCCTAGAAAATTATCGGGTGGTTATCGGAGTGTACCGACTCTTAATCCAGTGTAAATTGCTGCATTATCACCGTTTTTGGAGCCAACAAAAAGCCTTCGAGTGCTGAAACCCTTTAGAAAGCGCGATCTCACGATATACTTAGAAGAATAACCGGTGTAACGATTCATTCCCAACTGTGTTTTGGCGTATCCATAATAATTATAAATGCTAATGGAATGTCGTAACTATTTATTTTTATATCATTACAATGTTATTGCTTGCACCAAAATTTTAAATTAGGTGATTGGTGACTGCAGTAAAATTTTAATTCTTGAATATTTTGATGGATGAATTCGTGAGAACCACTTGTAAGTATCATCCCTACTAACAAAACCCTTAGGTCATCTGCTAAAACACATCGTAATTAGATTGTAAATCCCTACCTCTGGAATTTCGTTTTGTGTGTTATTACAGTGAAGTTGCGTGCGAATCGTTACCCCGCATTTCAAGAGTGCGCCCTTTCTATTAGACCCTCTAATTGGCCTGTTTTGGTACGAAAACTAATTTATACGACTAATCCCCAGTTTCGTTGCAAGGATCCCTACATCCCTGCCAACTTTATTTCCAGTATGAGTTCCCGATCCTAAAATACAAGGCTATTAACTTACCTTTTTGAGTGGGGCTTGCTTTTATCGGTGAAGTTCATCATAATGCGACGCAAAAATATTCGCAGGTATATCTACGTGTATATGAAATTTAACATAATTCTATTACAGCCTGAATTTATTTTGAAAATACCGCTCTCTCTACAAAGCAAATTCTTTAATAATAAGTACCTTGTTTAGAAGGAAAACTAAACCGAGGTTTAATTAAGTAAAATATGCTAAACTCTAAATAAGCGATTAATTAAATTCTCTTTAGATGTTACAATCGATATACACTTTGCCAATTAAGAACAAACAAACTTTGAATTTATTAAAATATCTCAGCTGTACGAAAATAAAGCTATCTACTTAATACGAAAATTATATTATATTCTTACAGGGTTGCAAAAATAGTAAAATGAAGATAAATTTTTTTGACTACCCGGTATAATAAATTTGAAGTATAGTAGAGTGTTTAAACACCAGAAAAAAATACACACAAAATCCGATTAACGCATAATTCAACAAGTGACCGATTCGAAAATCGTGCCACAAAAAATCAAGAAAAATCTCAACGGAAAATATTTTTCCTCCTTTTTTCATTCGTTCGAAAGAAAATCCTCGGCGAACTTCCTCTTCGACTGAGACGTTCCGTTTTATTTGCTTAATCACTTACCGAATTTATTCAAGTTAAATCGCTTCCTTTTTATTCAATAGCTTTTCATTAGACTTTACAATGAGATTAGGCGAAAAGAAAACAAACGGAACAAACGAAAACGCGAGCCCCCTTGAAATCCTACCTACGGAAAGGATGTATCTTCCAACGGAAAAAATTATTTCTCTCGGCCGATTTATTTAATAAATGGGGAAAGGAGCCACCTACATTTCTTTCTTTAGGTAGGCATTATAGGGAGAGAATCCCTATAAAAAGATCAATACCGAAAATTTTCCTTGATAGTCTTCTGATTACACAAAAAAAGGATATATTGTTAGTTCACCATACTCGATTATTTTACCTACAAATTTGGTTTGTAGGGTAATTACCGACCACAATAAGTGAATGTGTTACGTATAAAAAATGTTTAAGTAGCTGCCACTTTCGAATTCAATGTATTTGTGGAATTTAACCCAGTATTGAGCGTATATAAAGGGAAAAGGGAAGAACATTATTAAGGGAACAATAATTTCGTATCGCCTAAATAGGTTTTATATTGCTAGGGAATAGATACTCGACGCTTTCACGTCCTTATTATATTCGTCGGAGTATTATTATTCCGACGGTGTATCTGAAATTTCGAAGGGAATTTACAAAAAAGAATATTAAATTATTTATGCTTATAGCCGTATACTACGAATATATGCAAGAAAGTTTATTTGAACTGTTACATTAAAAGTAATATTTCTAAAGTAACTGTATGGCTTCATAAAAAAAAGATGATTGAAGATCAATAAAAAATAGGTATATATTTTTTTAAAGATATATCCAATTACAGCCGCCCGGGCTTTGTTCAATTCTAGATTTAATATCGTGAATGATTTATAATACGTCTGTTTTCGTTTCGAAAAATGGCTACAATCAATGTAGTATATTTATTTCTGAATTGGAACCAGTCAGAATTGAATTAAAATGCTGATTTATTTTAATTAGCCCGGATGTATTTTGTAGTTGAATTTACATGGATTGTAATATAAATCTATCAAATTTTTTCAGAGCAAATGTAGGCTCTATTTACTTCCATTAAATGAATGTATCAACTCATAATTAAATTTGACAAGTTAGCATTAGTGTAAAATTTTCGTCGATTTTATTTTTAGCATAAATATCAATATTTTTCTGATATTGGTGCTGCCATTCATGTGCTTATAAATAGATATAATACTGAGTTTGCTCTTATATAGATGTATTTTTTATGAATTATTTTTTCGCATGTGATCGATTCTTTCGACAGAATACATTCGTCTGCGTCGAAAAAAAAATTAGAAACTGAATCCTACGCGCGTCCAATGAAAATATTTTTTTATGTATGACGTTAATCGAAATATTCCTACGATAAATTTCGAGACATACAGGAATGGATTCTTTTGATTGAAAGGTGCTCTTTATGGCAGAATACATAAAAATCGCTTTATACGGTTCCTATGCGCTGCCTCCTTTTTATGTCTAAGCTAAGCAATAAAATTAGATTACTTATATGGAATATACGATCGCTTTATTCGTTTTTAGTGATGTTTTTTTACCCGACAATCTGTTATTTAAGAGGCTTTATGCGTGAGAAACAATATAAATGTTTATTTTTAGGAAATTTCCAGTCGAATCGACTCCCATAAAATAACACAAATATGAATTGAAAGATGTTATTCGACAAAACTGTTCCGGATATCTACGGAAAAATAAATTTTATTTGCAAAGAACTTTTTTGAAAAGTTGGAAATATCATTTTTATATACGTTCTCTTACATCAATATTCTTTATAATATTGTATAAAAGATTTACATAAATTAACTTTATCAAACACAAAACTCTAGACATTCATAACCAATTTCTCAAACAATCCTCAATGATATTAAAACCGGCATAAGCCCAAGTAAAAAGGCGTAAATTTAACGGTGATTTAATCGCAGAAAAGTTCTGCTACCGCAATTATCGTAACTCGGCAGGGCGTCAGGGTCGCCTAAAGTGGAGGACTGATGGTCGCAGGGCCGCTAAACAAAGAAAAGTCGAAAGGAAAATCCGGCGAAACACATACGAACCCGTCCGAGTCGTAAGTAGATATATATGCGGGCATTAGAAGGTGTAGAACTCTATTAAAACTTTCGCGGAGTGAAACGGAAAAAGAAGCGCCCGTAAAATAGAAACACTTAGAAAGATCCCGAGCCTCCGACTTTGTTTTGCCGTATATTTTGAATTACGGCCCTTATCTCCCGGTTTTAGATGCCGAATGTATTCTTCCTCTGTATGTGTGTTTTCTAACGTAAAATAAAACATTAGTCGGATGTGTTTCCAGCGCCGTTGCTGCAATACGATCCAAGTAAATACAATGTTAAAAGGTAACGACTACAAATAAGCTCATGCAGTACATTTTCTTCTATATTTTATGTATAAGGTTACTTTACTCAAAGTGCATTAAGAACATTACCAATATTAAATTACACCATTACCCTATACAATTTCTAAATGATATGTGTAGTTTTGGAGTTCTTTATTTTGATTTTATCATCAAAAACTTTTACGTCTTTTCATATTTGTTGATATATGAATAGGTACTTTAATAATATTAACCTGGTTTAATTATTCATAAAAATATCTAATTTTTATGTGGAAATGTGTGTAGTTATCTACTATATTTCTTGAACAAATATATTTGCCTTTGAACAAACAAGGATCATGAACAAAACAAACTTAATTAAAACAGTATATGGTATATAAAATAAAAGATAAAAGACGTTTTTTTACTATAACAATAAAACATGCAGCAATAACCAACCTTAAATCAACTAAATTCGCGTCTCGCAGCGGCAGTTCTAGCAGTTACAGTTACAGTTTCAATAAAATAAAATTGTTTGAAGCCGCCATAAACATCCCGACCTAAAGACTGTGATGCGTTCGCAGCTGGAACATGGAATACACTCCGAATTATATATTACGATTCGCAGTAATAAACGTAAATATCATCATAACAGGTTTATTTCCCGGTAAAATGTTGCCCGGGCGTTTATTTTCTACAACATAAGCGACTATAGTACGCGATAAAATTAATTCGGGCGCTTTCCAGCGGAAACTGTTCGTTTTTTACCGACCCGAATCATGAGACCTCCAACCATTATACACTTGTAGGATGTTGTGTAGGTTTCCTCATTGTGCCAGGATACATCATGAACAGCCATATAGGAAACCTGTTCCTATTTGGGTAAATTTGGGAAATGTTTTGGATTTTTCGTAATGGAAACCCTTTTGTGGAAGACATACAAATTTTTAATCTCCAAAATAGCGTTTTTTTAAAGAACATTATAGTATAATCTTTTAAGTAGTCCTCAACTCTCCATTTTACAGAATTTTTATTAAACATCTTCAAACTTTTCATTTTTGAATTTAATTTCATTCCTAATATATTAATGAATCCAAAACAACATACTAACTACAATTAAACAAAATTATTTTTCTATAACGTTCATATAATATTACAAACACATACGAAAAATATTCTTTGTTAATAGAATTTGGAGCAATTCGAGTTTGATGTACCTATTAAGACCGCAAGAAAGCAGCATCCAGTTCATGAAAAATACATTTAATCGGCGAATTTTTTGCGTCAATTTAATAAGAAACCCGGCGAGAAAAACTCCCCTTCCGGTCGCCCTTTCATCGACCATTAGCGACAGGGGAATGAAGACCAGTTGATAGAGTCCGATGAATCATCTTCCGTTAAAAACGCGTAATATTTTCGCTGCGTTCGCGTCCGTTTTTCTTCTTCTATTTCATCTCTCCAACTAATCGTTTCTGTTACATCGAGCCGGACTTAATAGGAAGCCGGGAAAAAGTGTGTCTAACTAAGGGGCACAAAGGGAGTCGAAAGTTGCGGATATATCGGGAGATATGTCGTCGAGGAAACGTCAGAACAATTCGTAGGAAGGTTTCCTTTCATCCGGGGATTATGTGGATATTAGAGACGGTTGTTAATGGGAAAAATTTCGACCGAATTGCGGCTTTATTGGAATAATTTTTTATTGGATTTTCGATTGAATTTTCCTTCGCCCTTCGCCGGAATAAAGAATTGCAAAGTCCCGAAAGGACCTTAATAGACGATGAAAAAGTACGTGACACAAATGTGTGAAGTTTTTAAATGTATTGGGAATTCCGAATTGTCCCAAATACATTTTTTTTCGAAATACAATAAAGAATATAATTTACAACGGTTTTCCATTATTGTTGTTGTTCATGGAGTCTAATTTTAATCAAATAACCATAAACAATTAATTACACGAATTTTCCGTATTCCATTATACACCGCAAATCATTTAATATTTATAAATGAAAATCCCATTAATTAATCGCGGTTGAATACTAGGCGCGAATTTTTCAGAAAAACCTCCTGTTAACGACCAAACCCGACGGGAATTCTCATTAAAATCACGACTTTTCATCTCATCTCGTCGAAATACCTGGAATAAAATTTTCGTTTACGTCGCACGCATTTCGAACGCATTGTACGCCCTAATGATGCTTGTCCCGCAGTTTCCCATTTCTCCGTTCTCAAAACTTACAGATTGATTTGTAACTAAACACCGGTTATTTTTCCTATAAGTACATACAGGATCTCTAGGAGCAGTTGCGTAAATTCATTGCGTTTTCCGAAGAAGTGTCGGACTCGGGAAAACCGTCGTCGGGAGAAAAATCGATGGCGATGCAAAAGTTTCCCATAGCTTCGACGGGTGTTCGTTTTCCCACGCCGGACTCGGAGCACAAAGGGAGGAAAAAATCCCGCCAAGACTATTCGTAATACCGATGACATAAGGTGGAACGGGTGCAACGCGAAAACGGGGTCAATGCGGGCAGATCATCTGCACTCAGCTAAAAATTCTTTTATTTTTGTTTCGGCAAATTTCCCGACCGTTTCCGCACGCTCGCTCAAGAAGTTTTATATTGTACTTTCCGACCGCTCTTTATAAGATCATATAGGAATTTTTATTGCGTCTCGTTTTTCGCGTTATGCAGCATGAATATAATAGAATTAACTTTTAATACTCTTTAGATTATTTAATATTACAACGCAATAAATCGAATAACTCAGTTATCTCTTTTTATCTTTGCAGCTACCACAAACTAACAAATAATCGAATTTCTTAGTACTAATGTTGAAAATTACCCGGTTATAGTTTATAAAATGATAAACCATTGTTGCTGGTGCGTGTATTTTAATCTATTTAGTTGCGTTATAAAATTATTGATCGATTTTGTGGTATTTATAACTTTGTCGTATAATAATTGAATGTGCGTGCGAAAGCTAATCGTTTTTCGAACAAATTTTATAGACAGGTTGTAATTAGGAAAATGCTGCACTAATTATACTAGAATGTTTTCCTGAAAATATTTCTATTTTATCAACGAGCAAATTAGTTTTATAAGCAACTAAATCCGTATTCAATCTTTACTCGTTACTCGTGTATAGACCTATTTTTGAAATACGCGAAAAATACGATCCAAAAGGGCAGGTCTTCAATTACAGGTGGATTCTCGACGGCGTATTTCTCAAATTTCAGCCAATTTTCCCATCGAAATTCCAATTTACTCGCATCCATAAAGGCGATATTTAAATTGGGCTCTAATATATTCAATCTTTTGCCGGCAACCGGGCGGGTATTAGGGAAGAGAAGGTTTCTTGTGTGCCGGAAACTATTCGACTCCCACTGCGAAAAACTGAATTTTTCAACGACAAGAGACGGGGGTTTTCGTTACATATTTAACCGCATATATGCGGCAAAAATACAATACATCAAGTACAAATTTAGATCAACCATGCACTCATAACAAGAGAGGCAATTCAGCATATTGTGAGTGTTTCTTTATACCTTTTTACCTTGTTGTAAACTTTTCATTTATGTATACAAACGACTGTTTATTGTCAGTGTCTATACTCACAGTTGACGCTTAATGAAATCCTTTTGCTGACTGCCGGAGGGATGTCGTTGCTGGCGATGCACAAATAAGCTCCCATTTGTCGACGGTCCAGTCTCCAAAAATGCAGGCTCGAGCCGTTGTAAGTCTCAACTGCAAACAGAGATAAATCAGCCGGATATTTATCCATAGATATACGGAGCAATATCGATTTCCGAAGCAATAAAACCGAAACACGGCTCTATTTGTCTCGCTTGTATTATCTAAACACTAACTGAAGCGCTCCCAGCGTTGCCAACATTACCTTGATTTATTTTCAGAGATATATTATTTTTATTGTCAAAGATACCTACTAGAAACTTTTATTAATAACCCTCATTCTTACCGCTCACCAATTATACACCTTACTTAATAGTTATCTATTAACAGAAATTTACAAAAAACTTTTCACCATTCAACTTTTACTTAAAAAAATATAAGTAAGTACCTACTCGCAAATTAAAAAAAAAGTCATCCTCGCATTCATTCCGGGCATTCCGGCAATTCGTTTGATATTGAATAAAACATTTTCGACTCGTTTGCATTAAAACTCCGCAATAAAATATTCAATTTCTTCGTTTCGAGTCCGTCGCGACGCGACGCCTGACGTGGCTGTCTAAAATGAAGTCGCTCAATTCGACATTTAAATGTTAATACCTGGTTAACGACTTTAACTGTTTTATCGGTCCCGGAATTTAACTGGGTTAAAAGATTTTGTGTAACTGTTCAGTTATCAGTTGCATGTGACTTCAATTTAGGTTTTTGTTAATTAATAACATAGTTTTTGTAAGAATATCCTTTATATATTTTTATTCCCGATTGAAAGTAAAGTTTGTAAATAAAATAAAAAATATAGGCGTTAGATTGAACAAAGAATTGAAATTGAAAGGTTTTAACGCGCGAAAATCGTTTTTCCTTGCCGTTTGATTAACTTTCCATCGGATACAGGCTGCGGGGGCGCACGCAGGGCATTTGACATTTTCGACAGGGCATTGGAAAACAAAGAATTAAAAAAAACCCTTCTTTGTGTCCTGTGACGGTCTTTTGTTTAATGAAAAATCAAACGCTATTTACCGACGATCGAGTCCTAGTTTTTCCCATTTACGCAGTACGAAGTTTCCTTTCTTTTTTCACGATCTCTTCGACAATTGATCACCTTTATAGCACAATTAACATTTAAATGCTCTTGTGCGATTTCCTTAAAAATCCCTATTACTACTAACCTCCACTGGACCGTTAATTACAATTGTTATACCTACCAACATGTGTTTAGTTTCACTTGCAAATGCAAGGAACTTCTGCATATTAGAGTCCAGAATAATATTGTAAGTTTCCAATTCAATTGTACTCTATGTTCTTAAAACTTAATTGCTGTTGCTGCTTTACCACGGCAATGAGTAGTGAAGAATTGAAGAATTGAAGAGTAGATACCTAATCAACTTTGATCCGAACGCTATTATATCTTCCTAATGGCAAATTTTATTCATTTGCGAATGAAGCAGCGAAATTGCTAAAACGGAAGGAGCGAAATTGCATTATTACGGCAAGTCGCTTTTCGATGCACTTCTGTCACTCCGCGCCTTAATTACGTTGATTATACTACTCGAGTGCAATTTTTCTGCCGTCCTCCAAATCAAAGGAAGCCGGAGAAACTTTGGAAATTACGCGGACTCTCGCAATTAAAAGTTTCGAGGCTAAAAAATTCCTGCGAATGCACCGAAATTGCACCTACCAACTGCGGATTGTAGATGGCGCTGTTTTAACGTACGGGGACCGTAAATCGGCAAGTTCGGACGTTAACTTTAATTAAATTTTCGATTTTCCTCTTCCAGCAAGGTGCATTAAAGTTTATGAACGTTGTTTAAATTAAACTATTACCATATTCGCATCTTTACGACCTGAGTTTACTTATCTAGCGATATTTGAGTGATAAGAGGGCAAATATGAACTGGACTAAATCCTTGCGTTAACTTTTAATTCCTTTGCAGAATACATACCTACAAAAAAAAGATAAGTATTTCTTTCTTTAAACTCTCTACGGACGAAATTTATTCTTTCCCTACATTTTCCTTTTGACCCGAATAAAAAATACAACTTCCTTGAAAAAAATACCCTCTCTCGGTTATATTTTCCATCTGATTGTTCGTCCGATGGGAGACGGCGGAAGCACCAACGGATCCTTCTCCTACTTTATACCAACCGACAGAAAATTTATCCAAAAATAACGTGCCTACTTACCTAATTCTTCTACTACGAAATCGCCTGTAATTTCTTCCGGCCAATTTCATTACCTACTCACCTTTGTTGTATTCCCGTAAGTTCCTTCTCACCATGATGGGATGCCCGTCTTCCCTTCTCCAAACAATCCGGGGTGTCGGGTGACCAGCTGCTTTGCACACCAAGGTGGTGTTCTCTCCCTCCGACACCGACATATCGCCGCTGGTGTCTTCGTTGAGTATATCAGGAGGCACTGCAATCAAAACAGCCCATCAAAACATATCGAAGCGTCGTCAAAGCGAACGCGCCAGCTCTGCTATTCATCATAATAAACAAGCGGTTAGCGCAAACGGTAAAATCCTCTTTGCGCCATTACACCGACGAATACCTCATCCCTATTTCGCTCTAACGACGAACGCACGCGGCCCCAGTTCGCTTTGTTTAAAGTAATAATCCGAAATTAAGGAGCTCTCTCCGAGCGGTATCGAATTTCTTGAGCCGGAAGCACTTCTGAACCAGTTAAATGCATCCTCATTAGGTCTGTTTAAATGACGAATTGGTATTTGTATTAGTTAGTGTATTAGTAACTCTTATAGAGGCTAAAAAACTATACAGAGTGTTAATTAATTGAATGCCGATACTTCAGGATATGAATATTTGGATTTATTATATGTAATTTTTTTAGAAAAATGAAATCTATGAATCAGTCCCAAATTAAGCAAACTACCACCCCTAGAATTTAGTGCCATAATTTCTAGAACACCCTGTATATTTATGCAAAACTTTGCAAGTTAATATAGAAACATTTCTGATGGTATTAGAAACTAATCGATTAGTTCGATTTTAAGCGATTCGTTAATGACACTCTTGCCACACAATCGATTCATTGCTCTCGTATATATTTGATTAATAATCCCGATAGCGGAGCGAAACAGGAAAACTGGAACGTCTGGAATAGGTCAATGGTTGAAAGATAAATGGTGGAAAAACGTAGTAAACATTGACGTATCGTAATTGAATGCTAACACGAAAATTTGGGAAAATCGCGCGCGGCCCCCCTTCGAATCGCGCCCCGTGATTAATGAAAGAAAATGAGCTGGCGAGAAAAATCGAGAACGGTTTATTGATGACGGGGGAGGTTGTCAAAAACGCGGCGATTTATATTTTCTTCGTGCGGTTGTACGAGGGAGATTAGGAAAGTTGTGAGTTTTCTTTCTAATGGCGAAACTTTGTTACCTTTCCGTCGATCCTTAATCATACCTGCAGATGTGATTTTTTATATTATTTGCTACAGTTATTCTTTCGGTTTCTATAGATTTTGTTTTAATATTTTTCCTCTATTTACCTGTATATAGGAAGTCATATAGAGTTAAATTGTACATCAAATTACTACTCCGGGTATCAACACTTGCAGTTACCAAGTTACTCTTGCATGTATAAAGCAAATACAACTAAAAAGAGTGTATCTATTTCGTTATTTTACTTATTCCCATATTCCTCGGATCAGAGCGGAAAACTCTGCTCAAAACAAATTGCATATACTCTTATTTTACGCGCTTTATCTATTCGCATATCTTCCGGGATTCCCGCCTCCCGTATCTTTCGTATGTTATTATCATAGCGCAGAAAACGTTGAATGTGAGAAATATTTTATACGAAATGCGTAAGTAAAGATAACCTTATGTAAGTAGGAGTACGAGATACGGTTAAAAAAAATTCATTAGAAATTTACGTATTATTCAAATTCCTCTTTCATGCATTGTTAATGAATTTGTGTTGGTGTTTCGCGTGCATTGTACGTTATACACTTCGAACAAACGGTAGGTGCGGAATAATTCACACAAAAAGAACACCTCGAGATAATTCTCTATACGTACCCAGTGTAACAAAAGTAACGAACAACCGGTTAGGTATACAAAAAAAACCGCCGCCTGTTCTTTATACGTCCGCCCGCCGTCCCCCGAGAGGCGGCCGCCTCCGTTTCGGCGCAAAAAGATTCTCGTCGCGCTCGCACAAAGACTTTTGTTTAGCGCTAAAATCCGATAATGTTTGTCGGATGCGTCCAAAGTGAACTAATGGAATGCATTAATAATAACCCCAGGTGCGAGGCGGATGTGCTCCTGATAATGCACGTAATTCGCCGAGGAGTTGCGGAGCCGCTTCACCGAATGGAAAACGACAATCCAGTCTTTCTGTTATACAACAACGTACTGGAGATTTTTTGATCGTTTTTCTGCCGTTCGCAGTGAACTTGAAGTAGATGAGAATTAAAGAAGTTTTAGTTCTGTATAACGTGCTTTATACGACTGAAGTTTAAATGAAAGAAAATAAATTGAACTGCATGGTACGGTACACAAAATCTTAAATTCTACAACTAGCAATTTGATGCGGAAATTTTTGATGGTGTAATGAAAATTAAAAGTTTTCTTTTATTCTTTAAATTGAAAATTTTGTGGAGGGCATAAAAGAAAATGTTTGAAAGATGATAATCGCTCTTAATTTCAATTTATAAATTAATCGGATGTTAATATAGGGTATTAATTAATTGAGTGCCGATACTTCAGGATGTGAATATTTGGTTAATTTTAAAATGAAAACTTTATATCAAATGTATGTCCTAAACCTCATAATTTTCTTATTACTCTAGATATTTTTATTTACTCTAGATATTTTTATGAAATTTCGGGCGTGGAAATCACTGATATTGATAGTGAAAAATTAATTTTTATCCCAAAAAAATGTATTTCCAACCATGGTGGGCGCCTACCAAATTTCAACGAAATATCAAAAGCAGTCTCAATGAACCTGGGAAAAAATTATTTTGGTTTTTATTTTTTAACGCGAAAATGGTGCATCGTACGAAAGTAAGTCTTCTGACCGAATTTGTTACAAAATAAACGTGGATTTTAAAAATTATTTTTGTTTTTGGAAAAAGCAGTGGCGTATCATTTTTCTTCAAACATATTCAGTTCAAACCCCGTACGGACGTCACTGGTGAAAATTAAAAAAAAACTTACGCTTCAAAAAATTCTCCTTATTAATTTAAAAGTGTATACAAAATTTCATGAAAATTTCTGGAGTAATAAGAAAATTATGATAGAAAATTTATTTCTTTTTCTAAAACTTTAACACCCTGTAGCTCGAAAATTAAGAGGTTTAGAAAATATATGGATATAAACTTTTCTTCTTAAAATCATCCAAATATTCACATCCTGAAATATCGTCATTCAATTAACACCCTACATAAGTGAAAGTTTACAACGAACTTAAAAAGTACAATTTCCAACAAAGAAGCTCTTAATTTAATTACGTGCACGGATCGATCCGTATTCTGCCCGGCAACTTCCTCAATAATCGGATGATCGAAACTCCCAAAACTCGGGCGTGCATCAGGGCGGATTTCTTTTTTCTATATCGCAACTCGCATGAACTGAAAACTTTCACGGTATATGCAGCGCTTGAAAAACCCGGCCCGATTGCAGCGCTACTTCGAATTTAGTTCTAAACAATGCGACCTCAGATTTCGCAAGTTGCAACCATCCCTAATAATCCTTATGCCTCGGTTCCCCATTTCCACAATCAAACAGCGGCGTATTTCTCTTTCTATGCGAAAGGGTTACCATCGCTATTTATTTACGTTAGCTTGCGAGATATTTTGACCTGGTTTGATGAGTTAGTAACAACTCGCCTTTGATGAGGATATTACACAAATTTATTGGGTCACATTAAAAAAAAGCATTTACCTAGTATTTAATTTATTCCATATTATATTTAAACGGAAATGAGATTTTTTTTGCATGAATTACTAGCAAATTTGACGCGAGCTTAATTTTGCAATAATTAATATTAATATTTGATCGTTATGTGTCTGCAAAACTACAATTAACATTGGGAAGCTCCTGCAAATGTTCTTCAGTCCTTTATTAAGACTTTATTCGAGACATTAAAATTGTTAAATTCGTAACCACAAAAGCCAGATAAAGAAAGGGTGAATGTGTTCCCGGAGGGTATAATTCGGGAAGGGAAGGCGTTTTAGAGTTAATGATGTGGGTTCAGGCGAATATCTTACATCTGACAGTTGTAACAAAAGAAACGTTTGTGGCAAAGGAAAAATGTATTATTTCTCACAAGAAATGTTGACATTTGAAACTAAAATTATTTTCTTAATTGGTAAATTACTAGCCAGTTTCCGGGTTCGTGGAATAATAAATTGAACATAAATTTTAAACCTCAACTTCAAAGGAGAGCTTGCTGTTCTAAAACAATTTACCGAAATGATTTATCGCTTTTTCAAATTTTATTAACCTCCCGTGCATTTTTTATAAGATCGGTCGACCATCAATAACGATTTTTCAATTTTTTATCCACCTACAGCAAAGCATCTAATTTTCCAGCATCAATCATAATGGTTTCGATTCGTGTTCTATATATTATTCAATTATTATTGTATGTCAATATTTGCGATTACAGAGCGTCGTCGGTATGAAAACTTTGATCATTAATTTTGCAAATATAGAATTGTTTTATATGGCAATGCGAAGAGTTAATTATAAACTCGCGAAAACTTTCAGCGCAACGATTCCTCCTGCTATGACGATGATGAATGCTCTTAACGAATTAAAGAACGCCGAGAGTAATAAACGAGAGGACGGAGATATTGTAAAAGTTTCCGGACGATGAACAATGAAAATTGAGACGTTTATTACTCTCTTTTTTTCCATTAATCTAGTCGTAGATAAACTTTTAAAACCATCTTTGCATTAACCGTTAATTGCAGTTGTTCTTAATTAGGTACTCCCAATTAAATATGTGGTTAATTTAAGTCGAGGAAGTTCAAAAGTTATTTTAAATTTATTTTTATTCTATTTAAGAATTGAATTAAAATATTGTGAATTCAATTGGATCTTTACCAATAAATTTTTATTCGGAAAGTAAACGGTGAAATTCCTCTAGAATTCGGAATGCGAAAAGTCGGTTTTGTTGAATAATTCAAAAGTTAATTTCAAAACAATTTCATGAGTTGTCCGCCTAACTTAATTTTATCGCTATTAAATCGGGTAATATTGGAGCAAGATGAAAACCGAATCTTTTCAGGATTTCCCGGTTTTATTAATGTTCAGCGTTCGGGATTATTCCCGATCTGATTGTAATTCTCCAACGCAGGAATTCCTTGTTTGTAGGGTAATAAGATTAAATTTTTGGATCAAAAAAAGTCGAGTAAGTAAACAAATATTTCATATAATACCTACCCTT